GTGACGATATGTATGTATTTATGTATGTATGGCTGTAATCAAATTGCGTTTGGACACACAGCTTCAGGCTGTTGTAATTGGTTTGAAGAGTGCGGATAGAGAATGATGACTGCTAGTAATCATGAATGAAGTTGATTGATTATTATTATTTCTTTCCTCAAGCCTCAAGGGGTACCACATTGATACTTCTCGTTTTCTCTTCTTCTTTTTTTTTTAATACACATTGGTCTCTCGTGTCAACACGAACCATGCGGCAAAATATAAACAATTTGTATACTTATACATATACATATACACGGCAAGGAAGCAGGCGAGCAAGCATCAATGACGACATCCAACGAGCAGCCAAGTGGGCGAATAATCATTAAATTAAAAGCAAAGGAGAAAGAATTCGAAATGCAAAATTTGTTCTGTTCGTTGAGTTTCTCTTTGACACTACCTTTTGCTGTTCTAATATTGATCCGAATGATGTTTACCATCTTACTTTCTAATCTGTTGAATATATGTTCAATGACTTAATCATATTGAAGAAATATGTTGAGAAAGTTTCGACTCCTCCTCTTTCTTTACTCTATTTCTTCGTTAATCCAGCTCGAGATGATTGTCACACACCATCTCGTTTTCGATCATTAGTTAGGCTTCTATTTGTTTGTTGGTTGGTCGATGTTTGCATGTGAACGACACTATACATATGTATCGAATGGGAAAGAAAGATTAGACGAGAGAAAATTTGACACCTGCAACGATTGATGATCAGTTTCAATACGATAAGAAATCATATTCATTTGACAACAATATTTAAACATGACTATATTACTCGTTTTTCTCTCTTTCTTGTACATAGAATGCTTTTATTGGTATTGATGTGATTAGATATGCATGATCGAACATTTCTCTGCCACAAATAATACTATACAAGTCGTTCAGTTGATTATAATGACAAAGTTAATTGATCGGAGAATACGCCTACCATCATCGAATGATGACAGGTGTTGGGATTGATCTGAAAAGAAACAGAAGTTCGATGCCTGTGTTTATGAACTTTTCTCCGCAAGATTGAAATCATTTCTAAAGTTTCATTCAAATGTGCAACTTATGATTTCTTTATTTAACCTTGTAAAAGATTCGTTGAGTACTTTTTAATTCTCGAGTTCATTTTATATATATATATATATACCAAACAATCGACTAACTGCTGACTATTCTCACTCTTCATGGGTTTCATACGCATTATGATTGGTGAGTTTTGTGCTGATAATATTCAAACAGATGTCTTTCCGCTTGTTCAGACAAGTATGTATATTTTCAAGTGATCAGAATTTCATAATTTCATTTAATCGATTTATCAATGTACAACGAATGATATTACTCTTTCAAGTCAATCATTTCTAACCTTGGTATGCCATTGATTTCTCATAATGTTCGCCAAAGAAATTGTTCTTTTCGATTAAAATCTAATCTGTTTGGAAAAGAACGGAATCAATGAAGAAATTGTTGATTTTAAAAGCGATGATGATTGCTTTTGCTGACATATAATGAACATTCTTCATACTCTGTTTATTCGAAAGATATGAGTGTCATGACCAGAAGGTGTCATTCTTCGATTAATAAACAATAGAAGACGTTGATGAACTTCTGTGTACTCTTATCTTTTTCGTCTTATAACACTTGAAAATAAATCGAAAAGGTTTATTTTGAATAAAATGTTTGTCTTAAAACAAAATAGATAATCAATAATTAAAGACAATAATTCAAATACGGTCGAGTGAAAATTCTATTTGGAAATAGCCAAGGAAGAAATGATATGACATTCAGTTGTCGAAAGTATTCTTTGAGAATGAAGTTCGTTTATAATATACATGTGATAAAGAAAAGGAAAACCGAGGAAATCAATGATATCGATATGGACTTTTCCAATGTATATGCTGTGTTTTTTTCTACAATGGTTCCATTCAAGCCGGTAATATTGTGTGTTAATATCATATTGAATGATGTTGTTGCTGTTGTTGTTGTTGTTGTCAGTTCACTTATTGTGGATGGTACCGTTAAGTTAACCAATGAATTGATGAACGAGATGAGCTGAGATACTCGTGTATACAATCCGACTTGTCCAACTCGAGCACACCCGTTGCCTGCTGATGTTATACCAGCTAGTATCCATCGGTTGTTAACAAAAGCCATCAGTGGTCCACCGCTGTCCCCTTGACACGTATCTAGACAATGAATACAGACGAAATAGCAGTTTTGTCTTTCGAGCTATAAGATTGCATACCTTTTCCACCTTCGGCTACTCCTGCACAGAATTGTACAGTTGAGTTAGTCATTGGTGACGCTTGACAAACATCTGACGACGACGAATACACTTGTACGGTGACTTGTAGAAGATAATTTGATATAGGGGCAGTTTGGCTTTCGTAGGTAACACCCCAACCAATAGCTACTAGACTGGTGTTGACTTGAAATGGATCTTGACCTTCCGATGGTAGACATATGAAATTTATTTTTGAACTCGTCGAAGTATTTAATGGTGCAAATTGGATAATACCAATATCATTTGAATAGTCGTTTGAGTCCGTCCCTTTATAATCTGGATGTATAGTGGCTTTAATAATTTTTCGTCGTTGTATAGTTGCAGTGGTTGTGTCTTTTATAATGTTTGAACCAACACGAATGGATAGATTGTCTAAATCTTTAATATAATCTTCGAGACAATGAGCAGCAGTTACAGCATATTCAGATGTAATGAGACTAGCACCACATATGTGACTATTCTGATATTGTAGAGAAACCATCCAGTTCCATGTGTAATTCATTGCATTTTCTCCACCGACAATTTTAGCTATAACAGAAGTTGTTTTTGTTGTTGAACAACCACATGGCGCTGTCGAATCACACGAGTATGTTGTTGCCGAAATAGACGTAATAACAAAAGCTAGAAATCCTATGAGTAAAAGCATCCCGGTTGGTTGTGACGATGTTTGTTTATGAATAAGTATTTTCCTATTGAATACAATCGACAGCAATACGTTACAGTCCGTTGGGTTTGTGTTTCATGATTCTGACGAAAAGGTTTTTTTCGTTTGGAAGAATGAAATGAACTGAGTAAAGGTAAACTGACATAACAACCAAACGGAAATGATTCACTGATATATACGCCCCCTTTTACATAGTCAGTAAAACGCTTATTATGAAGTATACGTAATTTACATTAGTTTCTATGCTGAAAGAAAAAAAAACATTTGGCTATGACTATTATGGATGATGACGTCGTCTGTGATTTTTTTGTTAATTACGAGTATCGAGGAAGTGAAATATACTGTGCGAAATAGACAACAGGTAACTGTGGTCATCGTGGCTCATTGCTCTACGTAAATTCATGCGAATTATATTTCTAATCTAGTGACAAAAAATTGTTTTATGTACAATAAAAGTTTAGACAGTTTCTTCGACAGGATCATGTTTTAGTTGTGCTTGAATATTTCGAATAGTTGCGTCGATTCGTGTCAAATATGGATGCCTCGCTGGCAAATATTTCTGATAGATTTGTTGCGCTTTTTCGTAATACAACAACGACTGTATACAAACACCTTGGTTCCGATAGACTATCGCTATTTTCTCGAACACATCAGCAATGTATTTATGCTCGGGCGATATACATTTCTGGTAAACTTTCAAAGCCGAATTATAATTCAGAATGGCTTTGTCATGCACTTGTATTTTATGGTATACATAACCGATTTCGTAGTATAACTTGCCAAGTTCACTTTCATCGACAGAAGTATCTGGTTGCGTCCATGACTTGAGAACTTTTTTATGATACTTAAGTGCATCAGAGTATTTACCAGTTATGGAATAGATCTGTCCCATCTTACGACGGCATTTATTAAGTTGAAGACCATGACTATGTCGATGGTATCTGAAAGCTCCATGAGCTAATTTGTAGTGAGTCAACGCTTCGGGATAGTTGTTTAGTTTTTCATAGATCTCAGCGAGTTTGAAACAACTCCTTGCTAAATCCACACTGTTTGGCTCGTGTAAATTGAGTTTCATCTCATGTGACTGCTTTTGCCAATTTAAACTCAATTCGAATCGATTTTTTCGCAATGCTAAACAGCTAAGTTGTTCGTAGCACGCACATTTGTCTGATAGGCTTCCGGTTGATAGTTGAAGACATCGTAGATAGTACACTTCTGTTTCTTTAAAATATTTCATATCGAAAAGAAAGTTTGCGAATCGAATAAGACTGATTTCTTCGTCTCTACATTCTGCTATGATAAGGTTAAATATCGGTTGCAGTTCGATGTCATCATCCCGACAGAACTTAAGTTCGATCACTAGGATGCCGTCGGTATTTGTGTCGACATCAACAACCCGAAAGGAACTATTCATTGAGAAGAGAACTTCCTCTTCATCGCCAAAGAGGCTAAATTCACGTATATTAGCGAATGGTTTCGTCGTGTTAACAGGTGGATCAGCATGAATATCGAATAGAACTCGGTGCAAATGAGCATTGACTCCTTCAGCATCATCAATAAAGTTCAATGCAACATTGACATCTGTACTAGTGGAAAAAAATGAATTGATGCAGATGACTTCACCGATCGCATTTTGGAATAACTGTAATTCACTAGTGGTCATATATTGGCCTCGGAAGGCATGAATCGATGTTTTGCACTGATGTTGGAGCAATTGCTGGTAAATATCTTTTATCCAGAACCGATAGAGAAAGAGCAAATGAACATGTTGTGTTCGAAGTGCTTTATTCAACATTTGGTAAGGAAAACCGTCAAGCGTGTACCACGTCAGAGCTTTATCGGGTGAGTAATTGTGTTCAAGTTGGTGTAATGTTCGTAATTCAGCAGCATTGTGCCGATATTGATCGTGACAAAAGGTGAATAATTCCTCTTTATCGTTCGAATTTGATTCGAGACGGAGAAGATAATTGATCAAGAGATGTGGGCGTATGAACGAATTTGAAAGATTCAACGGTACTTCCTTTTTCAGAATGTTATATGCAATCGGTCCGTCTTGTTTGACTTGGAGTCGGTAATCCCCGATAACTGCGTCAATGAGCTCATCGTATTCGGTAAGGACGCTTCTGACCTGAAAAAAAAGCGATTGTTTTCGCATCCAGAAAAGGAGCACATCAACGTACTTTCGGGTAATTGTTCGCCCACACTTCGTGTATTTCTTTAACTGTGCAAAAGATATAGATCGAAGAAACTTGCGGAAGGATCTCGACGTCGGGTACAAGTTGCTTTCCTAAACTTCCACTAGCAATGAGAATCGTTCGATCGTACGGTGACATTTTGCGGAGATATTTTTGACATTCATCGGGTTTTTCGAATACTTTGACAAAGTTTATGTGCGAATGCAGTCGTTCAAGTGTCTCGACATTTTCAGCATCATTCACATGTTGATCGATCCATGTAACACTAAATGTTTCAACTGGACATTCTTCGGTATTCATTAGTAAAGTAGCTATTGAAGCACGTTCGGGAGACATCGCATTTAGGTAAAAGAGGATATAACGAAGAGACTATTTTCGTTTCCAATAAATACCTAGATATGCTTCTATCGGATGCTCACTCATGCATAAGCATGTTGAAAAAAAAACTACCTTTTAATGACACAGATCGATTTGATAATATTTGCCTGTTCTGTGGGTCTATTTTCCAACTTTATCAGTTGGAAAAATAATTTGACTGTTGGTAGTTTCCTTTTTTTTGTGGCTGTACGGAGGTAAATACTCGTCAGTTGTATTTTAGTCTTTCACTATTCTTTTCTATCGCATTCCATCAAGCACCTCTTGAACAAATGAATTGATTACAATAACAACATTTCATTTCATTTCTTTTCTTTTCTTTTCGTACCATTATCAACATCATACGACAGTTATCAACTACGAAATGAAGTATATACAGTTTTCACTAACTAGAGGGCACTATCGCATGCCTAAGGTTGTATATGCAGATGGATATGCACCCGTTGTGTCGTGTCTTTTGATCTTCTTTTTCTTTGACTTGTTTATTTTTGTCCATTGTTGTTCATTAGCTATTGTACATGGTGCATCGATCAGTATATATACATAAACAAAAGACTAATGTGTGCACGTATACAAAGCAGCACATCTTTAACCATTTGTCCTTTACCCGGGAGGAAAGAACATACAGAAAGGAGTGGAACCTGTCGTTCTAATTACGAACAACTGATTTGTAATTCCACTAAAGATTGTTTCTTCTTTTCTAAATAATATTAATCGAAGATGGGGCTTTTTTCGCGTAAACAATTCCACAACTGATAGCTCAGAGCATTCATTCATTTTTAATGCTTGATATCAACCGAACAAACAAATCTTCGAGCATATGTAGCAAATATCTTATGGTTTCAACAGATATTATTGTTTAAAACAAAAGAAAATGAAGAAGCAAAAGAAAACACGCACAAATACAAAAAAGAAAAACGAGAAGAAAGAGAGACACTTTGGAATGTATATGGTGTAAATAGAATAAGGCGGACAATATCTATCGAGCTTTGTCATTTAAATGTTCAAGATCCTTTTTATTTTCCATGGAATTCGTCATGGGTTTGTCACATACTTTGCTCATCTCCGTCAGATAATTTTGTAAAGCAGACATCGCTCCTATGATCGCCGGTGTACCAAAGCCATGGGTCACATGAGAAAAATGTGTTAAATGTCGTTGAATTGAAACGTCGAGAACAGGTGCTAAACGACTATTCGTTCCTAATGGTGAACGATCTTGAGCTAGCAAATCGGTGAATTCCTTGATTAAATGTCTGAAATACGAAAGAAGACTCGATTTTGTCATTCTTCAAATCCTTTTTGTTTCTTAATCTTACTTTGCAGCAAGAATGTTCTGTTTACGTTTACTAATTCCGGCTGGTTCTTGTAGATGATGAGTATTATGATGCTGACGAGTTTGATATTCTGCGCAAGAACGAGCGGGGAATTCTTGATCACATACGTAATGAAAATCGCGTGCTAAATGTGCAGCTTCACCTTCGACAAGCGACGTTAGCAAAGTAACTGTTGCTGCTTTACGTCGACCAGCGGGTAAATTTACACCAATCTTTTCTAACTTTTCACGTAAAATTCGTCCTCCATTTTTCGATTTTGCTCTAACAGATATGTTTTTATCAGTTTTTTATCGAAAGTTTAGAAATGAAAGATGCTTTACCTTCGTAGAATACCACCTAATAACGATGCATTGAGACATTCAGGTGGTGAAAGACGCCGTTGAACCTCAGCAACACTGACTTTATACTTAGAATTCGAACTCAGTAATGATAACCGTCCTGGTACGCTACAGAACACATCTGTTGGAGCGATGGGACCATTTCCAACACCTAAATTCAACTGAATACCTTCTTTGGTATCTCCACGACGTAAATCTAAAGAATAAATTCAAATAAACATACAACATTCAGCTAATATTTATTACCTCGATGAAATGACGCTCGATAATGCTCGGATAATGCCGGTGGAACATTATCATCCAAACCAGGAACCTAAATCAAGTATAGATACACTCGGATAGTTAATTCTAATAAAACTAGTTACTCGAAAAGCTGCTGTACTCGATGGATCACTAGCTAGCAGACCGCTGCGATAGAGTTGTAATGATTCAGGATCGAGTACCATTGCATGTCGACTATAGTACGAAGCGGCATATTCGGCATAGGCACCGTACGGATGAGTTAATGATGTTGTTGTCTCATCAATATTTACACCTGATGGTCGAACTAATGAATTATAAGATTGCGATGTCTGGTTGTTTGCAAACGGTGGCGATGATGATGACGTATAATCAAGATTATGTGAATGATTTGATTGAATTTGATCAAATGGATGCTGATGTGATACACCTGGAAATGGCGGTGGAAAATACGGTGGTTGAAAATCAACGACACCTGAATTCGAGGATGATGGTATTGGCAGCGATGATGTTTGACTAGTCGATCGTTCGGAATTATTCGATGCATTTGAATTATTAGCAAAATGATTCGAGCGATCCTAAATGAATAGATTTCAATATTGTCTAATCGAATCGATATGCATCATGGATAAAACTCTTGATTTCTCTCTCAATCCACTCTCATCTCTATATGTATTGCATATAGAAGACGGCAAGTCAATTTACCTGCCAGGAATTTTCGGCAAGATGATGATGATGAAGGTGATGAAATGACATGAGACGAGCGCTTGCGGATGTATTCGTACAATGTTTAATGGTATGCACGCACACACACACACACACGAAGACACGTAAACCAAGAAAATGTTGCTAGTAGGAAAAAATTGCTAATGGGCTTTCGACGTATGTATGGATGGAAACGTATACCGTATGGGTTCCGATGTTTCTCTATTCGTCGTTCTTGCCGATTCTGTTGCCTGCAAGATAGGAAAAAAGAAAGAAAGTCGGCTCTTTTTTTCTTTTTTCTTCTCCTCTCGCCTTTTTCTTTTGCGATGTCGACTGCTTTCTATTGGTTCATGTTGAAACTCGCGAGTGGATTGGTTATGTCAATAAAAATGTTAATCTTAATGTTTGCCGAGAGAGAAAAAGAAAAAAAGAAGAAGAATTTCATATGATTTAAAAGCTGAATTAAATTTACTTTTCGAAAAAGTATTTGTTTTATTTTTACAACTAAAACTCAACGTTGCTCAGCTTGAGTTTGAAAAACATCGAGCGACAACGAGCTGCTGATCGTATGGCTGATGATACCCAAGGCAATCAATAGATATCATCATCATTATTATTAACAATCTTCAATAGTTAAATAGGTTACATCAGCGTGCGCGTGAGAGAGAGAGAGAGAGAAAACGATCTATATATGGAAGAATAAGTTCGGGTACTTAAGCTAATAGGATGTTGATTCAAGTATTTAGTTTGCTTGATCCGCCGGCAGTGCCTAAGTTTTCTTTTACGCTGACATTGAAATGCATTCGTTCGTTGTGTCTACTCATTTTCTACTTGATTTGCTACCGACGTCGAAAAGAAGTCGTCGACGATGAGAAGAACTTACTTTTAAGTCATCTGACACGATTGAATAAGTATGAACGACATTCCAAATATATTCACACATTCAACATATATCTCATTTCATTGGCTCTATCTTAGTCTTTTTTTTCTTCTCAATCTCATTATCATCATGACTGGTAGCTATAATTTTATTAACGGAACATGACATCCGTCTTGTTAACCATATCGAAGAATGAATCAAAGGTTTATCGTTAGAAAGTAACATTGCTCTAGGCTGCCTCCTTTAACCGGCTGGAATATTTCACATGGATGCTTGTATTTGTCTAAGTGAAAGGCAAGATGAGCATGATAGCGTTCAATCGGTAGTATGGCTAAGGATTGCTTTACAATCATCAGATGAACTGATATTCAACAATTTGTCCAATCGTTTCTTTTCATCAGGATTCGTTTTGGCTTCTTTGTATTTTTCCACATATGCACAATACAATTCTTCCGATGTCTTGTTTGAATACATCGCATTGAATTCATTCATTCGATCTTTGACTCCTTTACACGATATGTTGAATATAGCAGAATGATTGATCAATGTATGACTACTGAGATTATCGTAGATGACTTGTAATTCAGCTAAGCGTCGGCATTGCTCCGATGTTAAACTCGCACACAGCCATGTTTTCACTTGATATTTCTCAACTTTTCTTTGTAGAAATTGAATGGTTTCTTTCTGAGCATCAGTTAATCGATGCATTCACAAGTTCGTATAAACAATTTAAATAAACGAGGAAATTCGCTCAATATAAACTTAGTTACGGGTTCTATTCGAGATTTCTTTATTTCAAATTACCCGAAAAACAAACAGAGATTAAATATGTCATCGTTAGAACTTTACATTAGTTACCGCAGCCAACATTTTTCGCGAATTGATTCTTGTAATTTCCTCGTGGATAATAATTCACGACGACGATCAAACCATTGTTCTTCGGCACATCACTGATACCTATCCCAATCATCTTCGAATCTTTCCAAATGACTTGCGTGAAGTGTAACGCAGCTTCGAGATTATTAATCGTATAATTCGATCGTTCGCTGTACCAAGCTTCGACTGGCCTTGCTCCTGAAACAAATTCTCAGACAATTCGATTTCAATGATCATGAAGAATACCGTTGTATTTAACAGCGTTAAATGGTATCTCAAGATAGCTATTTTCACCATAGATGGTTGTATTGCTGTGTATGAGATGTCCGAAGCCAGCAAGCGTGTTACTCCACTTCTGAGCAATTTGATCTAAAGTTGTATTTCGTTGCAATGGAGATGCGCATTGTTCTTTTCGGTAAACATTATGCTGATTCAAAACCTCTTGACGAAATTGTTCATCGTCACGTGCATAGGAATCTTTAAATGAAAATTCACGAATAGAGTCAATTCGATTGCCATCGAAGTCTTTTTACTTTGAAGATAAAGTGATAGACAGATGGAGAATACAATGAAGTACTGCATTGCAGATCGATGAAATGAAATAACGACAATCCCTAACAAATCAAGTTTTGTTTTCGTATTTAACAGCGGCAACTGAAAACAGTTAAGATGGATAAAGTTTGTCAAGAAATACTTCACAACATTCTGGTTTACATTGGAATCTGTATGTTACTGATTAGAATATCAAACAACCATATGTGCGTTGACGATTTTAGGCTTTATTATCGGAATGAGATTGACTGATGTACATAAATTATATTCAAAACAAGACTAACCATGAATTGATATGTTAATATTGCAGAAAAAAAAGATTATGTGATTTACAAACTACTACAAAACAGATAAAAGGAAAAAAGAGATTGAGGGTATCTAAGACGTAGATGCAACAAAAGGGTTATATACAGAACATATCTGAATAACGGAAGGTAAAATTAAATGCAAAGATATATCTAACTGGTAGCCATAACGACTTTTTTTGTCTGTTTATTCGGATCAAGATCGGTTGCCAGACGAATGGCAGCAAGAAGAGCCTAAATAAGAAAGAAGAGTAGTTCGAATGTACAACTGAAACATGTTAGTTACATCTTCAGGATCCATTGCTGGAGATTTTTCTCGCAGTGCAGGTGATCGAGCAGGTGGTTGAGGCTGAAAAACATGAAAATACGTTCGATAAAATCAATTCAGACATCTTAATGATATCATCTACCGGAAGATTAGCGTAAGTAGCCGGGGGTGGCGGTCGTTTCGGTTTTATTTCCTAAAAACAGAGGTAAAAATTCCTAGAAAGTTTTCGTTTCACAATCACATACCGGCGTTGTTCCTGCTAGTGGTGTCCGTGGTGGTGTTGCCTAATACAAGAGATGGATGATTTCCAGATGTGCAATCAGAAAGCTACTTACTGGTTTCTTCTTCACGTGAGCATATTCCGCTGCTTGTATCGTTTCCTCTTCGTATTTCTAAACAAAAGTTAATTGTTAGAAAATTGAAAAACTCAGTGATCATATCGAACAGCAAATTCATGCATCGTGTGTTTCTTATGTAATTATCATTCATTATTTACCTTAAGAACTAGTCCTAGAGAAAGTCGATAGATTTGTTGTTACCTGTCGGAAGAAAAAGTGTGAATGCATACCTCCGGAATTGTTATGTGATGCGTTTGAAAAAATGGTTCGACACTGTGTGCATGTGGAAATTGTCGATTGCTTTCATTTGCTGCTGAAAAAGATTGAAATTCAATCCAATGGATGTCATCAATGAAAACTTACAAATATTGAGACTTTTCGACATGCGTTTACTAATCGATCGTTCAAAGTCAGGATTTGGTCGATCAAGTAACAATTGTCGCGTTTGATGATACGTATATGTTCCTGTATAACGAAATGTCGAATTGAATCGTGGTAGTAATGGTCGTTTGCGAATTTCTTCTGGTCGACGAAGCCTGCATAAATGGAAAACAAATGAATCAAATAACCGAATATTTCAAATCAAATCGTACCGAAAGAAAGCATGATGCTCAACCGCAATTTTCCAGAGCATTTTTGCAGCACGGTAGGTAGGTAATTTGAATCCAATTGTACTTTCGTATCGATCGAACTAGAAGAAATGGTTCAGAGATATTTTCATGAATGAAAACAGAACTTACATCACTTGGTCGAAGTTTAATGAAGAAATATTTTCGTTTATAAGATATTTTTAGTATTTTGGGCCAAGCAAAACGATTGATTCGTAATTTATCACGATAGATTAATATTCCATTCGCTGAAACGCCAATATTGATATCAACATTTTCCGAATCCTAGATGTAATGTCACAGATCAATCATCGGTTCGTTCTTTCTCGAATAAACATACCTGTGCAGGATGTAGATCAACGCCATACATAGCTAATTTCTTTGCATTTTCAAGAAAATGTAAATCAGCAGCATTTGGTGGTTGACCTTTATGTCGACGATGTTGTTCGTGGATACGTTTTAACAATTCATCATCTTGTACAGGTGCAAATTGAAGTTCTTTGAGATAATCCGATGTTAAACCATGATCTGCTTCATTGTAATCTCCCAACTCAGCTTGCGCTGTGTACGAACCTAACAACGCATAAGTTACAAATGAACACGGCAGTCTATAGACACAAAAAAGATAATCATGAGATGTTCATTAACTGTTTGATATAACTGACTTTCCAGAGAGAATATCGTGTCGTAATTGAAGACATAGTTGGTATCTAATAACAAATTCAAGATACATTTCATTCTTTTGTGTATCCATGTTACCTGGTTATATCTTCTTGAAGTAAGATTGGTTCAGGTGGGTAAAATTTCACTTGTAGATAGAAAATTGGTTGAACACCTAAAGCGAAAATATTCGTACGTCATATGATTTCAATCACGACTTCTACCTTTCAATTGACTTTTGACACGTTTATCAATATCCAACCAACACTGAAAGTATTCAAATTAGAATCCATTTGTTGAAGTGAATGGTTTTGTACTAACTTTATTATTTTCGTTGTCAGAAAAAGTTAGACCGAAGTAATCCTTCTCTTCCAGGCGCATGTTATCACATACACGAGTAAATAACATTTTGCCCGTATCATCTTTCTGAAAACAAATTCACCATGAACGAACAACGGCGTTTCAATCAAACAAAACATACGTTTAAATCAACATATTCTTCCGTATCGTCCAACATGATGATTCGTGCTTTTGATTTGTTAACCGGTTGCATTGTGATAACATGCTTATTCGATGAAACTGATTGAACATTTTTCGATTTTTTACTCTAAACGGCTAAAAAGTTTATATCGAATGCATTTTTCGTTTTACGCTTACCTTTTTCTTGCTTTCGTATTCTATAACGGGTTGTAGATTTTGCTGAGCATCGTCATCGTATTGAAATGAACCGCTTAATCGATCTGTATCAAAATGATTTGCATCGACCATCGATCCAATCTGTAGCTAAATATAAGAATTCGTTGAAAAAGTGTTGAAAAGTCTCAGAATCTCACATTTGGAATGTCCTGACTGGTAGATCGAACGAATTCTGTCATGTTGATATATCTCAATGAACTTTTAGTGATCGATTCAATCGAATTAATCCATCGGTCAAAAGGCATTTCACCAATGAATTTTCATTTGTAAAATATTCGCACGAGAAAACCATAAATTCAAATGAATTTTTCACAAAAAAAGATTCTTTTACTCATCCAACGTATTTTTCATACGAACCTAGAACATCGTATAGATGTCGCCAGATGCTAAGTCATTTTCTGCTAGATAGATTTGCCTGGTAGATATAAAAGATGATTACCAAACTTCATAGAATATTTATAGATGAGAAAAGACATCGATTCAATACTGCAATCTGGAAATCATTATTATGCTTGATATACGTTGATCTCTGCAGGTAGGCAAGAAAATCAAAACGCCCTCGCATTAGGATTTTCTCTGTGAATCTCTGTTTTTAGAGTACAACCTTTGAGACAGAGAGAGAGAGAGAGATAAATCTCTTTAGCTTCTGAGTATTTCTCAACAATCTAATCTCAGCTTTGCACATTTAACACCCAAAGAATAAGAGATGCGTTCTTGTCAGTTGCACTTTGACTTTTTCAGATCCAAAGATTCATTTAGTTACACAATGTATATCTTTCTCCTTCTCTCATTAATACTTTTACCATTAGTTAATGCTGAACAACCTCGGACAAAATTTGACAACAACGACGAACTGATCATGCATCGTTCAGGCGCGGTCAATTACTTATGTAAGTGTTTTTTGTCATGAATAATCCTTTCTTGATTCCGATGTTTTGAACTTCAGTTGGTTATCCAATGAGACCATATCAACATCCATTGGCAAACCCAACAATGGATCGATCATTCGGCAATGGTGATGATCAACAACAGCAACAACGTGGTAAACGGATCTATTGGGAGAACCTTGCTTTTCAACCAGCCGATTACAATAAAGCCAAAAATCCAAAAAGATCGAAATAAAAACTGACCTTGTTTTCTTTTGATATAGTCACAACATTCAAAAGAATTACTGGAAAAATTCTCTTAAATTCTATCTTTTCTGTTCGATTACACATATGTGTATTTTAATAAAGACATAAGTTCTGCAAAAAGGAGCAGCAATTCATGTTTTATGTTCGTATGCGAGATATACAAAAACTGAAGGATAAAGTACTTTATATTAGACAGTGATTGTATATAGAGACGTAATAGATCTTGAAATAAATGACCCTGAAATCGGTAGGTAAGATTACGTTGTACAGTCGAGAATGATCAACAGTATGATGAAACACTATTATTCAAGTGAATTTCGCTGTCGACGGCATTTGTGATTAGTTTGAAAGTTATTTTCGAGCTTCTCCTTTATTTTTATTCTCATAAAACCGGCTCTATTGCAATAATAAAAACGATATTATTTACATAAGAAGAAGAAATGAAGCACCATGGAATAATTAATCAATCGATGTTGCTGACGATTGTGAAGATGCGAGTGTCGGAAAAAGGGAAGGTGTAGATTGACGAAGTCGATGATTTGATGAAATGAATGAACTTGGAGATAAAACAATAGACGATGAACTCAACCGTTGATTTACTGATGTCGATAATGGAGAGATTAAACACTCATCTTCACTTTCTTCGTAATCAAGACGACGTGGATCCGTCGACGTCGAATGATTCCGATGGATCGTTGGCAGCAAACGCAGACGCATCACCTAGAATGAGTTATCAAACGAGTTAGTGAGATTCAAACGACGAAAACAAGCAATTAAATGTTTCTTCGGTTAATAGTTATCAGCACGAGAGCGCAAAATCTCACTCGGATCATCTTCGTCAATAGTATCACTTCTCGGCCATGAGATAGTTGCCGATAACAGAACGGGACGTTTCAAAGGCAGCGAATTACTACGTGTAAGACGTGTACGTCTTACCTGTGAACGAAAACAAATGAATTATCGTAGAGCAGCAATCGAAAAAAAGAAAACCAGAGCTTGAAATACTCATGGATCGAAAAGAAAACTTCGGCTGGAAGAGAATTGTTTAGAGAAATTTCTTCGAAATAGAATACGAACCTCATCTTGTAATTCGAGAAGTTTCTCTTGAAGATCTCGGTTGTCCATAATTTGACCACGTGTGATTAATTCTTGATTCTAAATTTCGAATCGTAAGAAACGGTTGGAAAGGAATATTTCTTACTTGAACTTCGAGCTCCGCTATTCTTTGACGCAAATCTCCAATCGCTTGTGTACTCTCAGCTTCACGGATTCGTAACATCATGGAATCTTCTTTTAGCTAAAAAGACAAATCGTTCGATCCGAAAGGAAACGAAAATGTGTTCGTCTTTACTCGTAATTCTCCGTCATGCATTTGATTTTTCGTTTCGTTTAACTGCGCTCGTAACTCCTGTTCACGTACTCGTGATTCATCTAATTCCAAGCGCATCCGTTGAATTTCATCATCTTGCCGTTTGATTTGATTATATATAACTTGTTTCTGTGTTTCTAAATCCATGATCTGCTGGGAAAGAGCCTTATTATCACAATCGGTTTGAGCTTCACGCATTTTCAACGATAACAATTCATGAGCAATCAAATCATAAGCATCATTAGACTCATTGGCTTGATTACTCTCACGGAGAGTTTTACATGTACTATCATGTAATTGCCATTCGCGATTAAGATCTGCTATGCGCTGTCGAAGTTCATTCATACTGACTTGAGCTTCAGCATCGCGCATTTTGACTAATGTTAATTCTTCTTGTAACGCCGCTATTTCGATGTGAGGCGTTGATTGCAAGTTACGATTCTCCTACGAATAAGAAACATGATGACCTGTACGAAGATAAGACTTTTGATTTACCATGTTTAATTTCTCTACTGTTTCACGTAGCATCTCTAATTCTGTTGGACTGGTTAACTGAACAGAATTGTGACCGGATGAGGAGAACGTTGTATTCTTAAGTTTCTCATCTAATTGTTTTTTTAAAGTACAATTTTCACGTTTCAATTGATAAGATTCTTCGGCATATTGCGCATTGGATACTTGTCCTTCAATTAGACGATTTGCTAATGTTGCACTTTCCTTGACAAAACAAAAATACGACAACGAACACGATAGTTAAATCACTCATCAAGCTAATGATCCATGAAACATACTTTCTCCAGATTTTCCACTCGTTGTTTCAATAAGCGATTTTCATTTCGTAATCTCTAAATAAAGACAACAGTTTGACCTACAAACAGAAGGTATTTACTGAGATATACATACTCGAACTTCAATCTGCTCTTCTTGCTCTTCTTTACGAATAATATTGTATTCTTTTTCTAATCTATTCACAAGAAAATTGTCATGAGTTCGATTTCAATTCATCATGGATGTGTTTTATTACATACTTTTTCATCTTTTTACTATTATATTGCACAGAAAAAGCACGTTGGAATAGAGATTCATGATCCGTTTCATGTTTGATTGGTACGTCCTTTTGAAAGTACTAAAATGCAACACAAAAGAGAATCGAAGTTGATCATTACGAACAAAAGTATACAGGCGACTACTTAATGATTCACAAGTAAACTGATGATTGAACACACATTACTCTCCTTTGTTCTCCTTTCTATTGTGAGCAGTTAGACTTACAGACGTGACAGCAGACACCGAACCTTGGACACTTTTCAAAGTCTGTGTACAATGTTCGACTAGTCGATCTTGAACTGCATGTAAACGTCGGTCCATACGTGTAAATTAACACGAAATATGAGGTAGAAGCATCTATATAAAACGTCTATTTCTTTCTCTTCGTTTTTTCCTCGAAATTGCAAATGTCTTCTTTCTCTCTCCTCCTCCGTTTCTCTCTCGCGCGCGTTTCGAACAGAACAAAAACGTGTGCACACATACACAATCATCGCAGCAACGATGGTGTCATTTACTCTCTCTCTCTCCCTCTTTTTCTCTATTCTATTCCCTGTCGAATCGCAACATATTTGGTACACATATCTATAATACCAATACTGTAGTAATACACACATACACATATACTCAAATCGATTTTGTGCGATGCTTCCGGCTTGATTTTTTTCGTCCGTATCTCTCTCTCTCTCTGTTCTTGTTTCACATTTCGACAAGAAAATATCACTATGTGAAAGGTGTTAACAATACAATTACACACAATAACATGACCAACAGCTGCCGTTTAAAGGCTTATCATTTCGTTTCACTAAAAAAAGGATTTGAGATGAAGAAAAATAGATTACATACTTTCAACATATCATCCATACATAAAAGCATTAAATGATCTTGATGAATTTCGAGTAGAGCAATGCCCATACGGAATATAATCTCGATACCCTGGAATGAATTTTCATTTACTAATCTATGTGGAGTAAAAACACGAGTCGTACTTCACTCAAAAATAAATCCATTGTTCGACATGCAACAATAAATGGAAATTGATTTGTAAATAAGGTTAAGAACCAACTGGATGCATAGGTCGATGTACTAAAATTTTCGACTTGAAAATGTCGATAAAGATCTGGAAGAAATTCCTATGAAAAGAAAATCTGTTCACTAGGACATGCTTCCATAACAATGTTAAAATACCTGAATCATTGTCTCGAATTGAAAGATACATAAGCCCAAATAAAACATATCTGGTTTGTACATATCGCGCATACTCAAATCTTGCATCATCGAGACTAACACAGCAAAAGCGTCTTCCTCCGGCATCTAGCAAACAAACATGTCAGTCAATGAGAAATATTTGTCATTGTTTCACTTACATGCATCAATAATAATCCAACAATAAATCCAATACCTTGACAATAACCCACTTCTCGATCGTATAACGAGTATGCCTAGAAGTAACCGATGACAGTCTTTAGAATTACCTATGTCGACAGAACAAACTTTAATAACATTGAATAGACGCTCTTGTCCAATGCCATGTTTTTCTTTGAAGAACTCGTGATCGGGATATGTACGAGAAATATCTCGACGAATAACTTTCTCGCATGGCGAAGTCATTTTCATATACTCAGCATATTTGCCTTTCACATGCGATGTTTCAACTTTACCTAAACATTGCCAAAGCAATGGACGAAAATGAATGGGAACACCAGCTCGAATCATATCCTAAACAATAACAAGAATATTCTCACACATGAAAACGTTTTCACTTTCATCAATATACCTTTATCCATTGCGGCTTCTTTTTCATATAAGTTGTCCAATTATTGATGATTTTATTCCATACACTCCATTCACTTTCAAGATTACCTGTAGATAGAACTCAATCAACATGAAGATAATCTATGATCTACTCATCCTACCGTCCGTGTCGATAGTTAAATTGCTTACATCACTGGAAATCGAATCTTGTCGTAATTGTTTATGATGTAATTCCGGTGATTTTGGATGTCCTGTGTGATTCGTTTGAGTTGAATTTGCAGGAGATTTAGTGTCATACTCGATACGTCTTTTGAAAAGAAACAGAGAGAAAACGAAATGTTGAAAAAAAGAAATCATTGTATTTACCGATTCTCTTCTTCGAGTCGTTTCAACAATTCAATATCATCATTAGTCATATTAACTACAGGCAATTGTTCAGATGAGGATTGGGTCATTCGTTTTTCTTCTCGATCAAACTGTACAGACAACGCAATGATGACAATATAGAACAGAAAGAAAGAAAATGGGGAAGAGGAGAAAAAAAAACATGATCGAACATGACAATCTATTTGGATTGATGAATAAAAATGGAGGTTGAAGACGAATAAATGACATCATCAACACACCTACACAACAATCCAATGCATGATTAAACTTTTTCGCTTCTTCCTCACTGACAAAATTAATTGAATTCGATGGACAATAAAAGGGTATACTTTTATCTATAGACTATACAAATTTACCCTTTCAAACAGATTTACTTCTTCTGTACATTCGCATGTCCCATTAACACTTTTCTTCTTCTTCTTCTTTAAGACACATATTCATATGCTTTTGTTTCTTAGAACATGCAAAACTACTATACAATTAAATAAATGAGAAGTAAATACAAAATAGTTGTCTATATTTAAGGTCGTCAGTTCAAAAGGATGACACATCTACTGCGAAAAGTGTAATTTGTCAATCGATCGCAGGCTTTTAGCAATAAGAATGAAGGATAAACTCGTTAATTAAGAAATATCAACTTATTCAAGACATCTTTACCGTTACGTTGAGGACAAACAAAACGAAGAAGCGCATAGAAATGTAGAAACTGACTTGCACATTTTTTTCTCACGAGTCGCATATTTTTTTTCTTCTACTCTTTTCTCTCTGCTTTTTTTACCTTCAAACACCGCATTGCATTGCAATCCTTTCTCTTCCTGTCACCTGTGACGGTCGAGCTAATGCACGTATCGTGGCAATTCTCGACGTAGTGTTGCTTCTCGCACATGTCATGTAAATCAAACAAGAAAAAGACGCAAACAACACAGAGCTAAAGAAACTATTCGATACATATATATAGGATTCTTGAGCAAGAGAAAAACTGTTCCGGTATTGATTAGAAAACGGAAGAAAATAAATTAATCGATCCCCAGGGAAATATCACATTTGATCAGTCGATGTATTTATGATTAGCTTGAACATCGCTTCACAGAGCAAATTCATATGAAGAAAAGAATAGTTCTTTTCGCATGTCCATGATAACGGATGGAATTCTTTGATCATATGCAGTTTCTTTGTACATATGTCAATATTTAGTCAGATTTCTTGTAAAATGACGTTGTCTATAGGGTATGTCAAGAAATGAAAATGATCTGAGAATAGAAAAGAAGAAATCCTCAAGGTATTACATTTAATCTTGAAGCATTAGAATCAAATGATTTCTTTTAGTTCGTATCGAACTATTTGCAGGATTATTCTTCGTATAAATACACATGTATATATATATACACACACACACATGAATGGAAGGAACAAAGCGAAATAAAAATTACACCTTTGGTTCATAAAAGGTCAACCAATATATCAAGCTAAGTAGATTTGCTGTAACTATTAGCGAATGAATAGGTAATCCGAAGCCGGAATCATATGGTATGCCGTTTTTTGGTTCGTTAGGTACTGTAATACCAATACCACCGTGATGAGCAGCCCGGTCAAGTTGTAACTTATGTTCTCGGACAAAACGACGTGCACAGAGTGTCTTATAGACACATGTAATCGAATGACGAAGGCCGCTAAACAAAATCGAGAACAGTTAAGAATAGATTTTGAGTAAATTATCTTTACTTTAAACAACCGAGTAGCAGAATACTTTGGAAGGTCAAACTGAATGTTCCTAGTTTCATATTTGTTAAACCAATCAACGAAAAGACGATGTATAAAACCGTTCCAAAACCTACACCCTAGAAAACTCAGAGCAATAAGAAATTCTTCAAAAGAATTTTGAGTTTACTTTGAAAAAGCCCATTAGATCATGCACGAAACAATGTGTACGATGTTGACAACATTGTTCAACCGCTTGAATTTCCGTTGCGTAATCTGTTGGAATTTCACGTTTAGATTTTGCCGTGGATTCATTTTTACAAACTGTTTCGAACTTATCTATAAATACTCTACTAATTAATACGTAAATTTCATCTTACTCTCTTACGAAATAATTCTTTATTGATTTCATTTGCAAATTCATTTTGTAGACCATGACCAGCATTATCGAGCTTGATTAAACGACATCCAAGCACCTAGAATAGAATCGGAGATGTTGTTGAGGTCTAAATTAAATTCAACGACTAACACGTTGAAGTATATAAGAATTGGCTTCTCGCACGAGTCGATCTTCCGTGCCAACCATAATTAAACATTTGAATGGTGAATAGCGAATTTTAAGTAATTCAGCATAACTAACATAATGTCTGCAAACAGCTGCAAGATGTCCGATCAATCCGACCACAGATGGACGAATACGTTTACGAAATCGTTCCAGGTGATAATCATAAAAGGACTAAAACAAAACTTCCTTATTTCCAAAAACAAAAGAAGTATCGTCTCTCACTTTTCGTATTTCAGAATTACTAAGCGTATTTCGAGCATAGAGCATTTGTAAAACGTTTTCTACAATTGTATGTTCATCTTTTAAGAAGATTGACTGCATAATATGATATACTCCGATCAACGGAGCTTGACCCGAAAGACCACCGGCATGTGTCGCTAGGAGTGTCAATGAACGAATTCGTTCTGGTGCTAGAACGGCGAGTTCAAGTGCGATCATTCCACCCATAGATATTCCAACAACATGACATTGTTTCCATTGGAGATGATCGATGAGTCCTAAAGCATCTTTGGCCATTTGTGACGTTGAATAATGCAGACATAATGGCGATGACGATCGACCACACCCACGATTATCGTAAGTAACGCACTATAAATATACAACATAGATTCGTCGCGAAAAAATGTTACAACGTACTTGATATGCTGGTTTTTCTGTGAAAAATGCAGTCTAAAAGATATATAGTAGAGATAGAAAACAAAAGCCTCGTATATGTTTACCTGATGACACCATGCAGCACCTTCAGTTAATAAACCCATGATAAATAAGATTTTATTTTCACCAGATCCGAAAAGTTCATAGTACAAACGTAAGTTTTGACTCGATGCAGGCAATGTGACATAAGGCATGTTTTTACTACTAGAATTTGAATCCTAATCTAACAAAGTTAGTTCGCACTATGAAGTTTATAGATGATTACTCATTAAATGAATACTATTGGTTAATAAAAACATCCAGTGGAACTTTAGTATCTCGAAATCGTCCATAAACAACTTATTCAAATAGATCGAGCTATGAATTTGTTCAATGCACCTCTGCTTCCGTCGAGAAGTCAATCGATTAAAAAATATGTAATATTTTCATTTAACCAATGAAAAAAAACTTAAAGTATGATGCATAGAAGACATGCAGAATTGTACGGCGCACTTGTGTGTTGACTGATTTAGAACAAATTTCAATCGATAAAGAAGAAAGTTCATTTTTATTGTCAATATTTTGTGATTTTTATAAAGATTCTCATCCGTTTCTAACATACTCTTATCGATACTTTGGAAGAGATCCTCATGTATTCTCGATATCACATAAGAATTGGAATAAGATAGTATCAAGAGCACGGCTGTTTTAACAACTGTGACAAGAAAGAGTTTGAAAATGCTGAATATTATGTTTAAAAGCAAAATGACGTTTGTACTTCGCAGACATTCAAACTTTACGTCCAAAATTTTATGTACTCAGAAAATTATAGATTTGCCTCTCGTAAATCTGTGAAAAAAGTGGAGGTATAAGAGCACATTAAGAACTCTTTTCTTTCCGTTTTACTTCGTCAGTTGACAAACACTGAACAAAATGCTTTTGCTCATCTGCTTATTAACAATATATACACAGAATCAATACCTCACATTCTCGCAGTGGTACTATGTCATGGTTAACTACGATCTTCTCATCAGCAATAGTGTTCACAATAGATTGTATTTTTAGGTGTTCATGAAATACGAGTTCAAGCGGATCGACGGCTTGTTCCTCAATGCGTAAAAGGTATTCATGGCATCACGGCTATCTAAATTGTAAATGTTCTGATGTAACTATCGTTGCAAAAGGTCTTATCAGTGATAGTAATTTGATTCAGTGTACAAGTAGCAGTTGTAGTTCATAGACTACTGTGAATACACAAACATCTTGTATTGATTGTAGTAGTGCTTTAGATGTAGGCTCTGGCGAATACTATCAAGCAGAAACTTTTTCGATCCGCATATTCTTTACTATTTATAACTACTCCAGCGTTACGACTTGATGGTTTTCTCAATACAAGTCCTGTTGCTGTTACACTTTTAACTGTTTATAGGAAAATACATATTCAGCAGTTCCTGGTGCTAATCTTATTCAATCAAATTGTACCATAGTATTTACTCTTACACTTACCAGTTAGTATGCAGGAGCCGCATTACAAGTTGAAGACTATTATAACTGAGCAGGAACAACATCAACGAATTCTGCATCACTACAATTTCTGTTCTATGGTAATCCGACACCTTCAGGTTGCACAACGCCACCAGCAATTATCGATAATCGATGAAATCGAGATAAATATTCTCTCGCCCGTTCATAGTTGACTGCTATCAATGTTATTAGCTTGCATCGGTACACTTTTTGGCTCGAAAGTCACTGAACACTATTGTTCAAGCATTTTGAATGGGACAGAATATTGTCAACTTTGTCACAAGCACTCCGATGGGCATGAGGAAAAGTGCGATATTAAGTCTCAGCACAAGTTAGCTGAAATTCCGTTGTTGACTTTTGTTCTTCTACCGATTGCTTTCTAGATATTTTCCATCTTATTCTCAGTTAGATTCCAACATCTGATCAATACGGTCTACAAAGTTTCTATGCTGGAGTTATTGATAACGCGAATCCACAATTGAATCGGTGGTGTATTATATTATTAGTTGGCTTTGAGTCATCTCACGCTATCCGAACGATACTTGTTCAGAATTCGGCATCGCCAATTGATACTATTTTTCAAATTCACACATAGTTTTCTATTCAAAGTAATGCTGCTCTTTCAGTGAAAGATGTTTATTCAGTTCTATCAATGATTCTTCTTGTATCTGTAGCATCGAAATCAGTTAATCGTCCGAACCGTAACGGTACTTATATTTACTTCTGGAATTCTACCATCGGTAATACACTCGTTCCGAAATATGATTGTGGTTTGGAATTCGAATTAACGTATATTGGGTTTACTATAACGATTCGTTTTTCTACTGCACCATAGTTTTATGGACATTTCTACTATGTCACATTTGATAGTGGTACGTATAAAGTAGACAATGGGATTTATGATGAAACTCTACTTTTTCAAAGTAGGTGTGGTAAGCAGTATTGAGTTTTTCTTGTCAGTGATACAGTTTCACCTGTAAGAATGTTGACCATTGAATGGTAGTTGTAAGTTCTGAATCGGCACCGCTAACTGACCCTACCTATTGGGTATTCAACAGATGAAATCCATCATTATCGTCAGCAGCAGCAGCAACAACTAGTGAGAATAGATTTCGACTACGAATAATCATATTCGCCTATGTCACTCCAACAACCATTGGTTCAACTACACTCTATGTGCCAACTAAATCAACAATGACCGTGCTGTATCAGAAACAGATCGTGCGTTTTCAACAGTTTCAACATAGTTTTCTCACAGTTCATCATTTATATGATAGGAAGACATATGTATATCTGTAATAGGAATCATGCATAATGCCTTGCTTGAGGGTGATGGTGCTCATCCAGGCGTTGATCATGGATGCTATATTCACAAAATTATCGAACATATTTAATCCAACTTACATCAATGCCAAAGGCAGACTTGAACTACGAATAAAACGAAGTTCACGAGCTTAAATCTAAATTTTTCGTTGCTGAACAGCACATTTTTCTATTTAATCACGAATGTTTGACGTTAAACTTTTCGTCAACATGTTTAATATCGGAATTCCGATCGTATTATTGCACCCCGCATTACCTCGACATAACGCTTCACTCCAAAATATAATCTTTTTCAGTGGTGATGAAGAATAAATGCACTTATGTTTTCTTTCTCAAACCCTTTGAGTATTTCTTCCGAACAAAGATTACCAACTGACAATTACTTGTAAATAACATTCTATGTCGTTCTTTTAACAACTCACTAGAGATGACTTCCAATAGACAAACACCCAGAACATTCTCAAACTTCTTGGATCAATTCTCATTTGACAAACGATGCGTCCTTCATTGCACTTAAAGTCATGCAATACTCTAAGCAATCTATTTATTATATGAATGTACGAAACAAAATATATATTAATAATAGAAAATAATCATGAATAACTTTGGAATTGAAAAGTTTATTTTTTCAAAATAGACAGCATAAGGATACTCTATCTTATCTTGTCTTTCTAAGGTGTAAAAACAATATCTACTGTGAAGTACATTCAGGTACTTTAGAAACACAACCGCACTGGCTATTCATATATCGAGATGTGAATACAGAACACCCTACCGGTGTGTTTTCATTTCGAGTTTGATTCGTTGCGTACCTACGGACAGAAGTAATGATAAGATCAACATGATCAAAGTCAATGTGTAAAAGTTGCTTTTAATAATTATTGGATGACTTATCGATTACAGCAGTACGACTCACCGTACTTTTTCTCCTGTTCGTTTGAGAATATTGATTTTTATTTCTCAAGGCTAACGCGTTTTTTTTTTGCTTTCTTTCTTTTCTTCTTTCCATGACACATTCGCTTTCTTGCAGCCTAATCGTACTTCACGTGCTAATCTAAACATTCGTCTTCTATTCAACAATCAAGCAACTTTTAGATAAGTCCTTCAATTTTTCATTCGACAGCACGTTCTATTCAAGACAAATTACCATTTATGGCTTGTCGAATCCGTCGTACATCTATGGAACATTTGGAAGTTTATGATTTAGATAAATTACACAAGATCTTGTCATCTAGAGATCATCACAAACCTCCACCGATACCTCCATCTCGTGAACACCGACATCGATTGCCACCACAATTGACTTTTCAACGTTATCAATTTCTGTGCAATATGAAACGTCATAAAACGGATCCGATTTATGCAGCGACACCCATGTTTACAACCATTCCACATTCGATCTACGTTAGACCTCGTCGACAATTACTTGGCTCATATATTCCTGCACATGTAATTACACCTTTAAATACTAAACTCAATGAATCAGACGACATGAAAAGTCCTGCTTTGACTAACAATTCGAAAGAATACGAAAATGATGATGAGAAAGAAGAAGGTGACGACCACGACGATGATGATGATGATCGTGGTAGAGATTCTGACAATGACAACGATGATGACAATGGAGATGATCAATCAAGTAGTAGCAGTAGTTCCGATGATGATGACGATGATGATGATGAGATTCTTAATGATGGTGACGATGAGCATATAACTGCGACCGAACAAATATTCAATCGTGATAAAAAGTAAAGTATTTCTTTGATTCTCTACTCAATTTGCAGTTTAATACATCCAATATTTCTTTCAACTAAAAATATCCTTCTCCATTTTTTTATTTTCTAAATAAAATGATGGAACAATCTAATAGCGGTTCAATTTGATTAGTCGAGCAGAGGACACACTAATCCGATCAGAGTTCTCTTTCTCCTTCACATGATCCTACGCATCATCTCTGTGAAGATCAAATAACATATTTATTTATCTTGTCCTTTTCTGCTAATATACAAAAAAGTATCTAGTTATTTAAAAAGATAATCAATCGAATCATTTTTCAACTCGGATCTGCAATTGAATCTTCGTTTGACATGTTATTCCATCGTTATTGTCTTCGATGACAATCTCGATGTTAGATCATTCCAGAATATCGAGCTGCAAGGGTATAGAGTTTTTTTTTTCTCGAACACATATCTTCGACCTTGGGATGCATAATCGTAGAGATGAAGAAAACGAGTTATGTCTCGTTTCCGCTCGTATATTCTCTTCAATAAAGATTAATACCATTTGTTATTTTTGTTCTTATTGCTATTATTCAGTGCATAAATACTAATTAATTCGCGCACATCCTATTTCTTCGCGAAATATCTTAATTTCGATAAAAAAAGAAGAAAAAACAACAATCATCGTTTCTTTTGCGTTTTCTCAGATAAAGAAAGAATGAATCATGTATGTTGTTACAAAGTAACAATATATAGCCTATCATCACTGATTTTCCTACACAGAACGACGTCAAACAATCTGAATTGTACAGAGAACGAGTATATATATATATATACATATTCAACTACGCATAATGATGTGTTCTGTTTCTTCTTCTACTAATCGACATCCCACCCATTTGGTTCTCGACAACACAACTCAAATAACGGTGCAGACAGCATCAGCAATAACTCGGCATCCTCTTCTTTTGCCTTTTCCACATCGTCAATGTGTACAGACATAGATGCGCCTTGTATAACAGAGAGGAACGTCGAAAAAGAAGAGAAAAAAAACCGACAGATATAGCTCTATAATTCTCATATCAGCAGTTTCTATTGTCCTTTGTGTATAGAACGCTATTTCATCCAGGTAGGAAGACCTACCCAGCAGAAAAGTTTTTTTTGCAAGCTAAAAATAGTCAATTATTGTTGTTAGTTTTAGGATAATGAATTGAAACATTACTCGATGACTAGTACGGAAAAAACTAGTGACGTGAAATCAACGTCGTCACCCATGAAAACTACTGCGAATGTTAATACAAAACAAAGAGTATGTGACACTGTTCCTGAGCCACCTGCACGTCGTTTGGACATCGGAGATTTATATTCTAATCCATCGGATCCAGCTAATAAGCCTGATTTGGAAAAGCTCAAGCAGCATCTTCTCCTTGAAGGTCGTCTTACTGAACAAGCGGCACTTCGAATCATTGAATCCGGTAAATAAGACGCGAAAAAGAAGCAAAAGATCGACGAAGAGTGTTTTTTTTTCGACATGTCAACATAGCTAATAGGATATTTCTTCAGTCAGACGTTATTTTTAGATCAAATGAAGATAAGTCTGACGAACTCGAGTCTATACACAATGTACGAATAAAAATAGACTACATAGTTCTCCTCTGAGAAAACTTCTTTCGATAACAGATGATTTCTAACCACAATGTCAATTTGTTTTTCATCAAGTCTTGATTAGTTTCGCAAGTCATATGAGTTCTATATTCAATTGAATAGATGTCACATTTTAATACTATCTGCTAATCATGTCTTAATTGGATTATAGGTGCTGCTGTCCTACGTGAAGAACCAACTTTATTAACAATTGAAGCACCAGTAACAATCTGCGGTGATATCCATGGACAATTGTATGATTTAATGAAGTACGATACTTGATTTCTTTCTGCATATGATCAATTTCATTTTTTTTCTCCAAAGATTATTTGAAGTTGGCGGTCCAGCAGGTGAAACTCGTTATTTATTTCTTGGCGATTATGTTGATCGTGGCTATTTCGGAGTGGAGTGGTACAGGACTGATTTATAATCTTATCTAGAACTTGCATTTCTCTTCATGTTTAGTGTACTATACCTATGGTCATTGAAAATCCATTTCCCCAAACAATTTTTTTTACTCAGAGGCAACCATGAATGTCGACATTTGACCGATTACTTTACGTAAGAGAGATCGAACTCAAAACCAAACTTTTAACAAATTTCGATTTAGTTTCAAACAAGAATGTCAAGTGAAATACACTGACAACGTCTATGATGCCTGTATGGAAGCGTTCGATTGTCTTCCATTAGCAGCAATCATGAACAATCAGTTTTTATGTGTGCACGGTGGTCTTTCGCCTGAAATTCAAACATTGGATGATATTAAACAAGTAATTCATTGATTTTCTTGTTCGCTTGAGTTTATTGCGATTAACTTAATAATCGCAGAAAAAGATCGACACTAATGGCTAAAGGACAGACTGTTTTCTTTTTCTTCTTGATCAAAAGGTCGTCTTCTCGGCTGAATAGAAGGCCATTCGAGAGCAGATTTCTTACTTAATTACTACAACTTTCCATTGACTCATGCTTAGTCGTCTCCAGATTTTCTCTATCGAAATCTTCGCCAATAAATCAAAGATTGACACAATTCTTTCTCTCGCTCTCTCTCACTGAATATTGAAAGACTTCATTGAAAGGTTAACTGCATCCAAAAGATTACTCTTTCTGTAACTTTACTATTTCCCGTCAAATTATGATTGACAACTGTCTGACAAGTTTTTCGTGCTCTTTTCTAGTTAGACCGATTTCATGAACCACCAGCACATGGTGCTATGTGTGATCTTCTTTGGTCGGATCCAGCCGAAGATTATGGTAATGAAAAAGGATCGTTAACATTAGTCGCCACACGTCGAATGAGTGCACCAGCCAAATCGACAACGACCTCAACGAATGGATCATCTCTCTACTTACCCAACGCGACACGTGGCTGTTCGTATTTTTACACATATGCTGCTGTTAATGAATTTCTTATACGTAATCAGATACTCTCCGTCATTCGTGCTCATGAAGCTCAAGATATTGGTTATCGTATGTACAAAAAGTCGCCTGATACGGGTTTTCCTTCGTTAATAACCTTATTTTCGGCACCCAATTATTGTGATGTTTATCAAAATAAAGCAGCAATTATGAAATATGAAAATAACGTTGTTAATATCCGACAATTTAATTGTTCGCCGCATCCATATTGGTTACCTAATTTTATGAATGTTTTCAACTGGTCATTACCATTCGTTGGAGAGAAGATCAACGATGTTCTACTGAAAATTCTGAACATATGTACAGATGAAGAATTAGCTGAAATTGACGAACATATCGATTCTTTGATCGAACGTAATCAAATGGAACAACGAAAAGAACAAATTCGATCGAAGATACGTGCCGTCGGTAAAGTTGCTAAAACCTACCAAACTTTACGTGAACTTAGTGAAAATGTTGTTACACTACGTGGTTTAACACCCTCGAATAGTTTAACTGAATTAGACAAAGAAATAACCAGTGAAGCCGAAGCTGCTGCCTCGATTCTTCGAGAAAAGGCTTCGTCAACCAAAGAACGCTTTTCGAAAGTGAAAATACTCGATCAAGCTAATGAACGTATGCCACCACCAAAGAATACAAATCCATTGGGTGGACCAAGCGTTGCCGAACTTATCAAACAAGCATCAAGTATTAGTCAATCATCCCAACCAATTAAACGAGAAACACCAGCAGCTATTCTAGCTGGTGTTTCACAACAAGGTATCGTCAGAATGCGACGTGAAAGTTATGCTGGTGTACCATCAACAGCACTTCGACGCTCCCCAACACCAGTGGTGGAAATACCGACGCTTGTTGATGGAAAATCAACAACGACAGGAAACAAATAAAAATTTTATTAATGATATCGACCGGCAGGCCGGCTATGACCCTTGTTTTTCTTCATTTCTTTTCCGCCTTCTCTCTTCCTTCTTGAAAGTTTCTTTTTTTTTCTTCTTTTCGTTTGTTTTTATTGACATTATTTTAAACCCATATATTTATTTTGAAAGCAAAATATATCGCCGTAAGCAAGATATATTCTTATCAGAAAGTGAAGATTACCGATTGAATGACATACATGAGAACAAACGGTATAGAACGAACGGATTTCGAATCGATTGTTGCTACAGTTGTATCTATATTAGTTTTGTTCTCAACAAACGAGCTCTCAGCATCTCTAGCATTCGAACACAATACACGCTGTTGACTGTCTGTATTGCAAGCACGCACATTCATCGTATGAGTAACGCCAAAGATGTAATCTTCGTTGAGTTCATAGAACAACTCGGTGTTAGGTAAATACGGTTTCTTGTCATTTCCATCAACTGTTATACGATAAGTATCAATAGGACCATTTGGTAATTTTGGTGGCGTCCATGTCAATCGTAACCGTTGTTTGATGAGTGTAATATGAATCTGATTGGGGGGCGATGGTCGTGAAACATCTGTACGTATTGTATACGTTTTTATATAAATCACTTCGGAACAGTTGAGATCAAAAGAATACATTGTATATGTTTGTAAGTTGTTAATTGTAACATAACCTTTCGAAGTAGTCGAATGAAATTTGACAGGTTCGAAATTGCCTGTTTTATTTGTCTGAACATGGCAGGAACATGGAATAGTACAATTGGATAATTCGACGTTGAGACTAGAATAAAAACACTAAGAAGTGAATAGAGAATGAACTGCTTACGTAACACTATCATTTGTTATAGTTGAAGTATTGAAGAATGTTGCAGAAAATGTAATCACATCTGCAGAATCAATCACATCAATACCATAAATTATTATACAAAGACTGCTAAGTAGATACATCTGTGTGTGAAAAGATAAATGGCGGTTTTGATTTTCAATTTTACATACTTTTCATGAAGAATTTCATATTTCTATTGCAATTTCTCCACTTAACTTCATAATTGCGACTAATCTAATGAAAGAACTTGACAATTTTCATTTTTATGAAGAACTTCAGAATTAACTTACCGATTGATTTTCTGACAATGAAAATGACAATTAGCGACATCTGCCCGTCGTTTCTTTCTCGAAACCAACTTAGAAACGATTGTCATCGTTACACACTTACAAAACATAATTGATGGATGAATGTTTTTTCATATACATGTTCATTTCAAAATTTGTAGATTGCCTACAAACATATCATAAAGAATTATGATGTTCGATCAAAAGCCACCGACTGATACCGGTGGACCATCGTTCACATTGCCAAACTATGAAAGTAAGGTCGTCGCTCCGAGAAATCCAACATTAAATCGTGGTCCGAAGATCGAACCAAAAGTACGCGGAATCATTACGAATGAGAATCAATCGATTGATCATTTTCGATTCTAGTTCACACCTTCGACATTTTTAAAGGAAATGTCACTAGACACTCAACAGAAACTATTGAACACAAGAGAAATGTACTTGCCGAAAATTATCGCTCTCTCAGATATGGCTGAAACATCACTACAAACAGTAAGATATTCACTTTTGAACTAGTCAACATTTAACTTTGATTTCGTAGACAACTAAAGTTGATATCGATGAACCTCTCTTCCAACCATATCCGTCGGATATCACTTTTCAAAAATACGAACCATTCAATACTTACGAAGTGCCTTTATTACTTCGAAATAACGATAAAGTAAGCATCGTTTGACTTCATTGGAATATAGATCCATTACGCGTCTTTATTTCATCAGGTTGCACGAGCGGTTAAAGTCACACAAGTCGATACGCCATACTTTACAATTGTACCACCACCAAATGCGTTTCAGAAAGTAGCACCTGGCGTGGCACTTGTATTTCGAATACAATTCAAACCGGAAGAACAACGAGTACGTATTGACAACCTCTTATGTAATGATCAATGAAAGAAATCTTCGTTTAGGATTATACGCATGAAATATTAATTGCAACTGAACGTGAAAATTTCCTCATACCGATCCGAGCGATTGGTGCTCGAGCTATTCTAGATTTTCCAGACGATATTACATTTCCAACAACAGCTGTTAAAAGTACGAACATGAGTAAAGTTTTATTCGTTCGAAATATTGGCAATCGTGAAGCTCGTTTCGTTTTACAAATCAATAAGTAATTTTGTTTTGTCTCACTTTGACGAAGATATTTGAAAAACATTGAATTTAGACCGTTTATCGTTTCACCGGAGAATGGTCTCCTACCTGTCGGAGAGAGTATGCAAGTCACTGTTGATTTTCAACCAACAGTGAATGGCGAAATGAAAGATGAACTTGTCATATCATATGATACTGGTTTGTCGATCGATGTACATGTAAATAAGATGATTTATTTCGATATTGTAGGAGAAAAAGTGTATGTGAATGTTTATGGTGTCTCTCAAGATATTAATGTTCGATTGGAGAAGAGTTCGATTCATTTTGAACAAACATATTTAGACATGATTAATCAACGTACAGTAACATTAGCAAATCGTAGTAATCAATTAGTTCATTTTCAATGGAAACAATTCGCCACAGAACGCGAAGAAGAACAACAGAAATTACGACAACTTCATGCTCTTTCCGAAGAGGAAATCGATGCCTTACAAAAGCTCAATGGTAATTGCTTTTTACACTCGGTTTCGACAAATTTTATTTTGTACTTTCAGTCAATGCAAATGAATCACCATCGGCTGGTCCATTTGATTTTGGTGTATTAATTCAACGTACATTTGTCAATCATCGTCGTCAACTAAACTCGGAACCTTATTTATTTGCTCATTCGAATTATCGTATCGATCCTGTCGAAGGTGATATTTGGCCAGGTGGTACACTCGATATTCAAGTTCTATTCAAACCAAACGAAGCACGGTTATACAAGCAAACAGCATGGCTAGATGTTGTCGGGCGCGAACAGCGTTTACCACTCGTTTTATCAGGCGAAGGACAAGGTGCCAAAGTAGAAGCATCATTTTCTGTCTTGGATGTCGGTTGTGTGTATGTTGGCTCGACACATCTCTATGAAGTTGTTTTAGCAAACAAAGGTTTCATTGAAGCACGTTATCGTATCCAATCAATTGAATCTGGTTTCGGCTCGTGTTTTCTGTTCGATCCATCCGCTGGTGTGATTCCAGTTGACAATTATCAAGCGATACAAGTGACATTTCACAGCGACCAGCTAGGTCAATTTCAGCAAACATTTCATGTCGATGTCGAAGGAAATCCAAATCCCGTGGAAATCGTTTTCCAGGGACAAGTTATCGGCCCAACATTCTATTTTGATCAAGCGCTATTGAAGTATGGTCTCGTCTCTTACGGTTTCTTAACCACTATACCATGCCAATTGTATAATACTTCACTTGTTCCAATGCCATTTCGATTACACATTGACCAGGATAAACATAAACGAAGCAATCGTCATTCAATGAATAGTGATGATGATGCCAATGACGATCGAATGATTAATACTGAATTTCAAATTCGACCCTCGCATGGAACAATTCCACCACAGAGTGACATCACAGTTTATGTTGACTTCGTACCAAAAGCTATTCAAAAATACGATACGTTCCTGCAAGTAGATATCGATGGGGTCGGAAAGAATATCTTCTCGTTACCGATCACAGCAAAGTAAAGCAAACCGATTGATTCTAGAGAAAAATAATAATAAGATTCTGTATCTATTTCCTAGGAGTACTGTTCCACGCGTCACACTTCATAATGAAACAATGGATCTCGGTCGAACATTTCTAAATCATCCAAACGAGCGTTATGTTCGCTTACAAAATTCTACCAGTCTTCCAGTGCGTTATCAATTTATCTATCCACATTCGGGACGTTTACAATTTGACTCCGTCGAACGTGAAGGTGTTGTCGAAGCAAACACTACGCGAGATATTCCTCTGACAGTCACTATTAAACAACTGGGTGATATTACAGAAAAACTCGAAGTTCATCGAGTTGGCGCGCGTGATGCTCCATTAGAAGTACAAATTACAGCAACTGGCACAGGACCTGTTCTATTTATCGATCCAAATGAGATACGATTCGGTACTATCAGTGTTCTTGATGAACATACGCAAATACTTTCACTGTCCAATGAATCTCCAATACCGGCTGTATTTCAATGCGAATCCGACAAGAAGAATTCCTGCTTTTCTTGCGTACCAAGTTCGAGCGTGGTCGAACCTCATACATCCATGGATATTCGTGTTATTGCCAAACTTAATGATCGTCTCAAGTAAGTTTCAAATGCTGAGTACTCGAATTTCATCTATCCTCTTTTAGATTTAACGAAAATCTGATCATCAATGTCGAACATAGTGTTCCGTGCACAATACCAATCACAGCCCAAGGCACAGGTGCATTAATTGTACCTGATGTTCCAATCTTTCCTTGTCTCAATTTGGGTTCACGTTTTGTCGGAACATCGATTGTCCAACGCATTCATTTTACAAACAAAGGCCGTCGTCAACTAGCTGTTCATTTCATATCTGCAAGTGATACCAAAGCTGCCTACGGTATCCAGAGGAAACCAAAAGCAAACAATAAAGAGCCTGAAGTCGATCCATTAGCTGATTTAACATTTCGTCTCGAACCTGAACGTTTAGAATTCGCACCGGGTGAAACACGTCTTTTAACAATTACAGGTTTTGCCGCACAACCAAAAGTTGTCGATGAAGCATTTACATGCTTAGCTATTATTGGTCGTTCAACTGGTCGCGATAAATTACTTTCCTTGAAAATTCACTGTGACTTCGTCGAACCATTGATGTCATTTTCGAGAACTGATCTTTATTTTCGTGCGGAATACAATGAACAACGACAACCGGATACTGTGCGTGAACCGATTCCCTCGGAATTAACATTTTCAAACATATCTGCCATCGATTTAACTGCACATGTTCGTGTGAAATATCCATTCTTGCTGAAAAATGATACCAATGATGAATTCAATTCCGTCAGTCGTTTAGATAGCATAGATGAACCAATACCGGACATCCCGACGAACTTTACATTAGGCAAGACAATAAAAATCTTAACGGGAATGAGTTACTCCGAAGTAGTTTATTTCGATCCGAGCGCCGATACAAAAGAAATTTCCTGGAAACGCGATGAACAATTGGTATTCAGCTACGAAGAACACGCCTTCCATGTAAGTTTCGCTGAGAAGAAATAGAAAATAAAAACATCGATTGCTTCTTTAGGATACGATTCAACTTCATGGTGAAGTTCATTATCCAAATCTGTCTATTGAACATACTGATCTCGATTTCGGATGTATTCTTAATGGTTCAGAAGTAACACGATTTATCAACATGGTCAATGTTAGTCCATTACCGGTCAAATATCTGTGGACATTTGTTCTTGATGAAAACGAACCAAACTTTGTTTTTGAACCTCAACCACGAACTAGTATCTCGTATCCACAGTCAGATCAAATGCAAATTCAAAGTGGTCCATGGTCGGAAAATGCTGCTGATCAACAAGACACACCACATGATAATACAACTGTCACACCAAAAATCGACGAAATATTCGATATTTCGCCATTTTTCGGCAGTCTTCAGCCAGGGTAAGTGTCAAATATAGCGAACGAAAAACGAATTGAAACAACATATCTCCTCTATTTGTAGAGAAATCGAAAAAACCGCTGTTCGTTTCTACGGTCGTCCAGGTATAACAGCGAACGTGAAAGCTATCTGCCAGGTTGACAACGGTCCTATCTACAAACTATCACTTCATGGTCAAGCATCATTCGTTGCATATCATTTGAATACGCACGAAATCGATTTTGGTGATGTACATTTCGATAGATCAACAATGCGTACATTAACATTAACCAATGATGGTCAAGTACCGTTAGATTTTCAATTCTTAAATTTAAATAATCTAAATCCAACTGATCAACATGCACATTTATCCATTGAACCAGAATCTGGCCTTTGTCCAGCTTCGAAATCGTTGGTTATAACAATTAAATTCTTGCCGAACATTCCTGAACATTTTGAGAAAACAATCTTCTTACAAATTGCGCACTTTCGTCCGGATGAGATTCACTTAGTTGGCACAGGAATGTTCTCTCGTTTAGAAATTAATTTACCACGTCACATCACGGAGAATTCTATTGAAGAGAAAATATTCACTGAAATCAAAGATAAAACCGATGAAACAAATCGACAACAGCAACTCGATACACTCGTCGTACAAAACTTCGTCGAAAAATTCAACGAAGCAATCCCTTCTCCACCCGGCGCATCCCTTGATCAACTCGCTGATTCTCAAATACAACAATCTGTACGATCAAGTAATATGTCCTTATCAACATCAACATCGACAACAACAAATGTAACGAAACGCACATCAAGCACCAAGTCAATGCCTGTCTTACCTGATTATATCGTTGATTTTGAATACGTCATTCTTGGAACCGTTCGACAACAAAAAATTCATATGAAAAATCCAACGTCGAATAACATTACCTTTCAAATCGAACGAGGAACCTATAGAAATACAGGTTTTTCATTTGATTGCGATCGTATCAAGAACTTACCGCCTGGAGAGTCCATTACCGTCACAGTCACATTCGATCCACGTGGTGCTAATCTTGGTCTTGGACCTGTGGAATGTCGAGTGCCAGTAGAAGTAAGTTAAGTCTCTCGACCAAATCGAATTCTTTTTCTTTTCATCAGGTCACGTCGGGTCCATCATTCCATTTACGTTTGAAAGCGAATGTAACCATGCCAGATCTCAGTGCATCGAACGATATGTTCGATTTTAGTACAGTAAAATGTGGCGAATGTAAAATAGCCACGATACAATTACAAAATCCGAAAGAAATCGCTTGCAGATGGGTTGCTGCTTATCCTGGCGTAAGATTTCAATTAAGATTCTTTTAGTTTCTATGAGTTCGAGCTTTTTCAGGAAGATTCCTATGGTAAACAAGTCGGTCGTTTTCCACGACGTGGAAATATCAGTAATCGAAAGAAACCATCAACTCGTATTTTCGAAGTTTTACCACCATCAGGAATCATACAAGCAGGTCAAAAAGCCAATGTTCAAATCAAATTTACCCCAGTGGAAGAAGTAATTTCTCAGATTGAAATCTTCTTCGTTCATAGTTTGATTTTGTTGTAGACAACATATGAATCACGTGTTCTCCTACGCATCGATCAAAGTAGTCAACGATTAATGATAATTTGTCGTGGGATTGGTCTTGAACCACAAATTATTATCGGACAAATGCGCGGTACAACATTTGAGCCGACGACATCAATTGTGTTCAATCCTATCCTAACACATAGCAATGGCGATGAACAAGAAATTGTCATAAGAAATCCATGTACATTTCCAGTCGAAATTTATAATCTAGAATTCGATAAACAATTTCTCGAAGAAGAAAAAGTAATTCAATCCTGCTTATATCTCATTTTGAATGACGTTCTGTATAGGTACTACGTCTTTTGCCTGGTTATGATGAAAATAATAACATTCTCTTACCGACACGAGCTGCAGGAGAAAAATTACCACCGGAAATACAACAGTTTTATGACAGTAAGACCTACGCAGTCGGAATGAAAAGATGTAGACAAATGATATGTATTGAATTTTAGAAGTGGTAAAACAAGCCGAGGAAGAAAAACAAGGAAATCTTACGAAAAGAACAGAGGGTAACGAATATCTGTGAAGTGAAGCATCAGCACAACATAAATCCTTGCTCTCTTCTAGATGGATCATTGGTTCCTCCTGATGGTGTTGAATCGAATGTAGCTGAAACCAGTTCTGTTTCACATCAGCCGACAACCACAACATCGATTACTGCTGAACGAAATACGAACGGAAGAGCGAGTTTGAATCTAAGTATCGATCCTACCGACGTATCATTTGTCGATAAGAGTGAAGTGACATTGAAACGCATCGCAGAAAAACTCATCGATTATGATATGACGCCTGTTGCTGAAGCCTTGGCACGTCATTTAGGTATCGATTTAACCAATGATGGCATACAAGCACGCAATCGACGTGGAATTGCAATCATAGTACACGGGCCACCTGGTTCAGGTAAAGCAACATTTTCATAGTGACGATTTTCTATATGATCAATGGAATATTTCGTTAGGAAAAACAATGATTTCTCGCGAACTTAGTCAACGTTATGATTGTGCCCTGATAAATCTTGATCAAGTGATAATCGAAGCAATTGATAGTTCGAATCGTAGTGAACAAGCGCAACGCGCTTATCAATCATGTCGTGAAGCTTTCGAGAAACACATCGAAGATCAACAACGACAAGCAGAGCTGGATGCTGATCATCCTGCACCTGTTCCCATAGGTAAAGTCGAAGGGAAAGAATGATTTTCTTTTTTTGAATGAATAAGGAATCATCAAATGAAAGATTTCCATGAAAGTAAACATTATAATGAAGATATTTTTTAATGTATAATCCTAGGCAAAAATCGTCGACGTTCTTCCATTCTACCGATAATTACATCGCCTACTAATAGCAATGCGTCGCCAAGAAGTGTGTAAATGAAAACTCGTATTCTCTCGCTCTTAGCAAATTTGAACTAAAATTCCTTCTTATTTTCTCCACTTCTTTTTGATTTTTATGCTGTGCATTCGATGATCAGATTGTGACTGTTCTTATGTCTTGTTTTAGTTACACATACGAAAAAGCCAACTGATAAGAAGAAGAAAGGCTCCGAAGTAGCTGATTCAAATGCTCAAATTGCAACTCTCGAACCGCAACCATTAGTTGCTCCTCCACAAATCAAATTCAAAGTACATAAACATCTCTCATCTGCAGCTCAGCAAGAATTAATGCAAACACACAAGAGTTCGGATGATGCTACATCTATTCTCGAAGATGATCAAGAAGAATTGATGTCATTCGTATTAACAGAAGATGTTTTCGTAGAAATTCTTGCCGCACGACTTCAGGTAAAGCATATTCGCTTTGATACATACTTGTGAACACTTTCGTTTTCTTATTCAGAGACTAGACTGTCTTCATGGTGTCGTCTTCGATAGTCTCGATACATCATTTCTTGCCAATGCATCACAAACCGCAATTGCTGTTTTGAAAGCAATCAACAATCGTTCTTATATCTATGCTATAGTCACAAATTTCTCCTATGCTAAATATAAAGAAGCTCAAGCTAAAGCGGACGAAATACGCCGTATGTAAAACTTTTTTGCCAATTCGATGGATTAGTTAACTGGTGACTACTTTACGTGTTTTTAGGATCGGAAGAACGTTTGCGAGAACAAGCTGAAAAAGAATATGTCGAAGAGATGGGTGAAGACGAATATGATGGTTTACCTGAAGAAGAAAAACAACGTATTGATCAACGAAGATTACAACAAAAGAAAGATCGTATTCAACGGTGAATTTTTTCCATCAATTTCTGTTTTCTAATTCCAAATATTCGCGAATGTTTAGAGAACAACGACTCAAAGAAGAAAAAGCGCGATTAGAACAAGAACGTTTAGCATCGAAAGAAGTCGAACCGTATGTGTTAATGTGATCGACTGCTTTTCATTCCATTGATGTGTCTTTCTCTAGGAAAAAGACGAAAAAAGGCGGATCAAGTCAGCCGTTGATGGGTAAAGGCACTTCGACATTAGGTGGAGACAAAAATCTTGCTGCTTCATCAACTGCTGTTGCTGGTGGCAAAGGTGGATCTCGAGTGACATTGATTAGCGCACGTGGTCCAGCTGGTTCTGATCGATCAAACATGAAACTGGATGGTTCAAGTGCAGAAGATCTTGAAAAGTATGCAAGAAGAGCGTTTCATGTTTAATAGGAAAACGTGTGTTATTTGCAGGAAGAAAGCTTCGAAAAGTGAACTGAAATCTCTTCGAGATCTTTCTATTAAAGAAGAAGGTGAAGGTTCGGGTAGTTTAATTAAAGGATCAACTACAAGTGATCTTGAAGATGAAAAAGAAAAAAAGAAAGATCGTGAATTACTGACGAAGTAAGTTTGGGAAAGCATACATTTTCCTACTTTCTATCTCTCGATTCCTTTAGATTCAAAACGTTTGAATTTTATCGTAACGATGTACTCAATGTTTTCGAACTTTGGGATCGAACAAAAGGCGTGACACGAAATCCGCCAACACCAGTCAATCAAGGTGAAGACGAGCATGGCTCTGGTGCTCTTGCAGCTGGCGGAAAGAAAGTTGCACAGAAGAAAGACAAAGGTATTGAATGATGAATTTTCTTTCATGTCTATTGCAACTTTGATCGTCATAGTCAAACGAGATACTCTTCAAGCTCCTTCATCTGAGTTGACGAGGAAAAATTCACGTACTTTGTTAAATAATTGCTCTTCATTTTGCCTTTAGTTTTTGTTTTTGCTAATTATTCATGGACTACAGTTGAAATTTTGTTCTTTCAGGAAAGAAAGCCGATACAAAAGATAAAGAAAAAGTCGAAAAACTAGATGAGAACGGTCCAACAAGTACTCCTGTTCAACATCTATCGAGTACAACGCCGATCAATGTTGTAAGACATACGAGATGTTTGTTATTATTCATCTACTCATTCTCTGTTAAGGATGAACCTACACAAGCGACAAAAGATGAGACAAAGAAACACTCATCAGCCGGATCTGAAGACACGTTGAATATTCCCACAATTCAAATTGATACACCATCAAATTATAATTCCAATCAGCCATTACCGGCAAATTTAATGGAGACAATTAAAAGTCACTTACCAACTTCCGATGAGGTTCGAATCGGTGTAAACCAGTCGAAAGATTAAATGTATTTGCATTCGTTTACTAGGTGCTCGATGGCATGGGTCAAGGCCCTCGTGGTCCACCGGTTCCCAAAGCATTTGAATTTGCTGTCGTTCCATTTCCTGATCCACGTGTTAATCCACCTTGTGCTGAATATGGTCAATACTTTTTTGTCGCTACAAGTGAAAACGACCCGTAAGACTCTCACGTTCGATAGGTTTCATTTATCTGAATGTTCAATTCTTAGAAATCTATTTCCTGAAGACGCTAAAAAGGACAATAAGACACCGGAGCCACCTACCAACGGCGACGACGGTGACGGAAAAGATACGGGAAATAAAGGTCGCCGTAGCCGTGGTATGTTGTTCATGAGAAGAAAAACTAAATACGAAAGAAAATATGCCTTCATTCGATTTAGCGGAACGAGATTCGATTTCAACGAAACGAAAGACAAGTGGTGGTCCGGGTGGCAGTACCGAAGGAAAATCATCTACACGGGGCACCGGTAAAGCTGGTCGACATGGAGGAAAACAATCTCCAACACGCCATTCCGATGGGACCGACACTACAGGCGACTCAGGCAGTGAAAAAATTCTACCAAAGTTTGCTTCTCGATTTGTCATATGACTTTCGATATAGAACTGATCTTTTCTATACAGGATCATTCGTTTTCGTTGGGTTATTCCTGCAAAAGACGAAGTTCGTGTTCGTCTTCGTTTTGTTTCAAATGAAGTCGGCCAATTCGATCAAACCATTTCCTTTGAACTTCTTGGTACTAAAAGAAACTACAAGGTTTTCTGTCGAGGTGTATGCACTTTTCCAACCATTAGTCGTGAACCTCGGTAAATAGTTTATTTTTCGATAATTTCATCATGGTCGATTCGTTTTATCCAGAACTATCTTTCCAAATCGACAAAAAGCACGTAAACCAAATGAAATCGTTCATAAGAAATTCATCCTCGCTACTGAACAATATGATTTCGGTCCGTTGGTACTTGGCAAAGACATAAATAAGTACGTTTTGTTTTATTGATGTCGAACTGAAATTCTCACAACTGTTATTCGATTTAGAATTCGCGCTGGAGTTTACCCAAGTAATCTTGAGACATTAACTATTGATAATACATCACCCATGGACGTCGAAGCACTATTTTGTTTCTTGAATGATGTCGATCCAGCGAAAGCTATTTTCTTTCTTGATCCTACAGAAATGCATTTGAAACCCGGAGAGTCCAAAGTATGAAGAATATACTAACTTGTTCCCGAAATCATTGATTCACATTCATGTTTTCCTGTAGCCTTTGAAAATCATGGCAAATCCACAAAAAGAAGGTCATTTCGAGGAATCGCTCGTTTGCTGTATTAAAGAGAATCCTGAACCAATTGTCTACAAATTATGTTGCGATGGCTGTACGCCTGAATTGCAAATAGAACCAACATCATTTGATTTCGGTCAAGTATTACTCTACCGGTAAATATTCACAATTGAAAATCTATCCATCTAGTCTTTGACTTGCTCTTCTAGCAAAGAATCACGAACAATTCGATTGAAAAATACAAAGCGAATTCCTGTTCGATGGCGATTAACCGGCATTGGCCAAGATGGTATCGGTCAAGAATTTTCAACGAAAACTGATACAGGAATTGTCGAACCATTGAGTACCTATGAACTACAACTGAATTATTATGCCAGTCGACCACGTTCACCAGCATCGCAAAAGAATAAACTGTCTCTTAAACTCGAAGTAATTCAATGTTGACCTCGATGTTTAAAACTAGACTTTCTTTGCTCATAGATTTCTGATACTGAAGGTATGCCAGGTGCAATAAAAACTGTGAATGTTCCTGTTACTGTCGATCCGTATGATATCGTTTTGGATATGACATTCCAGAAAGGTAATGATCGTGGTATCGATTTTGGCAACGTGCGTGTTAACCAAGAAGCCAAACAAACATGTACTTTGAAGAACAAAGGCAAACGTGAAATTCGATATAAGTACGATTTTTTTAATAAATATTGATTTTCATTCGAATTGCGTTTTCTTTGTGCTAGATTCGAATTGATACCAGATCCAAAATCCAAGATTAACGCAAGCAAATTCTTTGAAATCGTTCCTAAACAAGGAAGCTTAACTGCAGGCGGAGACCGTAACGCACCAGCTACAAATGTTGCAGTAAGTACTAAACTCATCCCTTCTTGGTTCTGAACTACATTCTATAATAAAGATCACATTCAAACCCACAGCTGAAGTGCATCTTAAAGAAGCCGAAATTATTGTTGTTAGTGTTATCAACGTCACATCACCAGGCAAAGGAGCCGATAGCACTACTCATGTCACATCACACGGTACAGGGAAAGGTAATGCAGAAGCAGCATTAGGTCGAAATGCGGTGGCCACTCAACAACAAGCCGCAGCTCCACCAGTCGAAGAAGAAGTTGCACGTATTCGATTGAAAATCTCGGCAAAAGCAACTTATAGCAAGTAAGTGATACATTATAATGAAGTCAAACTATTCAATCGATTTCTTAATCAGATTTACGATTACACCGGAAAGAGAAGTCAATTTTGGTCCAATGCCGATCGGTTGCCCTCGCCGTGTCGAAAAATTCCTTATTGAAAATCATGGCGAGCATGACTTCAAATTTATCATTACCAAATTCCAACGTGATTCTTCGCCGCAAAAACTAAACATGAAGTATGTTCCAATTCATGACTATCGAGCAAAAGTTAAGTCACTTTTCTGATCGTTGTAGAGATGCGCCGACGCAGGGACGTCTACAAGTGGGTCCATTCCTTATTTCACCAGCATTTGCAATGATCATACCGGGTGGAAGTTCAACTGTATCAGTCGAATGTATCTCAGAATCGGATTCACCAAAGAAATTTGAAGAAGTAACACGTTCCCCTTTAAGTTTTGAATTGTAAAAATCAATATTTTTTTTTATCTCTAGGAAGTTTTAATTGATATTGCCGATCGAAATCCAATCGAATATCCGAAAGGAATTATTTATAAGCTCAAGAGTGAACTCATCGTTCCACAAATCGACACCAGTGACATTGCATCAATCTTTGAAGAACATCGTGTTGTTCGAAACTTATCGTCATTTAAAAATATTGCCGATGTAAGTTATGATTTCGAATATGTTGTCCAATTGACACGGTAATGAAATATATCTTATAGTCCGTTACTGGTGGTGTATACGGTGAAGAAGACCGCCGTTTTCAATTTCGAAATGTTATCGTTGGCCGAACATCGAAAGCGCGATTCAAGATCAGCAATTCACAAAAGGTAAATAAATTCCTGTTTCGATACGTAGAATAACTGAAAATGCCTATTTTAGGTGCCAGTTGATATCAATCTTGCTCTTCGTTCAATCAATAAAAGTCATAAAGTTGTCGAAGCGTTCGAACTCGATGCTCATCGAGCACAAATACCTCCGTACAGTAATCACTATGCTGTTGTATCATTTACTCCAACAGCTATGCAATCGTACGCCGCCGTTTTCGACGTCACTGTTGATGGTCAATCGAAACTCAATCGAGAATCACGTAATACGCCACATTTTTCGTGTGAACTTCATGGTGAAGGTCATCTGCCGCGTGTAACTATCTTACGACCAGCTATTCGAAATAAAAAAGCACAAACAATGATGATCTTCAATAAACTATTACTCGGCCGACAAGCAACTCAACAACTTCTTTTAGTAAACGAAGGTGTTCTACCAGCGAAAGTATGTTCCTAATCTTTAGTCATGAGAGAAAAAGCTTATTTTTATGATTTAGGTGGACTTCTATCTTCATGATGTTGAAAATGTGTATTCACTACAGCCATCTGCGGATAATCCTCATCCAGAAAATCTTGTTATTAATGATATGACACGTAAAGCAACCGCAGCATCAGCAATATTTGAAGTTGGCCAAAAGATTGCCCTAGATATTCTATTCAAACCAAAACCAAACCAAGGCTCACAACGATATGAAGGTGTTCTTCGACTTGTTGTTGTTGATAATCAGTATGAAGATACAAGTGTTCAATTAATTGGAGAAAGTTACACCGATGATATAACATTGGATAACATTCATGGCTTAGTGATGAGTGATGAACCATTACCGATACAAAATGCATCCGCGCAACAGCAACAACAGACTATTGTTGATGATGATGCACCAGGTAAAAAGAGTTTGTTTTGGATACAAAGTATTCGAACTGTTTGGTCTTTTTCTCTTTCAAAATAGTTTCCCTTTCCAATACAATTAATTTTGGTGAAATTCATCTGAACGAATCTCGACAAATTCTCTTTTCTATAACAAATCATCACACGAAAGATTCGGTTCGTTTCGAGTGGCCCGAACATCCTCAATGTACATTTTCACCACGCGTTGGTCATTTACATGCCGGTAAGAATTCTCTTTGCAGTTTAAGCTACTTCTTCACATCGATATTGTCTCGTAGGTTGTACGAAAGACATTCAAGTAACATTCAAAACGAATAAACCAATTCAACTGACCAAGGAGAAACTTCTTTGCACAATAACAAAAATCAGTTTTGATCGTCCAACTAATGAAATACCTGACTGGGACGATCGAATGCGCTCGATTAAATGGGTTGATGTTCCACAACAACCAAACGATCCAGCAAACCCTGAACAACAACAACGTACAAATCGTCCGGCAAGAAAGAAAGTGATCGAAGCAGATGCTGAACCAGCACATCAACGTATTGAAGAACAAGCTCGGCAATTAGATATCTATATATCTGCTGTGTCTGATTATTGTCGATATAAATGTAGCGATTTTGAAATACGATTTTTAGAAACAGCAATGTTACAAACACGTATTCAAGAGTAATTCGATTTTGTGATCTTGAATACCTTTTAATATTGTTTCTTTCGTTTGATTTGTAGAGTAACAGTTACCAATCGTGGAAAAGTTGCATTCAACTACGCGTGGCAAGTTCATATGGAAGACAATCTTCGACCGTTTACTCCAATGATCGATCGGGATCCGCCAACGCCTGAACCCATAGAAAGTACGCGAAAAGGACAAAAAGGCGGTACTCGAACACCGGCAACAGCTGCCCCCACACCAGATGCATCCAATGCACAAGATTCACCAACAACTGCACCTGCTGCACGCGGCAAAGATAAATCAAGCAAAGAAACGGGTAAATCAACAGGTAAAGATGGCCAGAGCGGAAGTCGTGTGAAGGGTGCTCGATCATCAGTTAAATCCAATGCACCCACCGACAGTGTCGCAGAAGAGAAAGAAACTGACAATGAACAGACACTTGTCAATGACGGTACCATTCTTATGGAGTTATCTCAACTTGATTCCGACTCGAATCTTCACGCACCAGCCACTCCAATGGCTGATATCGGTTATATTCCATTCATGGTCGAACCTGACACGGGTTCACTTGCAGTGGGTGCTAGTCAAATCTTTAAAGTGAAATTCGCACCACTCGACATCAATGATTATCAAGCACGATTAGTTTGTTGGTAAGTGTTATTGATATCGGCGAAGAAAATGGCATGATGATTATCTTTTTCTATTTCGTCTGTTTTAGTATACCAAATTTAGAAACGGGCAAACCAGGTCCGGTCGTTGCCGTTCGTGGACGCAGTCTTTTACCATTCTGTCATTTTGAACTGGAGGAATCCGATTATTTAACTGCTGGACGACGACGTGTTGATCTTTTAGTTCATAACAGTGCGACACATGCACCAGCACCATTCGTTGATCGTCAAACACGTGTGATCGAATTCAAAGCTGTGGGCACGGGATCTCCATTAAATCGGTATGTACTATTTTCTCGTGTTATTCTTTGCAAATGAAACCTTTTTGTTCTAGCTCATTCTCTGTGCTCAATCCCACTGATCATGATTATACTTATCGATGGATTTGTGAAGATAATCTTGACCTAACAAAACAACCGTCATTCGTTTGTCGTACTATTCAAGGCAAGATTACGTCGGGAAAAGGAGCCATCGTAAGTGCAATCTGCGTTTTTGCATTATTCTTTTCGAATGATTTCCATTTAGATGTCCTTTGATTTCTTTCCTCGTTCATTTGGCATCGTAGAATCAATGTATCGTTTTGAGATACCGTCACATTCGCTATCTGTTCCATTTCTTCTCGTTGGTCAAATTACAGAACCACAGATCTTATTCGATCGAACATTTCTTTCTTTTCATCCTGTTTTAATTGGTCATTATGCAGAAGAGTCTATTACTTTAATTAACAAAGAAGATCGTCCATTTCACTATCAATTTCTCGAACGTTCATTCATCAATGGCACAACAAACAATGATATTGCTATTGAGCCATCCCCAACAGGCACAATCTTAGCTAATTCACGTTTACCATTACGCGTTGTCTTTCGTCCAACGCAAAATCGAGCATATACATATGTCCTTCAATGTCGTATGGGTGAAACAATCGAATCATTGAATTTGAATATTCGTGGCGAAGGGTTTGCCAATCTATCCTGTGTTCAAAATGAAGGTATCGATGGTAAACGATACGACTTGACAACTGTACAGACCGGTACCAATGAAATACGATTCGATGATGTTCTTATCGGCAATTCTACATCTCGACAAATCGAAATATCCAATGATGGCAAATATGCATTCGATTACAATTGGTCATCCGATCAAAACCAAGACTTAGGACCATTTACGATCTCGCCAATGAAAGGTACAGTGACCAATAGTCAAAAACAAACATGTGTCATCACATTCGAGCCACGTACACGCGAACATCGATCGCTAATTCAACGTCTAGTTCATTTAAGCATTCTCAATGGTTTGAAATATGATTTACTATTAATTGGACAGACAACAACGCCAAATATAAACTTTTCATTCTTATCACACAACTTCGGCCCATGCTTTGTCTATCGCGCTGGCATGCCTGAGAATACTTGTCAATTAACTATTACAAATCAAGACACCAAAGATCATACAGTCGAATGTTTATATCAGTCAAGCGCACAGTTGATGGTCGACTTTAAGGGAGGTTTAATTGCTTCAAAACAGAGTGCAGTTTGCAAATTTACATTCTATCCACGAGAACAGAAGACATATCGTGAAAATGTTCAATTGGAAATCGATGGCTTGACAATCGTTACGATTGTTATTGAAGGTGAAGGAGTCGATTTCCGAGTTGAATTAGCCGAACCAAAAAATAAGATCGTCAATTTGGGTGCTCTACAAGCAGGAAAAAGTGTAACACGTGAAGTGTGTCTCGTGAATCGAAGTCGTGCGCCTGTTTCTAACTGTCATGTTGCATTAATGTCTTCGGATAGTGGTGCTCCACGTGACATGCTCAGTATTCAACCTACCACCCCAATATCACTGAAAGCTCGAGGTGGAACAGCAACAGTTACAATCAAATATACACCTCGTTCACGTTTGCCACCATTCGTCGAACAAATCTTATTGAAGTATGGCGATCTAGATGTACCAATGTTTGCTGTTCGCGGTTGCTGTCAAGGTTATGATATTGGTCTCGATACAGATGCATTACCCTTTGGTGCTGTAGGAAAAGATTGCTCGCTAACACGCAAACTAATTCTATCGAATCGTGGTGATATCGGCGCAGCATTTTCATGGAATAATACACAACTACGCGACTCACCGTTTAGTGTTGCGCCAACGAATGGTTATGTTGCACCAGGACAAGAAGCGACAATTGAATTCGTTTTTCAGCCACACACCATTCGACATGATATTCGTTGTGAGAAACTAGAATGTCGAATTGAAGGAACTAAATCAGTTCATGTGACACTGAGTGGTTCATGCATTGAAGTGGCGCCTGCGCGAGAAACAGTTAATATTTCAACTGCCGTACGATCTAAAGAATCGAAGTCGATTAATTTGAAAAACAACACAAACACATTATGGACACTGACGCCTGTGATTAGCGGAGAATATTTCACTGGTACTGATACAGTCATTATCGAACCGAACTCAACAAAAAATTATGAACTAACATACTTACCACTAACCGAAGGTATTGAAGGAAAATCTTCCGTTGTCTGATTGAAATTATCGATTTTCTGTTCTTACGTTTAGGTAAACATACCGGTACACTATTTTTTCCTTTACCGGATGGAAATGGGCTTCTTTATAATGTTGCTGGTAGTGCTGATTCGCCACGACCAGCGGGTAAATTCTCTCGTGAAGTACCATGCAAAACTCCCTATGTGGAATTATTGTCTGTTGAAAATTGGTTGAAGAAACCACAACGTTTTCGTGTTACACATGAAGTAATCAAACAAGACCGTCCCGAAGTAGCGACAACAATCAAATATCTCGAATTTATCGATGTTGCACCAAAATCGAAACGAGATTTCAAATTGAATTTCTATTCGTACAAAGAATGTGTACAACAAATCAAACTAATCTTCAAAAATGAGCAAACACAGGAGTATCTTTGGTACGACATTACATTCAAATCTGTTATGGACAAACGTAATGCACCAACAACCGGCAATATTGAATTAACCACACACGTACGTCAACAAGCAACGCACGATATCGTACTCGAAAATCCTCTACCGCACAAAGTTACGTTTCAAGGTCAATGTACACATTCAGATATACTTCTCCCTCCTGAACATATATCAGTTCCTGCCAATTCACAGGTAAGATAAACGAGATGATTTGATGAAATTTCGCACGTGACCTCTTCTAGGGTACATACAATATTACTTATATGCCATTGAAAGCAGGCAAAATTGAAACACGTCTTGAAATACATTCAACTGAACTTGGTTTATACACGTATATGTTATCATTAAATGCGCTTCCCGCACGTCCTGAACGCACCATTTACTTCAAAGCACCATTGGGTGGTTCCCAAGTGGTCTCGGCGAAATTCACGAGTTATGCACGAACAAAAACCGATTATGTTTGTAAAGTAAATCAATGATTTTCCTTATCAAGTATTTCGGCTTTCTAACAAACATATGTTTAGATTGATCATCCTGATTTTATGGTCGATCGAACTGTTACTGCTGCACCAAGTTCATCTCCGTCGACAATGGAAGTTGGCGTCGATGTGACATACGAGCCATCTCAACTAGGCGATGTTCGCGCGACACTAACAATCAGTTCATCGTCCGGTAGTGATTATATCTTTCCACTCGTAGGTCTCGGCGAATTACCCAAGCCACAAGGTCCATTTACAATCAAATCAGGCGGTAATACAACAATAACATTCAAAAATGTATTCGCTCAAGCACTACAATACACATTCAGTGTTGATAATCCGTTATTTCACGTTAGCAAAACTCAAGAACTGATTCAAGCAAGAAAATCCCATCGAATCGTAGTTTCATTCGATGGTTCAGACACAAGTAATAAAGCTGACGTGATGGCAAAACTAATCGTTTCATGCCCGAAAACTACCGGCGCACCAAATGCATCATCGTCAAGTGTACAATGGATCTACTATCTCAAGGGTATCACACCATCATAAAATAAAAACAGTATCGATAATAAACAGTGATAATGTAATTCGAAGAAACTTAAACATTCGTTTTCTTTTCATCAATTGTTCATTTAGAAAAAAAAGAACACAAATATTCAAATTATTTCTTTTTTTAAATAAATAAATATGAACTTCTATTTCGTTGTTATACTAAAACAACTTATCGAAACGCTGAGCATGATGAACAAGTCGTATCCTTCCAAAAAAAAAAATCATGATTTTTTTTATTAAAATAAGTTTCATCTTCACACACAAAATGTCTAAAAAAAGCCAATTCATTCACTCGGCACTCGTTCGATCATGATGATTCAATTGGAATTGATTTTCAATGTCAAAGTGAATTATGCCTATCGAATTATTCACAATATACAGCATAAACAGTGACAGTCGCATTCATCTCTTTGTTTTCATAATTAACCGAAAGCATATTATCCGTTTTTGGATCCCATAAACATCGCGATGCGATACGTACGAGTTGATCGAATTTTTGGGTTATAACTGTTTGAATGATGATTTTGTAGCGTGGCAATTGGAAATTTTTTATCAATTGAAGTACGCTTCGAGAGACGTTTTTGACAAGATCATTCACTGTGACTGGATTGTATTTTTGATCTTTTAATTGTTCGGCTAAAGTTTCTAGGATTTTTGTTTGCAGTTTGTATGGACGAAAACGATATTCACTGTCTGGCTCCATACGATAAGTGTTTGGACGAAGTTGATTCGGTTGAAAGAATGTTGAAGATTTGCGACCAACTGTGATTGATAAACGTCGGAAAACAGCTTGAGATGGTCGACGTTCAATCGTTGTCGCTGCTGCTGTTGCTGCAATGGCTGACGATGGACCGGCGCCCGATACGCCTGATTGAGTATCGTCGCCACGTACAGCATTGTTTCCTGCCATAGTTTTCGTTGTATTCACACCACGAGTTTCCGTTTGATTAGCAAAACGACGATCAGCCATGATCGAATTGCGAATGAAGACTTGTAAAATGAACACAAAAGACTTGTGTCGATGGAGACGTTGTTTGTTTGATTTCAAATTCTTTTTTTTTCTTTTCTTCTTCTTCTTCTTCTAATGTTCGTTGTTATTTAAACTTTTGATTTGTTTCTTAACCGACACAATGTTTTCATTTTTCTTTCTTCTCTCACATAATGTGTGCTTGAATATTTACATGCAATGTTTGACCAAATAAGCAGAAAAAAGCGCCTAGCGACCAAATGTCTTCAAACTGTTTATATGATGAAAAAAAAAGAGAACACGAAGCAGTATAATGATGACAATGGTTGCTCTCGTTTGTTTTTAACAAATGACATCCACCCAGTCAAATTAGTATAATTGAATTCACATGATCATACTTTAGAAAAAAACAGAATATTTTTCTACACAGCGCTAACCAGTTGTGTGTCTAAAGGTGACGAATATAAACTACAGATATTAACTTTTTATCTTATTGTCAGACGAATGCACATGTTTAGTTCTTTCTTTTATTTATAAAAAAAAAACTTTACTGTGATAAAGCATCAAATAGCAATAATATATATGTATTTATATATAAAGTCACGGACGAACACGAAGTCTTTTTATGTGTAACAAAAGTTAATTGAATAGGTCTTCATAGTTGGTACTGTCTTCATGTCTCGTTTCTCTGTCTATGTCTTCTTCATTTTCTTCCTCGTCACGTGGACCAGTATAATCTTCTTGATCTTGGTCTTCGTCTTTCTCAGACTGTTGACTTTGTTCATGTTCATGTTCATGTTCATGTCGTTGTTCATCTTCCTGGTCGCTCGTTGATCGATGACGTTCTTCACTGGACTGCGATTCGGCTGATTGTTGGCGATCAGATATGAGTGAATCAGTCAAATTTTCGCTACAACTATCCTTGACTACTTTATGAGCAGCCAATAGATATTTATGTTGAGCACGACGAACTAAATATATTTTATGCAAGAATAGATGATTTGAATAGCAGTCAAACAATCGATGTACCTTTAGTACGACTTTCTTGTTTAGCAACTTCGGGAATAAGAAAACCATGGACTAATTCAGCAACAATACCTTCGGATTCGAGTTGAGTGCGTCTGAAATACAGAGAAGATAATGATGGATAAAAATGTCAAAATATGATTTACCTCGATTCCATTTCATGTGCTATTTCATCGATAGCGGCTGCTTGTTCTTGAATTTCACTACGAGTTTGTTCGTGAGATGTGTCGAATGTGCTTGCTGAAATCACATCTTCCAAATAACTATCGACTGTGTTTTGTGTCATCTTCAGAGTCTACAGTATAGCGAAATAAAAAAAAAAGATTTGAACGCGCTTGAGAAATAATACGAACCTGTTTAAAGAGTTCATCTTGTTCACGTCGTCGACGTTCTTCGACTTGTCGTAAACCAGATTCTTCGGCTTCACGTAAACGTCGTTGACGATCAGCTAACATAGCAAATGCAGCTATGCGCCGCTCTTCTTGTAGACGTATCAATTCTTTCGATAAGTAGTCAAACATATCACCTAAAGCTTCGCCTTCCATAGTTTGAAGAATCGAATCAATATAATCTTCCTAAATAGTTTCATTTTTTTCCCTACAATTCGCATCCTCTACTCAAGTGTCTTTCACTTACGCGTGTAATATCTTTTCGTTGAACATATTGTGCTGTATGAACGTCTTGTTTTTCTAGCTTCTTCATGTTCATATCTTGCTCTTGTAAGGCATGTGTGCTACGCATTTCTTCGATCAATTCAATACGTTCTTCTTTGTTCTTGTACATCTAGATGACGAGGAGTTTTGAGCAGTTACCGATTCAAGACGAAAAATAAAGATTTTACCATATTCTGAGTAGCACGACCACGAAGAAGTTTTTGTAGATAAATAATACTCTTCTCACGCTCTTCGTCTTCCTATTCACAATCGAATGAAAGTTTAGAGAGTTTCTCGAAAAAATCAAATACAGACCACGTTTGGTATGTCGACGCCAGGTGTAGGCGGTCTGGGTATCGGTTTTTCGACTTTGACCAAAAATCGAAGTGGTTTGGGTTCTTCGATTTTCTTTCCTTTTTGTTCGGTAATATCCTATCGAAGCAAAGCTGTCAATTGAGTTCAATATGAAACAGCTCGATCTTACCTTAGTAATATTATTCAGATCTCTTTCACGTCGGAATTGTCGTTTCAAATGTCCATCTTTAGTGGTACTGATTCGTTTAGGCTCAGGAAGGCGAATCTTCAAGGCATTCGTCGGTAATGTTGATTCTAATTCCAATAAACCTGTATACGTATCCAAAAATCGACTCTTCACCAAGTATTTATCAGTGAGTTTGTCTGGAAAGTGACCATTGCGTGTCAATGGTCCGTAGGCTACTGATTCATATTTCGAATAGTCACGAATAATATCATTTTTTATGTATTTTGTTTCTATTTGAGATCGTTTTCGCAATAAAGCTCGAATAGCTAAATAGAAGACGATATATCTGAGTTGTACTTGAAAATTGAAGATATCTTTACCTCGAAGATAGTGAAGTCGATTGGCTTTGACAAACTCTTCACGTTCGCTTTGTTTTTTACCCCATTGTCGATTGATTCGTTCAATTGATGCATCATGTCGACGAGCTTCATTTTCTTTGAGCATTTTTTCTAGCAATTCAATACGGAGATTTTGCAATCTACGATCACAAAAAAAGAAACGCTGATATTTTCACGCTCGAAGAAAGGAACTTTTTTACTTCTCAATCTCATTCTCTCGCAACACCCATTCGTGTCTTTCCATATCACTCATCATTTTAAAACGTTTCTCCCATTGCTGAGGATCGTCCAATGGCGGTAAACTAGCTTCCCATGCACGTTTTGCACGTGCACCTAAGACAAACAATCATCTTTGTCTTTGATACAATCAAGTTAGTGCACTTCTTACGTTCAATCATTTCAACTTCAGCAAGACCGGCCGGAAGACCTTTCTCTAATCGAGAGAAAAAATAATAATAGCTTATTGACAAATTCTAGCATGATATATGGATGCATACTATACATGAGGGTAGCCAATGTTAATACTTCTGGTTGTTCACCTGGTTTAACAACATATTCAGGTGTGTAAGGATCAGTTTGAGCTTCACGTTCCATATAATCAGTTTGGATAGCTTGCGTTCTGGTCGCCGGTTGACTCGAAGATATCATGGATTTGCCTGGACTTAGAAATCCTGACGCAGATTTTGCTGTCATATCACCAAAGTTGCCCACACCTGTTCGACCGGTATCAAGTACAAGAAGTGGTTGAACACTCTCCATAAAAGGAATCAGTGGTTTTCGGAAGAATTTAGCACGTTCACGACCACCAACATCCACATGCTCATAAGTTCGAGGTGGGACAACAAATGCGTCATTACCAGTAAATCTACATGCGAACGAAGGATTAGAATAGATTTCAAGAATAATAAAAAAAAAACAAGTTACAATCGTGATAGTGCAATTTGCTCACGATGCGCTTCTGCTTGTCCTAACCATTGACGACTGACATGTGTTGGAACAGGATCTCGAGATTGAAGTCGATAAGAAAAGCGAGGATATTGACGTAAATCACTGAACATATGTTCATAAACTGGTACTGATTGCTGCAAATACAAAAAGCAGAGAGCAGTTTTAGAGCCTAAATTCAAACCGAGTCTTAGTTCTACTAACCACTTGATCGGTCCCAGTCTTAGCGACGAAGGTCGCTCGAGCATGATCACGTACGCCTGATAACGTGCATAATGGATCTAGTAGAAACAATATTATATGAAATTGTGACGATAAAACAAGCTTCCAGCAAACCGTAGAGATAATCGTGAAGTCGTGCTGGTTGAACGACGTTGTGTTTGAGTACTTGAGTTTGAGTTGCCATCTATCTTTTTTGAATCGTAACCTATTTTCCTGTAATAGATTCTGAAGAATTCATAACACTGACCATTGTAACTAACGATACCATAGTAACAATATTCAGGACGTGAAAATAAGTGTAGAATGAAAACATTTATTTTTGACTTTCATGATTAAACTTTTTAAGCTTTTAGCCGCTCGTAAATTTATCTGATACATAAAAAAAGACATCAAGTAGAGGTCACTAGTCGCTCGCGAATTTCATCTTTTCGATTGATTCCGTTGTGATATGGTGTATTGATGTGTTTGTTGATGGATTCGATTCGAGTTGTGCCTTTTAAAACAGTAACGTACAGTTAAGAGAAACTTTGAACGAAAATACGGCGAAGTTAAAGAGTAAATATAAAATCCAATCCCAAAGTATAGACTACTCCATAGTAGCATCGGTGTGCGCATATGCTTGATTGATTGTTTATATCGAACAATGGTCGCGTAAACATGAAATGGAATTTGAGTAATAATAAACGCTAAAACATTAGATATTGTTATGAAGATGAGCATTCTGTCCGTATGTGAAGACAGTGGTGATGTGCGACGTCTCGATTCGCGTACTCGGCGCCAAAGGAAAATATTCGTACTGATCATGATCGAAACCGGGAGAACACAGACAACAATAGTACGCATCGGTGGCCAAATTACAGATAGAAACTTGTCGTAAGTCGGGTCGGATGATGTGATACAAATTCCATCGGAATTTTCTTGTATGAACGGAAGTAAATAAAATGTAAGTGAACATGTAAACACGAGATAATAGATGAAAACGATTCGCCATGCTATCCGGCATGTACATATTTGTTTAGCTCGAATTGGATAGAGTGCACGAAACATTCGATCGCAACTTATTGTACAAGCAGTGTATGAACTCAACGCACGGAATATATTCTGAAACCAATATAGAATACGACATCGAATGACAACGCAGGCAAATAGACGAACTAAAAATGAGCAAAAAGAAAAATACAATCAACATTTGTCTAGAACTTCATCGGATCGCGGACAACATTGATACTAGTTTCACGAGCTGATTAATCGAAGGTGGATATTTAGCATGCTGGAACATCTCCAAACCTGTCACACTGAATAAACTTAAAGCATATATCTCTCGTTTCAATCAAGTTAGATCAATATCGCTTCTACTGACACACTAAGATATTGAAAAAACCTCCTAAATTGCATAAGGAATTGCCCTGAAGATGGCAAGGTGTTAACCAGTGATTAATCGGGTTCTAGATCAAACTCTCTTCTCGTGACTAGAGTACTCTTAATCTGTCAAGATATCTACAACAGTCTGACTGCAGACGTTCCAGTTTCTGTCATATATGTAGAATATGACAAGCTTTCGATCTAGTTTGGCACTCAGACTTCCTCATGAAACTCCATTGACTCGACATGACGAAGAATTTTTTGAAAACGTAATTATAAAGCAAATATAGAAAGTCGTTGCGTTTAATCCACTACGTTCTCAATATAGCTCAAGGAAATTTGAATTTGGAATCTAGGCGCTTCACTGTTGTCGACAGATATCTTTCATTAGAACAAGTTTCACAAGCATCTCAATGACGTCGTTGTTCATTCTTTCACATTAAATCGGGTTAAAAAATAAAAACTAATCATCGATCCTTATTGCTAAGTAGATTATAGTTAGGCTTCCTAAAAGGAAGAGATTGAATGAATCCAAAAGTATCACGCTTCATCTCTTCCTCTCATAACTCTATAACTTTTTGTAATTGTGCTCCATAGCTATAAAAATTTGTCCCTTTTTCTTTCCCTGCTTGATATATGATGTGTGATCCTACATAGCTGTGATAGTAATTTTCATGTGCGCAAACTTTGCCATATATTTTCTGTCGCTTTTCACTCTAAGTACTTTCGAGAATGACAATAAATATGAACATCAACGAAACAAAATTTGATCATACAACATCGATGCTCTTACAGTTATAGGCAACATCAATAAATTCGATGGTTAAAGTTAATAATTGAAAACTGTTTGATATAGTTAAGAATAGGAAAAGTAAACCTGTAGAAACGCGTCGTATTTCTTCCCGAACAAATATTGTTAGAGATAGAATATTTCCAATAAAACCACCGATATATACAATTGTACCGAGAATAGCTGTGTATGCAATCTCTTCTTCAGTCACCGAGTTTTCCGTTGAATTCATCGTATTTTGTGCGTACTAATTCAAAATTATTGATCTCAGAATGATAGTTGAGCATAAGGAAAGCTGTTGAGTTTTATCTTTATTGAAATAAATCACAACAAAATTTCTTTTTTTTTCTCGTTTATGAACATCATATAAATCATTCTCTGCTTAGACTGCTGGTGGACTTGTATAATAAGACAGTTCTTGATTTGATGGATGATACGATCCATCAGATCCGTATTTTCGATAGAAGTACAGAATTTCAATGGCTAGTAAAATACTGATAAGTGGAATACTCAAGCCCATTGCTAATCTGCCCGGTGTTCCTGGCGGTGAATCACCTACCAACAATAAACGTTTCAAATTTTTCTTTTTATCATATGTGAGTACCTTTTCTATGATTTACGGGTGTTGGCGTTGCACCTGACGTGTCTAAAAGGGTACAAAAATCAATTGATTTATAATTTATTAATATGAACATACTGTTAACTATCTGTGGACCTGATTTGACAGTGACATTCACGAAAGTACTGTTTACCATCGGCAGAAGAAAAGCTTCTTCTGTTCCCGTTGAGGATGCAGATGCCTTTATACAAGCGATATCGCAATCCTTACGATACGTTTGAAAGAGAATATCAGCAAGCATGAAGTATTCACTTTGACTATCTCTACACAGTGATAAACCAATGTTTGATCAAGTTTCCTAATGGAGAATATATACTTTGCTACGGAAATAATCTCAATTCGAGTCAATGTGATGTTGAAATCGGTTAAATTGAAAGTTGATGTTACCTATAGCATTAAAATTAAAAGATTATTCTAACATTGAAAAACAATTTACCATGCGTTCTGCAGAAATCAAAATAATTCGATCAGTAATGTTTCCTAATTTCAGTGCGAATGATGTATCGATTACATACCGATAAATTAACATAATTCTCGTGTCTAGGCAAATGAAATGACATCATCTTGTACATAATTAACAGTGTTATTACGCAATGAAGATGTTGTTTCTGTTGAAGAGGGAGATGTAACTGAAGAAGATTGTAAAATACTGGTTCGATCATCCGTTGATATCGCTTGTATTAAATTCCATGAAGTGATTTTAGTGGCAGGCGACGAAGTTGTTTCCCCCGAAAGGATAGATGAGGGTGAGTGATCACTAGTAGAATGGAATTCCGTCAATATCGAAGTGCTACTCAACACTGGCGTTGAATCAGTGCTATATTGGCATTGGTTGTGTGTAAAGAGCAGACATACTAGGATGATAATTTGTGATGAATGATGCGTCATAGTTATGTTACTTCTAATGTGACAGTTGCCCGATAGGCGATTAGAATCAACGAGTTTTCATTTTTTTTTCTTGATTTTGTGTTGAAGAGTTGCAAGAGAAAAAAATCCGACTAACGTTTACTGTTATTAGATAAATATTTATTATTGACATATGTGAAACGTGTAATAAACAAATTAAAATCCTTTTTCAGACAGAAATATCAACGAAATCAACATAAATACGCAATGTAACGCCTGTTGAGTATTGACTCAGCTACATCCGTTAGATTTGATCGCGTATGTTTAACTCATTTTCTCTTTCTCTATATAGATTACGTTACGAGGAAAAAATCTTTCAACTTTACTCATAAACCAGGGATTCGGCATGCTATTTTGCGATGTTCTCATATGACTTACGAGTCTGTCGCTGACTTTCTACGTACTTCTAACTGTGATAGTTATGATAAAGAAAACACACAATATTAACGAGTTTCATATTTCAATCGGCTTGTCTACCAATGTTTGTGTAATGTAGAATTTTCTTGAGAATTTCAATAAATTTCTTCCGAAATAGGGGTGATGTTAAACAATACAGATAGAACGCAACACCAAAGTAGATGCTCGACCATAGCAATAACGTTGCATAGATCATTAAATGAATATAATCATTTAAAGATTCGAAGTACACATGCATGACTGCATAGAAATGAAATGGGACTTGTGTGATGATGAATACACCGACATTTGCAATCATTAAATAGAGAAGCATTTGATCGACTGCTGATCGACTAGCATTCGATACTCTTCGTGTCATCTGACTAACTGTATTTCTTGTCTGAACATGAGTAATACGGAGATGAGATTGACGAATATTGTACAACATTCGTCCATTCGCTGCAATCATAGTAATAACTGGAATTGCACAGAAGAGAACCGCTCGCATTGGGACGTTAACTTTGACGAGGAAAAAGTAGTAAATTTCCGATTGATTATAATAGCAACTGCGGGTGAGTCGATCTTGCGTACTCAAAGGAAACAAATAGAATGACCAGAACAGACAAAAGATAATCAGAAGTAGAATTGCTAGTTTACAAACGTTTCGCCGTGTACAGATAACTTTCGAACGCATGGGCATTTTTGTTTCCGAACGTAGAAGGCGATCAAGTGCAATACAAATAGAACAAGATGTACTCATGGCTCGACTAACATTCTTCACAAAGGGATTTAAACGGCATTGAAAGACAACATGAGGATAAAGTTGATAACCCAACGCCCCAGTAGATTCTGTGGCCAAGGTCCACAGATGAAAAAAGTTTGAGACGGTCATGAGCAAAAAGAGAACTCCAGTTGAAATTTTTCGAAAATCTGATAATGAACTGAAGACAATCAATGCGAAGAAATTGCCGATGAATCCTAAAGAATATCTAAAATAGAGATACACGCTACAAAAAAGATAATAGAGACAAAAAAAGCCATACAAGATACATGCAGCAATAATTTCGAATTGATGTAAACCAGCTAACGACTGTACAATTGGATTATTGAAATTGTCCGTAGCGTCCATTAAATCAGGACTGTTTCGAAATATCTTGATCCATGTGACATTCATCCTATCATAAAGAAAAGATTTCGCAGATGAAACTAAACATGATAAAATAGACTACAATTATCTTTCGACCTGCTGTGCGATCGTGTCTAACGCTACAGAACTTTCTCTAATGAAGATTCAGATTCGTAGATTGACAGAGCGAAGAATATACAGCCCCACGAAGAAAAACTTCTTCTGAAATTCTGTCATTCATTGACTTTCTTTGTCATAACAAATCTCGTTCAAAAGGTATGACATATTCCTGATATTAATTAATAGTTAACGGGAATGCGCACATTAGACATCCTATTCAGACTCTTAGACGAACACTATCTTCCATTTTGGTGGTTCCGATCATGTCTGTCTTAATGGTGAATATGTTCGTAGCCGAGTAACATTAGAGGACACAAAATGCTTAACAAAGTGAATACAATCATAATTATATTATTCGGCTCCAAGATCAATTATTACTACGCCTATGTCATTACATATGTAGACCTGTTTTGTAATATCACATCGATTAAAGATTGAATGCAAATGGAAAAATACATTTCGAACTGATCTTCAATGCACAGATAGTGTAATCTTGAGAACATCAGTTCTAATGCATGTATGACATATTTCACACTGGAAAATGCTGCATTGAAAAGTATATCACATATTATGTTTTTTATGTGTCACTGTGTATCAAAGAGCGAAAGGACTAATAATACATGTCGATTGACACAGCGTTGGGAACAAGAACTCGAATAGTGTTCTTCCAGCAGTAATCATTGTCAGCCCGAACTGATGTTATCAACGAAATCCATGTGAATGAAGTACACTCATTACTTCATGAGTTGTCATTGATCACAAATAACAGATAGAATGTGACTTATCTTTATACGATAGGAATATTAGTGTAAATAATCAATCAGGATTGTAATCTTTCCTATCAAAACAGCTATGTTATACACGACATTTACAAAACTTTCTAATACATGTAATTCAACCAAAATTCACGCAGAATATCTTCCATTCATAAATGATGATAATACCTATTTTCACCGATGGGATTACTGATGAGAGCAAATTATGTATTCTAATCATTCGTTACACTCGATCTTTCCTCCATACAAACAACATTAACAAGTTTTGCTGGTATTACCACAGCTTATTAATGTAAAGGATTTGATAATACTCTCCTTGCATGCATCGAGTTTTTTCCATAATTAAACATGATTAGATGGTAAAATTTCTTCTCTCGATATTGCTCTTCGTGACAATCCTGACTAAGTCAGATGAAAATTGAAATGAATCAAACAGAAACGAATTTATCATTGGTCGTATTAGCTCGATTTGAAATTGTTGCTGCATGCATAATGTAAAGAATTGATTGGCCTTCTTTCTCCTCTGAATACTTTCGATGTTTGATCTAGATATGGATTTGGATTTATCGGTAACTTGTTTGCATTGATTGTTTTCTCTTCATTATTGGAATTTCGTCGAATATCCACTGGTATTTTATTTCTTCTCATGACGATATCAAACTTTTTTCATCTATGGACATTGACAATTGGATTCATCGGTATTTATGGCAAATACATCTATTTAAATATATTCTTTTACTGTCAATTCAATCCGTTTATCGAGAATATCAGTCGTGCAATGAGTACATATTTTTCTGTCGGTATCGCTGTTGATCGTTTTGTTCGTTCGGAGATACCTATTCGTGCGAAAAATATTTGCACAAGACGAAACATATTCATATTAACATCGATCCTATTCGTGATCTTTTTCATCTTCTGGTCGTTTTATTTATATCCACTGGGTAACTATATTTTACAGGATGGCATTTGTATTTATAATCAAACGAACCATTATGCATTTTTTCTTACTAACGTTCACATTCCATTGCGAGCGACAGTGCTTTGTTTTCTACCGATTATAACGATGAGCGCATCGAATATTCGCATGGTGCGTAATATTCGACAAGCACGAAATCGTGTGGTAGATATTCTTCAGATAGCCGAAGGAAATAAGAGTAGTACAATTATATCTTCAACCGCTCTCAATGGTCCTGTCGGCCGACGGACTCTTGCCGTTGATCGAATGCTTCTCTATATGATGATAGCCAATATATTCACGTTCATTATTACACAAATACCTTTTCATGTTTATACGGTAATGCACATCTATATGATACAATTGGATACTTATGTTCATTCGTTAATCTACGCATTGCTTTTAATATGGTCGAGTGTTTATTTCGGTATTGCTTTTTATTTGTACTGTTTAGCCTCGCCTTTATTCCGCAGGAAATTTATCCGGATAAGCAGAAAATTAATAAATTGTCAAATGTGCCCTCGGCCAACGACGTAAACTATTTTGTGCTTATCATGTAACTCTTTGAAAGAAGCCATGTCCTTTACAAAGATTTTTATTTCATATAGCAAATAAACAACATCTAGCTTTATAAACAGAGATCAATAAAAATGTACAGAAATTTTTCAACAAAAGAGAATTTTTTTGATAATTTCACGGAATGCTTTGCGAAATAAAGACGACGCAATGCAATGAAAATATGATCCAATTCCGAAATAAATACTCTGCCAAACTAAGAGCATTGTCCGAACTAACAGAGCATCAACTAGACCTAAGTCTCGACTGTATGTTCGTACAATCGTATAGATATGAAATGGAACTTGTGTGATAACGAATGCACACACGTTGATTATCATCATGTGAAGAAGCAGTCGATCTAATATTGTTGTTCGTCGATTTGATTTTCCACCTGCAATGTTACTTTCTACGATCGCTTGTGTAACACGCCGGCGAGATTGTTGAATATTGTATAGGATTCGAAAATTGCCTAAACTCATTATGATTACCGGCACTACGCAGACGAAAATAAAACGCAGGGGTAAGAATATGTTACTGAAAAAGAAGGTATATGCTGATGTTAGACCAGTAGTACAACCACCTGTAGACGAACTAATTGAATTGGATGGGTGAAACCAAAACGAATATGAAATCGATGAAATAATCAGATAGGCAATAGTAGATTTGATAGCATTTTTGCAAGTACAAATCCGTCTTGATTTAATAGGATATTCGGTTCGAATCAATCGATCTAGTGTGACAGTTATAGATATATAAGTGCTCACTGTTCGACTAACATTCTGAACAAAATAATTCAGACGACATTGAAGAAATTCACCTGAATAAACATAAATATTGAAAATGCCCAGAAATTCGGTTGTTAATGTCCATAAATGAACAGTGTTAGAAAGAGTCAAGAGAAGAAACAATACTCCAGTTGAAACAGTTCGAAAATCTTCTCGGGAAAGAAAGATCACCGAGGCAATCAGATTACCGATAAAACCAAATCCATATCTATATCAAATTAGATAAATTATAAGAATTGTTTTGACCAACGACTTACACTATGCCAGCAGATATAATTTCAAACCACACAAGAATAATCACAGGTGTTTGCATACCCAATAACGTAATCACTGCTGAACTTACTGCCTGAGAACTATTTCGGATGTTGGTTGATGTTATTGCTATTGTAGTTGTGAATTCGGTCGAATTTTCATATGACATTGTCATTGACTAGAACGCTAACGTTTAGATGTTGAAGTTTGTATCTAGATTAGAAATAGAACGTAATAAACATGATAGAATTATTTTGTTGAGCATCGTTGCTTTATTTAAATAATATTTTGAATTAAAAATTCGGACGAATGTTTCGTGTTCTTCCAGATTAAAATTGAGGAGTATTTCCGTATTTATGACATAACGCATGATTCTCTCGTCGAGAACTTATTTCAAGAGGATTCGTTTTTTTCTATCAGAATCAGAAATTATTCTATGAAGCTATCAATGCTCAACAAAAAGTAAAGAGAAGAAAGTAAGCTTACAACAAGAATCTCTGATAAATGTCGCAGACATTTTATACTCTGAACTTATCTCCCGAGGACATCCATGACTGGCGTCATTACTCTGTAATACCAAATCGCTGTAACTATTTCCCTAGCGGAAAAATCTTGAAAACTGTAGCAAAGTCTTACCTGACAACATTATGCTACACTTGCTGCTTAGAGGCAATCAGAAATTAATTAGTAGTACACATTTTTTCATTAAAATCGGCCAAACAAGCATGTTTCGTTTCAGGGCTAATTTAAAACGACATACTCAGTCTGGTATCAGGGTTGCTTTGAATGTAAAGCTGTGTAAGTACTTTTACCTATACATATGGAGAAGAAAGCTTACCCGTCTGCTCGTCATGTACTTACTTTCTGTATCAGTCGTCGTCACTATACTATAGACGGGGAAAATTGTATTTGGAGTAGCAGTATTACAATAGGAGTTTACTGGGAGATGAACTTAAATGGTAATAATTCAAAATTACCTAGGCCCGGCACGCATGATGAGATACACTCTTTATCATATAGTGTGGGCTTTCGACAGTACCGATGCGTGCAGATCATGGCGATAAGTAACATGCGAAGTTTTCAATAGCAAGTTATATCGAATTACCAACGAACGCTCTTGCTAATGCCCGTATAATAAGAACAGGTGCGACTTTTAGCAAATCAAAACTATTTTACGAGCACTTGTTATAGTTTCTAATATGCTTTAAACTGCACTCACCTCGTTGTTGCATAAGAGTTTTACTTACGGAAATAAAATGCGATATTAGAAATCTAACATAACGTTCATCATCTCAGACGCAGTATCTAGCGGCTATACACTGTTTTATTTCACCCTCGACTGAAAGGTGAGCCATATGCAAAACGTTGTTTCAAGTTCATTTGTGTCAGAGTCGAAAATCAACGTCTAAAACAGATAGGCTCACTGCCATGTCGAAAAGAGGAATATGTTTTGTGGTCAAGAAAATAATTGAAATAGTCAGTAAATACATTAACTGATCAGTTTGAAGAAAATCAGTAGATAATTCAAAAATGACTACTGGATTTTGTGAAAGTAGCAGAAAAAAATAGAAAATTGGTCAGTGATGAATTTAGTTTATCAGTAGAAAAATATTTAGTCTCAGCGAACACCAGAGACGGGCAAGTCAGGCTTTTTGACAAGTCAAAGGTTATGTACAAAATCCTCAAGTTCATTCCCGATAATCACTCTACGAAATCAATACAAAGTGAACTACTGGTTGACAATCTTCACTTGCATAAAATTCTTTTTGAATTCCATGTAAAGCTTGTTGACATTTTGCTAAATCTAACATAGATGAACACAACTAGTTTTTCTCAACAACAAAATCAGTGCATAAACAACACCTTACTTTCAGGATATCTTGTTTTAGATTCATTTAATTCAATTCCAAAGAATGGAGTTTTTTATCAGACATATTCAGCATTGTTTGATTCTATTAAATAAAATCATAGATTGAATGTGAAAAAGTCCTTTTCCTCATTTTCATTTGCTTATGTGTACTTGAGGAATCACGTAATGAGAAGAATTAGGGATGATAGTTTCGCTTAGTAACAACAGACATTCCCCGTAGTATTTAGTATATCATCCAGAAATGAATGAAAACCTGATCATTTTTCAAGTATAAGATACAAAATGAGAGATCATAATCGGTACCATCGATAAACTAAAAACCAACAACAACAACAACCGGGCATAGACATGTATCAAAGTATTTCCTAACTGACGCTTTTTGAATCAGTTCAGCGTGCGAATCGCTATGTTCTCGCCATATGAGTACATGCGTTGATACATTCCATCTATATATGATAAAAATATCTCTTAAGCAAATGTGATTTGATTTGGTTATGATATGATGAAGTGACGAATGGACAAAATGCTTAAAAAAACATTTTCTTATTTTATTTTTATATCTTATCCAATCAAAACTAAATATACGGTGTGAGGTTGAGACCATTGCGTTCAATCAAATCAAGTAAATTACTAAAAATTATATAAGTCTTTCACGGAGGAGTGTTTTCGCTTATGTTGCTAAAAATCCACCATCTAAAAGAATGTAAGAAAGATTAGCGCGTTGTAGAAATGCTTTTAAATTTACCAATAGGTAAACCGACACCGTTAATCATTGCAGATCTATTCGAAAGTAGATAAATAATCGGTTCGACAACATCATCCACTTCTGTATAAAACAACCGAATAAAAACAAGTATTTCAACTGATTTTCTTTACTAACCAGCAAATCGATGGAGTGGAATCTTCGATAACATTCCCGCAGCTTTCGTTTCATCAGACCAACCAATACGACCCATTTCAGTCAGAACAACCTGCACAAAATGACACTGGCAAAGTTCTAAGCAATCCAATGTCTTACTGTTGGTTGCACACTATTAACTCGAATCTACAACAAAGTAAGTTATATCAGTACGATCTCTCCGAAAAGACAATTTACATTGTGAGGTCCTAATTCTAATGCCATAACACGAGTTAATCCATCAACAGCCGCTTTCGATGAACAATAGATACTATGATCTTTTAGTCCTGCTGCCGATGCTTGACTTGAAACATTCACAATAGAACCAGGTAGTTTTCGTTCAATTAAATCACGTGCTATTTCCTATGTAAACATATAGCTATCGAATACAAAGAAATCAAACTCAGAGTCAATCTACCTGACTGACACATATGATTGAACGAACATTGACATTGAATAATCTACGAAAAACAAGTTCAGATTTTCTTGTTTATCTGTCATCGCTGCATACACGTCGAAATCTTCTGGTTTAACTTCTAAAAATGGATGAAGAATCGCTACAGCTGCGTTATTAACCAACAATTGAATAGGTAAATGCGGTTTGATTGCTTCTTTCGTTGCATTCCAATCACATAAGTCTACACAAACTGGACTAATCTTATTATTCTATTCGAAAATACTCATGTAAAACGATGCAATTATAAGTTGTACAATTCATACTAGTGCAACAAGTTGTTTTAGATTTTCATCGGATTTACTAATGGCGATAACTTTTGCACCGAGTTCAGCCAGTCGTAGCGCTAATGCTTTTCCAATACCTAAAAAGATCCATTGTTTTGATTCGATTTTGTAAAATATCTTTCATGTCATATTCGAACCGCGTCCAGCACCAGTAACACAAACGGTTTTATTCTGGAATTCGTTCTCAGTCATCTGAAAAATTACGAAAGACAGAAATGTAATAGTTTTTATCAAAAATATTCGAACAAAAACTAAATTTTTAAATGAAGAAAGAAAGAAAATCATTGACAAATTGCGTTGTGAATTGGAATTGCTAATAAACCAGCGAATGTTATTCCAAATGAATCACCGACTGAGGCCACACCCATGGAAAACTCACGATCTTGTTTTGGGATCTATTGAATAACATATGAATCTCTTTTCAATGGTAATATCAAATAAACTCTACCTCTTGCGATATCTTATAAAAAGTGTTCACATAAGCACCACCGCCAATTAAACCTTCGAATAGAATCAAACCAAACACTAGCCATATACTTGGAATATATTCTGTCCGATATACACAAGCAAAAAATAGGCCCATGTTGATAAACTAAGGAAAAAGTAAAACCGATTGTGAATCGAGAATGAAATGAGAAGTTTACTTGAATGATCGGTAACAACCATAGATAATGAATTCGAAAGAAGATCACGGATGTACGTGAAATAAAAACACCTATTTGATATATACCTGAATACCTAGATATAAAGGATATATATTCTTCTCTTTGTCTTTTTTTTGCATTATATCTATATGAACGTACCAACGGTACTGAGATGCATGTGATAAGAATATTCCACGGAAAAAAATTAATTCATACTAGAAAAGGAGAGAAAATCTCGGTAATAGTAGTCTTTGATGATTCAGTGTACACTTACTAATCCTTGATTGATTAAATACTCAGCAAAATAGACTAGAGTCAATGGAATTATATATTTGATCAAAGGCTGAAAGAAATCAATTAATCGAATGTTAAAGTTGACGAATAAATATTTACTTTTATTAATTGAAGTCGACTTGGTCGATTTCCTAGTACGGCAACTTCGTCCCTGGCAGGTTTATCACCGTCGTCGTCAGCTAAGAATAAATCGATTTTCTTAAGCCTATACAACTCTAATCGATCTTACTCGTTTCGTCCTTAGGATGATCAACTATTTGTTGATACTGTTGCTGTTTCGACGCAGCCGTACTCGCTCCAACCATGAAATAACTATGAATATCAATCAATACAGACGAAAACTCTTTCATTCAGCCATTTTCCTTACCTAATAAGCTGAATAACCGGTATAAAAAGTAGAACCAATATTGCAGTTTTGGGTTTTAAATTAATCGGACCCGTTAGCAATGCATAGGAAAGTGAACCAAGTAGACCAGCTGCACCTGTTCCACTTGACCACGCACTAACTGTGTGTATCGAATAGAATGACGATAACTGCAAGATAGTAATTTCACCAAATCCAGAACTAATGCTTGCACACGCCACACCTTATGTATATAATTAAAAACACATGTCAAAACACTTTTCTCTGCATACCAAATAGACTTAGAGCAATAACATTCGATGTACCAACAATAAGCAACGAACCCGCTGCAAATAAGACGATGAAGGCAAAACGAATACTTAAACAGCAAGAAATGAATGAGATCAACAAGGGTTTCACACTTACTTGTAGATGATTTTATGCATAAAGAATGGAGCTGTTACTTTAATTGCCAATGCCGGCAAGATATCTGCGAGCAGGACTGCCTAAAGATGGATTTATATCTGTTTTTATTTACACTTTTACATTCGAGTGTTTACTCCGGCAGAAACATGGTTACAATCAAAACGATTGGTTATATTGTGTGGAGAAGGATCAGTTGAATTTTCATGTCCTTCCTCTTTTAAAATATCATGAGCAGCACTTAACATTACAACGTAACCAAAATTATTGCACAGACCCAGTAACCTATCAAATTGAAAATCTCTTAGGAATTTACTTTATCTCAAAAGAAAATCAACATACCAAAATCCGGCAATTTCGATTCCTAGTTTGATTCGTTCCTTACGGCGAAGATCACGAATTCCCGGTGAATTAATCATGATCGGAAAAAGAAACAGACACATAAAAAGATCATTTTCCTGTTGTTTCTGTAAACATGAATATATACTAAAATGGATTTTATTCCCAAAAAAAAACATGAATAAGATGATTAGTAGAAGAAGAACATTCATGTGTGTATCTATTTGAGTAGTGACCATTTGATTTGCTCTTTAGCGTGATTGAGTACCTAATCGAGTAGAAAGATAAAGCAAAGTAACAAATAGAAACAAATTTGCTGAGCAAGAAAGTGCGAGCAGAATCAAAAGCGTGTTTTATACATTGGCACGCACATATTCATCTATCTATCGATCATTATTGAGTAAAATATTCAATCCCTGATAGAAAATCTGAGAGAGAGAGAGAGACAACGAAAATAGGTATCGATATCATTTGTGCGTTGAACGACTTACTTGAGAAACTGTCTGTTCTCCTAATGGAACATCATCTTGACGTATTTGAACACGTTGCATTACCATAATTGGATCCGATTCGAGAATAATTCTATGAAATAAAGAACATTTCGTATTCGATTTCGACGACAAGATTCAACTTACCCATCATCACATATTTCATCGACAGTGAGTATAACTAAATCAAGATTTTCATATAAGAATCTCTTCTCCACATTCTTTCTTAGCATTGCATTCAATGCTTCAAATAAACATGTCAGAACAGCATTTAACATTAACTAAACCAAGCTCTATTCAATCAATACCATTCGCAATTCGATCACATACTTCATTCTCATTGATACTACCCATAACATAGAAGATCAAATCAACATTATTGCGATAGACAACGGTCCAATTATCAAGAAGAATAACGTCTCCTGCCCCTTTATGAGTTTTATTAAATAACGATTTTTCGAATTCTTTCTGTTCTTTTATGGTAGAGATTGATTGATTGTAATACTAAAATGTACAAGAAAATTCGTTCGTAAAATGAACTTCAGTCAATAGAAAAATTTACTTTCGCAAACACTCGATTGCCATCATTGTCCAAAATAATGATGCTTTTAACTATATAAAGCGATGGCACCTAAAATCAATGCGTGTGAAGAATGTAGAATTCTCGAATGAACTTACAGAGAGATTTTCTAAGACCATTTTCTTCTATTTCGAAAAGAAATAATAAGAGGTGCGTATGTTTATCTAGTTTATCGTTCGTTTATCTGTCTATCTATTCGAAAAGAAAGAAATGATTCATGAATTTCGGCCATTTGGAATTCGAGTCAGCATGAAATACGAATGCCAGCGACAACTATTGATCTTCCATCAATGAATGTGTTAGTCTTCTATCTAAGTGCGATATTTTATTTTAAAAATGAAAAAATCATTACAGAATCGTTAGTAAAAGGAAGAGCTAGGCTCCTAATTTCAAATGTTCGTGTATAAATAGAACTGTATTGACGAAACAATCACTAGCACTCGAAACTTCGCTCAGTGCATGATTACTATCATATACGTATAATTTTGTTGGAACGTTCTTTGCCTTCAAACTTTCGTAATAACGAAGACCAATACTCCATGGGACACGACGATCCTTTTTACCAAGTTGAAATAGAACTGGTGTTTTAACTTTGTCCAGTAAATGAATCGACGATCGTTCAATTAAATATGATGTCAATGATAGATCGAAAAACCGATTGCGACCAGTTTCAAAGTCAAAATCACTATTGACGGACTGTGCAAGCGCCCAATCAGGAATGTCCGATGTTATATATGTATGAAGAAGATCCATGACGGGATTTCGTAGGACAGCGACTGCGTAATCATCTGGGTATTCGCCAATTAAACGGCCAATGATCACACCTGCATGAGATCCACCGATGAGTATAACAGGTCGATTAGGTTGTGTGTAATCCAAACAACGACGAATAGCATCATGACAATCTTGAACATCAGTTTTTGATATATTGCCAAGTAATTTATCAATTGAATCTGGAAGAGAACCAGACAATACTTCTTAGAGATACAAAAGCTTATCATTCTTACTTTGTCCAAAGCCGATCGAACCTCGATAATTCACAATGAGAACATCGAAACCCAATGAAATGTATGCGACGACACCCACATAATAATCCACTAGAGAACAACTTTATACTAAACATAGAGTAAATGCAAACAACTTACAAGGAACAATTGAGTTCGGTCCACCATGAACTAGAACCATCAGCGGTCGCTTCGCTTCTGTCTCACGCTGATAAACGTAGATTGATTCCACAGGCAAATTTTCCTTATCGGGAAAGAATCGATCAAGATTCCATTCAATTTTACTTCTTTCTTCCTTTTTAAATTCATGTTCCACAATCAAATACCAGCCGTTCTTATCTTTTTCCGCACTGTTCAACGTTTTCAAGTCGAATACATACAATCGATACGGTGTACGACAATCTACCACATTAACTGCAATATAATGACCGAATATAGCCAATCCATTCACAGATGTATTCACTCCTAATGGTGACTCGATTGGAATTAGTTTCTTCTCGGTGAAATCGTAGACATATAAGACATTTCGCGAGCCAGAAGTTGAACGGATAAGAAGATAACGGCCATCAGACGAATAACAACGAAGAACTAATGGTAAGTAAATACCTTTGAATTGTGTGTCCCATTCAGCAGCGAATGGTGGTGTATTTTGATTGGCATATTCAACACTGAAAAAAGATAATCAGAATAGAAAAAGAAAATTTTCCAATGATTTCTTACTTGTCAATTCGATCGATAAGAATTTCTTCTTGTTTTGTTTGTGTGTTAAATAAAATCAAACGTTGACATTGTTTATGTGCTCGATTGACATCCGCTTGAAGATACACAAATTGATTATCTGTTTTCGGTAAATGTCGAGGAAATAATCGACAGATTTTGTCAAATTCTGTCAATTGGGTCCATTCATTTTGCCGCCAATTACATTTGAATAACGCGGAAGAACGGTTTTCGCAGTAGATCAAACCTAATCGATATGGCTGAAGACGGAATGCAACAAGAATCAATTCGTCCGGGTTTGTTGTCCAAGTACATTGGCCAAAATACAAATCTTTTGGTTGATTTTCAATCAATTTCACTTGCTTCGTCTCCAGATCAAAGACACAAATGACAGATGTTTCGAACGTTTCCATTTGTTCACCCCAATTCTCGCGATAGGTACTAGCAGGTTCTCCGATATCGTCCAATTTTTCTGCCGTAAAATATGATTTCAAAGGTTTACGTTTCTCTTCAGCTGCAAAAACCAAACGACGAGAATCAGAACTCCATTCGAAAAAACTTGCATAATCATTTTTCGGCAAAATTTTTCCATGTGGAGATATTTTAGCATCATTGACTTCATAGCCGAATATCAAATGTTCATCGTGCCAAATTTGAACATACTGCAATTCTTGTTCACCTTTACTTTCTTTCGTCACTAACGCGAGATATTTGCCATTGGGTGAGGCAAGACGACGGACGATTGTTTTATTCACCGGTGTCACGTTACTCGTAAATAACAATTGTTTGCTTTTTAACGAATACGTGAACGAGCGTGTATAGACAAGATCCTCTAATTTCACAAGATCCATCGTAGAAAAATACGGTGTCAAATGAAGGATCTCATCATTCGAATCTTGACGACACGACTCAATATCCGCTAGCGTTGGCTGACCAGCATATTGCCGATATGTTTCAATCGCTGATGTTAAGATACGATTGTCCGGGGTAGAAGACATACTCAATCTGAAAAAATAGAATGTGTAATTTAGTAGAAGTGTCAATTGAAATTTTTCATTGGTTCTCAATTAATTTACAATCTTCGTTACAGTTGTATCACATTCACTAACCGATCGATTGATGTTTTCTTATACGCGTGCAGACACCTCAAGTTCTGTTTCAAATTCAAATGTTTAATGAGTAATCGTTGAGCAAAGCTGAGCATTTGATCTGAAAATAAGTCGAACATTGCGACGAATGATCGTACTTTTCTTCGTGCAAGCAATTTTCAATGCAAAATAGAAGAATATACAAAACACATCCCTCTATTTTCATGTTATGACACAAATATTCAATTGAAATATGATACAAATATAAATAAACTATGAATTCAAGTGGAGTGAGATCTTTTCATTCAATAAGGCCATGATTAGCAAGTGAACGAGTCAGAAACGATGTTGTTGCGCCAAGTTTAAATCGTTTACTACCCAATGTTTGAACAGGTGCAGCTAAAGAACACGGTTTCAGTGGTTGGACTTGTCATTATAAACTTTATCTTACTATTACGTTTTGGTTCTGGATCTTCATATGAAAACAATCCTGTTGGCCTTCGTATTTCTTGATTCACATTCAACATTTGCACTTTTCGTCGCTCGATTGGTTGATCTTCGTCATCGTCTTCTCTTGATCGTTTCAAAGGACTAATCGTCACCGTTCGCCGTGATGCTACCGTTGTATTATGTGTATCATTCACAAGAGAAATCTGTCGTTTCATATTCGTGCGTAAATCAACTTGACTATCGACTATTGTCGTTGATGACAACGAAGGTTCCGTTTTCTTTCGTATCATCGCAAACGGATTGACAAGTTTGTTTGCCAGATTGCTCACTTTTCTACTTATTAATGACGTTTGTCGTTGGAATAATGAGGTAGAAGAATCCAATCGTTTTAAACGATCGGCCATCGGAACTTTTTTCTGGATAGAAATTGTATCTAGATGAATGAGAAATTTGATTCATTACAAAGACTAAGATTTTCTCAAAAATACCCGAAAGAGATTTCACAGTTCGCATTCCGTGAGTTGATGTCGATGGAGTTTTTTTCAATACACCCTGATACTCCAGTGGCGGTGATGCTGTTAACGCTGTCGAACTTCGAACTTTGCCATTATCGTCAACGGTGAGAACTTTTTCTTCAGGTTCCATTAAATGTCCGAAATTGCGTTTGCGTATATCATTCGCTGGTTCAGCAAATGGGTAAACAACTGATGTTGGTCCTAAATGAAACTTGGGTGATTGCATATCTACAACAAATATACATACGATCGTTAAATGATATTCGTGATAGCAATGCTGGCGACAGATTGGATGCCGATTTCGATAAAGAGTTTCGATTTAGTGATGTTACCTGATCATCACCAAGCCACGATCCAATGACACGATTAGCAGCTAAAACCGAAAAGTAGTAATCGAGTTTTTAACTAATAGAACTCGATTTACCGGTCGAGCGTCTTTGCAAAAAGGGTTGTTGATTGCTCTAATAACACAAAACATTTTCCATGAATTGTAATGATTATTTATTACTTTCTCATTCATCAATCGAGCTTGTTGTATCAAGCGAACACGATCAGCTTGGTTAACAATACCCAATTTTTGTAAGTCATTCTCGTTGACTGCTGAAAATTCTTCCAAATTTGAAAAACGATCAGCTAAAGCCATACTGTATTTCAACATTGTGCTATTATTAGCTGTAAGATTCGAATCACGTACGAATTTCAACCAGAACGACATGTCTAAACAAAAATATTTCGCTAGAGATACACAAGAATAGTCATATTCGTTACCTGATGTCAATCGATCCGTCATTTTTTGAAAGATATTTTTATGGAAAACAAGGAAAAATGAATAAAGAAAGACCACTGTCATAAAGAAACTTTATGGAACAAATCAGAAATCATTGACTGCAGATGGCGTTGTCATGCAATTGGACAATGCCCATTTTGACGTCAATATAGCGTATCTGTGAGAAATACGATGAAATAAACGACTTTGATTGCCGTACGTTTAATCTGTGATATATCTCGGTGGTGAACCGTAAATAAATCAAAAATTGTACTTTGCATGCGTGGTCACGCTCGCATCAAGTCGCTTCGAACAAAATGAGGTTTTTATCATAGAAACTTAATGTCAGTGTATGTATAATGATTCATATCGGTTATCACCTGTTTATCAGTGACGAAAATATACTATTTGAAACTGTGTATATAATAGATAGACATTCTATTCTCTCTGTCAAAGAATACAGAATATTCGAACTTTGTTTGTTAAGAATGGACACACCACCTTCCTATGAAACTATTACTGGCACTGGCACAAATAAAACGTCGAATCGGTTATGGTACGTGACTATATACATTTGCGGATTATAGACAAACTAGAAAGTTCTTTTGTGTTGGTTAGGGAAACATGGTATAGAAAGTTGATTCAGTTGAATTTCAATCAGGATGAAGCTGCAGCATATGCGAAATTATTTGTTCAAAACGAAGTTATAATCGATATGATTCCTGAACTCAATGATAGTATTCTGAAATCGATAGGAATCGAAAAGGCTGGACAGTAAACATCGATGTCGTTTAAAGTAGATTGATAAACGATGTTAACTATTCTCATTATAGTCGAATCCGAATCTTACGTTTACAAAATAAAGCATCGCTACCATCACTGTCGCCGCCGCCGCCGTCACTGCAACAAATCCAAAGTACTGTGCCAGCAGAAATAAATGTAAGTCAGTTAATTGCTTGTATGAAAATAAAATGATTTATTTCTAGGTTCCGCGTTGTTCGTGGCATCCTAATGTACCAGCTGCTGAAAAGTGTCGAGATTGTAATCGACTAGTATGTTTATCTTGTCGGTGAGTAAAGGTCACTTCAAGTGGCACGCTTTATTACTGCGAAAATTGCCACAATGATTGTATCATTCTTTAATCTACATCATTTCCTTTTCATTGAGCAGTACGGATTGTGTATAATAATTCATCTTTTTTTCAATGTTTGTTATCAATAATAAAAAAATCATATCTTTCGAACGCAACTATAGTCTATGAAAGGATTAGGTTTAGTCAATATCTTGTTTTCTTCTTTTTATTCTGTTCATTGACATGAAAATAGCGACAAACGAAATAACGGATTTTTGTATTACAAACGTTGCATTTTACCATTTACGATGATGTTGTAGCACCGGTGTTAGTGGTAGTACTTTTGCCAGAACGCTTGGTGTTAGTAGCACTTGTTGATGTTGTAGCAGCAGCTAAGCGTTGACCACGAAGTAAAGCAGATGCACGACGAAGAGCGGCCTAGAAAAATATTCGATTCGAATTCTGAAAGAAAACAGTCGTTGCACGTAAACAAACCATTTTAAGATCTTTTCGGTAGCGTTGTTTACGGATTGTTCGTCGAATACTGGTCAGTGTGCGACGTGAATCTTTGCTGAGCTTAACCTGACGGAAACGTTTGAGTGGTTTCTTCAAATCTAAATAGAAACATTCAAAACTGAAGGTAAACATGCGCGTAATCGAAATACATACTTTTAACATTGCCGGTTGTGAAAAGAACACCTTTACCGTCTTTAACAGTTTGAACGCCAACTACTTTTGGGTGAATAAGACCATTAAAACGAAAAGTATTGCGGTTTTTCAAATTGTTTGCTTCCTTCAACGAGAGAGATGCGATCGAAAAGAAAATGATGAGTACTCATACTGTTGTAAGTGTGCCCAATTTCCGTTTATGTAAAAATGACGAACTGTTCCGTATAACCATCCATTGTACATGAGATGAAGCTTGTTCAAATCCTGAAATATTTCTCGCATTAGAAGAAATTGGCGTGAAAACGATCCAACTTACGTCCACGAACCATGCTTGAGGTGACGAATTACAAGGAAAAACAATCTAAATTTAGACACAAATCAGATGATTTATGACAAATTGTTTTCATAATTTTTTGTTCGATCAAACAGAAATAAATAAAAAATAATCTTCTTTTTTACTTCTTTACCATTGGGTAACAGTCTTAACCATTCTGATAAGTATATCCATGTATGTATTTTTTTTCGTTCTGTCCTTGATGCACTAGTGTGCCAAAAGTGTTTCTTTTTCGAAAACGTCGCTAACATCAATTCTCAAGATCTATTCTACGCATGAACGTTCTATACTTTAGATAGAACAAATATGATTGTCGGACAAATTCTATTAGGATTGACTGGACTGAGTATATCTCTCTATGCGTGGTACGTCAAACAACAACGACAACGAAATCCGAAATACAAAGCCCTATGTGATATAGGTCCGAATGCTAGTTGCAGTCGAGTATTAACAAGCGAGTGAGTATGCTTTGAAATATATTGATCAATAAGATTCCTATGCAATACTTCTGTATAGATATGGCACCGGATTTGGCCTTGTTGGTTCATTGTTTGGTCAAAATAGTATGATGAATGCTTCTAATGTTTATTTCGGTATGATATTCTATATCTTACAGATCATTTTCGGTATGTAAAGAGTCTTTTGTTTGTCGTACTATTACATTTGTGTTCCTTAGGTTTAATAGCAACACCATTGTTCACTAAATTTGCACTAGTTACATCTACCATATCTTGTCTAGGTTCGATCTATTTAGCTTACATTCTCGCATTTGTCCTTCAAGATCTATGCCTCGTATGTGTGGCGAGTTATGCAATCAATGCCGGTCTTTTCTGGTCCAATTTACGAACAATTTATTCAATGTAATAACAATAGTTAGATCAGCTGAGAGATGACTTGTTTTCTTTTTCTACGACTATTTTAATAAATATGCAATTTGCTTCGATGCTTTATCACAGACTATTCAACCATAAACGTGTATAGCTGTGGGTTTGAAAAGTAAAAATCGACGCATTTAGATTATTCTTGATAGATAAAGTATGCACTTTACGTGATAGTCGGTCAACAAGAACATCTGTCGGTGCCTGGAAAAAAGTCATTCACGTTAGTCATCGATCAGTTTAAAATCGATTACTTCATATATTCGACACTGTCACTTAAATTTTCGTCACGTGCAGCTGATGGATAAAGTGTAGGAGTTACGACAAATCTACTGTGTATCTGATGACGGTCATTACTTACGCCTTTTTGTAAAGCAGATTGATGAGATTGCACGTTCTTTTTCTTTTTTACAAACCTTTATTCATTTCACAGCCGCGTGATCGAATTCATAGCAAAGAAAGACTAGAAGTGTTTTGCCGATACTATCTTACTGATCGCTTCGAAAATACATACCGTAGCTAGATGAGAGAGAGAGAGAGAAATTCTACGGATAGATTTATTTTCTGTTTGTCATCCTATGAAAGATGATTCATCTCTGAAAACAAGTAAACTGAACTCTCCGATCACTTACTAGTCTTGATAATTAGTTGACAATTGGAATATTGCAGACAATTCCAGATAAACAAAATAGGTATCGAACATATACTACTAAAACGGGATTTTCTCAAATACATTCAAAATTATTTATTGTTTTCAAACTATCATCTAATTTTCTTGTTCGCATATCATCCAGTCGACGTCAAGTATCTTCATTTTCAAGACAGTTTTTCTCCAGGTATGCAACTATTGAATTGACTGCTTCACTCTGTGATCTAACGTTAAATCATGATTCATTCATGAAGTCAACGAAAATCGTATCCCTTCATATCATCTCTATGATTCTCTCATAAACATTTTCACATCAAAACTCTTCAATACTGTGCAAAATGTCAGACAGTTTATCTAGGGTCAAAAAAACATTACAATCCGATAGAGAAATCTATTTGTCCTGGTAGCGTGTAGAAAAACAGAGAAAACTAAATCGGTAAAGAACAGAAAAACACTTATTTTCCAAAATTCAAGCATAGACGCAGACCTACGCCGCGATATCAATCGCCATAGTAAGTTTATTCGATACGTTTCACTAATTTTTGAATTACTAAACAGAAAGTAGACGTCGTGTATTACGTAAGTGACGAATTGTTTTTTACATGGAAAAACGTGTAATCTATTCCAATTATATCTAGTTCATTAATAATCAGTGAATGAAACGATTTCGACATGAATCTCGTCTCGTGAAAAACAGTTTTTCTTAACATTGATCGCTTTATTTAGAATTTGGAACAACCGAATGTCTGCATCTTCCACTACACCAGAAGGTAGTAAGCCACCAGCGAAAACAAATAATATTTGTCAAGTATGCGGTGATAACGCATCAATAGTGAACTACGGCGTGTTAACATGTGCATCGTGTCGAACGTTTTTTCGTCGGAATGGGTTCAATACAAAAGTTTGCCTCATTCATCAAAATCGTTATACTAACTTGTTTTTCTTCTTTCTTTCCTAAGGAAATTGCAGTTTGTCGGTTTGATGGTCGTTGTGAAATAGTGAAAACCACAAGGAAATACTGTACAGCTTGTCGATTGGCCAAATGTCTCAATGTTGGGATGAATCCTGATCTAATTCGCAAAGAAGAATTAACCAAAATAAAACGTAAACCTCCCGCGACTAACTTCCAAGAATCGACTGAGCACATAACAACCACGGTGCGTACAAGTTGGAATTGAATATCGCAAGAGAAATGCAATATCCATAGATCGTACTCAATGCGAGTTTCGAATATTTTTTTACCGATAACAAAAACACACAAACACACTTTGATTTATTAATTTAGACAGTACCACAAACATCAGCATTAGATCTTGTCACACATGATTCTTTATTGACCAGTACCGATTTACTAACAATATCGAATATTGTTCATGCATTTGATACGTTCAGCCCAGTGGCGGATATTCGACGTACAATTGATACTTTGCATTCATCAGCTTCCAATTCTCAATTCGATTCTCAACAAACAATTCAAATGCTCTCGTCATTTTCCAATTGTCTACTACTATTTCTCAGCTCAACGCCTGACTTCAAAGTGTTAACAACATCGGAGCAACGATCTCTACTACAACGAAACATGTTCGGCCTTTTATCGCTTGGAGGAATGTATTTAATGCGTGAATCAGGAATATTCGATACACCGGAAAATGAAATGATCGTTGCCTTACTCTACGACAATGATACTATTCGACAAGCACGACTAATTAGTAAGCGATTAGATGATCCAATACTGATAAAACTGATGTTAGTTGCGTTGGCATTTTCGTCGAACTGCCTGACGCAAGCCAATCACAGGAATTTTGATAGAGATAGTTTATTACACGGTACATTTCGTTTGTTCGGGAGTCAAAATGTATACGTCGAACTTCTTTGGAAATATTTAAATCATCAACACGATGATTATCAAGCAGTACAGCGATTTTCCAAACTGATTAAATTATTTCTTGATACATTCAAATTTTCATGTGAAGTCTATGAGACGAATGAATTATATAAAAAATTTATCGATATTGTTACCGAAGAAGCAGAAAAATCGTCGGTGATCAATGACCAAACAGTTATTCCACTATGGGGAAAGAATTAGGCTAATCAATGTAGTGTATTTATTTATTTATTTTCATCTATCGCTTTCTTACTGTGTCAGATACGCTCAAATCCTATGTCAAACAGAACTAATTTAACAATTTGCAAAATAAATCAAAAGAACAATTCTAATCGAATGATCTTCTCTCTCGCTATAAGAAGTCGTGTGTGTGTAGTTATCCAAACGTCAGTCGCACTTTGAAAACCACAAGGTTATTCGTAAGATGCTCATACAAAATATCACAGTGACTTTTTTCGGTTTTAGGAACGTCTGATGCGCGTTTATCACGATTGTATGCAAATCCAACAAGAGACAGATATATACTTTACAAAGCAGCTTGCTTTGTTTCTGTCGAGTTCGTGAGCTATTTTTATAGGAGTTTCTACTCGACGTATACAGTCGATTATTATCGAGGCATAAGATGTTGAAATCCTCTTCTTCTTTGTAGGAAAAGGAAGCGAAGGGTAAAGTAGTTACCATTTTGTTATGAAGTAAATCAATAGCATCAAAAGAAAGTCAATTAGCTTGCCCTTGATCTTTAAAGAAAGAAAAAAGATATCGTAAATAAGTACGAAGAAAGTATTGTAAGTGATTAAGATAAATATGACTGTAGAAGTTCTTTTCTGTTTTTCGAATAAAGAGCATTACACTTGATGTACCCAGTAATATTTTCATAGTATATTTTTGAATCTTCTCTATTTCCGTCTCCGACCATGATTTTTGTATCGAATTTAGTCTAAGTAATCACTAAGATCTAACTCGGATTTCCAGCACTTCATTTTCTTTCGCAATTCTCTTCTCCCTCTAGCCGAGTAAACCTTCTGTAAATCACTGCCCAGATGTTTAGGTTCTCTTTTATTTCTTACGTATATATCGTCCATAAATTATCGTCTATATTCATGTACATCGAATATCCAAGTCCGTAGAATAACAATGAGAACTATCAATCAAATGCATAGGGTCTGACATTGTGCTTGGATCATATGTAACGTTTGACTCGAATCGTACAGTCTAATTGTTATGAATAGGGAAATACTTGATCGATAGTCATTCGATTGATGTTCTTTCTTTTTTTTCATATCCGAGTTGAAGTGACTAATCGAAGTCTACTCATGTACGCGTAATTTTATTATCTTTCGAGTACTACCTGCTGTAGTGAACAATGATCATTGACAGAATCGATCGACATTATTACTCTAACGATCAGTAATTGAATAGTTCCATCCGTTCGTCATTTATCATATTGTTCAATAAAGAAAGAAAGACATTGATCATTTCTCGGTTTCTTTTTCTTGTCATTTACTCAGAAGAATATGTACTGGCTACTCTTACTACTGTTCATCGGCAAGTCTTCGTGTCTATTAGAGACACAATTGGAAGAAGAAGATCTTTGTAAGTATATATTACTGCTTTGCCTTTTGACAATGTTGATGTCGATGTTTCTTACACAGAGCAATACATGATTGTTGAGGTGAAGCAATGGAATAGTTTAGCCGAAGTAAACGATGCCGTAGACATAAATGAGAACAGATAGGTGCAGATACAAAAGGTACATTCGATTGAATTGATATTGAGTTCGAATCCAAACGAATGATATCGTTCACATCGAGAAGATAATCAAATAATTCTTTCGACATACTTATGTATCCCGCTTTTTTTTCCTACGAATATCATGAGCAATATTTACGATTTATTAGTACAATAGCTATGGACAAGAAGATCTGTACGAAATGTTAGATCATTGTGTTCAATTATCAATGAGACATGGCGAATAATAACGAGAAATGTTTAATCAAATCGTAGCTTAGATTTTCCAACCATGTTAAATATGCAAATCACTTTTTCTTCTTGTAAACAATCGCTTGTTTGAATTACGGACATTCTTATATGATTTGAATTTTAATTAGAAAAGAAAACGTCCAATGTAATCAGTCCATTGTTATCTTGTTTCAGTTTCTTTTCCCATCTATGATCTCATGTAAAGTGAAGAGAAAAGGTACGAGTAATGGTTCATGTTCAAGCGCGTCTTAAAGCAATCCGACATGCGCAATCTTTCAAATCCTTACGTAAAACTAATGTTGCCGACAAAGAGTTAAAAGATTAATTCAATACGAAAAGTTGCTTTTCCGAGTAACTACGTCGACTAATCTGTCATACAAATGAAATGCCTGGAGGAGAATTTCATCAACAGACTGCGACTTGTGTCGAAGAAAACCTGTAAGAGCGCTTTGTTTAAATACGAATGATATCTGATGTTGCGGCAGATGTTCTTCTTTTGATGAACATTTCGTTACATCAGATTCGAACAGCTTGAACGAATTCGTGTGGAAAATGGTTTGTACAATGTTTATTTCCGTTTTAACTAACGTCGGTCAACTTCACTACCTCTTGCTGATTAGAGAAACGATCATTACTAGTCAGCCGAGGATAATTCGTGCACTTGTCCTTGATCATCATCATTTGGATTTCCAACTGAATGATCAAACAAAGAAATGCATTCATGCTTCTCATGTTCAAAACTGCCACACCCGATATGTCATCATCATTCAATTAGCTGACCAGAGCATAAGATCGTAATCATCGTGTTGGACTGCTTTCTTTCTTTTTTTTTCTGAGAAGGATCAGTAATCACGAAATAGGACATAATTAGCAATAAGCATGAGGTTCTTTTTCCTCATCTTGTATACGAATGTTCAATGTTTTGGAAGAGAAGAGGGCAAATAGGAAAGTGAGTAGAAGAAGGGAAAAGAACGACAGAGAGAAAGAGAGATGTACATAGAGAGAGAGAGAGAAAGTGAACGCGAAAAAAAAGAGAAAAGAAAGAAAATGTTTGTCCATTTTTACTTGACACCTTGTCCAAGAGAGAACAGAAGAAAATCATGTTGATATGCTTGTTATACATCCTTGTACGTTTAGCTGGCTCTCTTGTGGCTTTTGATACAACAACGGAAAACTATACGGTACCAGTTAGTGGCAAATGCGTTTTGACTTGTTACGTGACAGAAGTGCGTTCGTTCAAAGTAAGTTAGTTTCATATTATCTTCATTGAAATTCTATCCATTGTGTCCCTATCAACACATTTCCTTTTCTTCGTCTGTTGGCCAGACGTAATTGTACTCTTTGTTGGTTCAACAAACTTTTGTATATGTATAGATGTTGATAACCAACATTTGTGATGTATGTTATCACAGTCGCATCCATCCAAGATGGGCTAATTAGATTGATATCACTCCCACCCCTCTCTTTTCCCAATCAATGATAAGAATCTAAATATTCGATGTCTGGTTTGATGCGGTAACACAAAGATAAACAATAAAGATATATCAGTCATAAATTAACTGGTCGGAAGTTTTGTTTTGATTCCTCTTCGTCGTTCAATTATTAAATTTTCTTCTCGACAAGAAAAAAATTTTCATTTACTAAAATAATCTTTTCATTCTTCCGCTTTTGATATCAAGTGTTTAAACAAAGAAAACAAATACGAACTCATGTACACACACACACAAGGTCATCGATCTTTTTTATTGAAATGACCGGTCAAGATTTCTTCTCTTTTTTTTTCATATACAGATGTTGTCCGATATGGGTAATTTGGTATTTGTAACGATTATTTGCATTGCTATGCGCAACATATTGTTGAGATGATCACAATCAAATTTCAAATTTCCATATGCGGATGACGATTAGAGATCATCGGGGACTCGTCAATGTTCATCTTTTGCCAACTCGTAGACTCTTTCCCTCATTGTAGCGATTTTCCTTTTCCAATGATTGAACATGAACTAATTGAATAAATGAATTCGTAATTGAATTGATTGTATAGGTTCTTTGGCAAAAAATTGATCGGCCAATTGTAGGCGGGAACCAAACGAATGGACAAAAACAAGAACAACTTACTCTGATTGCTTTCGATGGAGTCGTCTACTCGAACAAAGATCATTATCGTCTTGAATCGGACTATGTAGGTTCATATAATTTAATCATTGATCGCGTTAATGAAGATGACCAAGGAGAATATCAATGTCAAATTAACACTGAACCACGGAAAACAAAACGGATATTTCTTACAGTTCAAGGTAAATGAACGATAAATAGTTTTAAACACCGTGACACATTTCGATGGTGAAAATGAATCGAAATTGGTTAAATTGTCTCTGCATTTATTTACACACCATGACACGTGACAATTAACATTTTCATTTTGTCACGGATCAAGATATGATCGTCCGGAAACTGATGATGATCTTAATCGAATGTTGCTCTATTCTCTTTTCCTCAATGAAATCATCACCAAAATCTCTTATTCTCTACTTTTTTCTTTTAGTTCCACCTCGTATTGTCGATTTTCGTCCCAATCCACCATTGTATTCAATCCGTGCTGGTTCACCTTTGACACTCGCTTGTCGTGCCGAAGGTACACCAGTGCCTAACATCCGCTGGCGTATTCGTGATGCCGATGTGAATCGCGTTGAATCATGTAAGTAGACATGTTAATGAATGAATGAGAGTATGTGTGTGTGTGTCCAATCCTTGATCAATCATCTTTTGACAAATTCACACGCACGCATTGACTCTTAAGCTACTTATACTGATCATATTGCGCAAAGAAAAAAGCAAGCAGACAGACAGACAGACAAAAAAAAACAATAGGACACCCTTCGATGTGAAATTTCTCATTGAGCACGTGTCACAATGTTCGACTAAGGTCAACGACCATATCTACTTGAACTTTTTTTTTTGTCTTTTATAATCTTATCTCTCACTTGACAAAATCTGTTTATTTATTAGTACCACCGCCAGATAATAATAATACTTGGTTTATTCCATCAATATCTTATACATTTCCTCGTACAGTGGAATGTATCGCTGATAATGGTGTTTTACCTGCATCAAATCGAATATTTACAATCAATGTCGAATGTAAGTCCAGATTGTTTGCCTTTTAAACAAATCTGATACATTTTTATTCATTTTAGATCCACCTATTGTCAATGTAAATAATGATTTAATTCAAAGTGAACGACATGGAAATGTCAGTATCGAATGTCGAGCATTAAGTCGTCCATTTGCTCGTATAACTTGGCAAAAAAATGGTAAAATGATTGACGAGATGAAATCGAGTAACACTCGACTTAATCAAACAATGTCAATAAGTCGACTGACAATTCAGGTACATCTAAGTCAAGATTCTATTCATAGTCAAATAACATCGAAATTTGAATAGATGAACAATGATGATGATTTTGGACAATACAATTGTATTGCTGAGAATATTCACGGTCGAATGGAAGCCATTGTTTTTGTTCTTCGTACGTGGTTTAATGTGAAATTTGTTTGAGTTTTCTCGAAATGAAAAATGATGTTCGTTTAGAAGAAGCAACGACAACAAGTGAAAAAAATCATCGACATTCGAAGCATTATTCAACCAGAACACATTTAAATCGATCAGTAGCGAGTAAACGATGAAAAGGCATTCATATGTGTGCACATCTTTTCTCTCGATTTTTCTCTTCTAGAAATGCACACAGCGACTCTAATGTCATCGACAATTGTATACATCGAACGTGACATTCATATCAGTTCATCATCTTACCATGCACGAACATCGAATATCTTCATATATCTCTTGTTGTTTTTATTTCAATTTCGAACAATTTATAGATGAAAAACAATCTTTGTGTCTATGTGTATATGATGTGCGTGTGCATGTGTGTTACAGTGATATATGATTATATATATATTTATTAAAAAGAAATAAAAGTCAGTCATGTGCATTCAGCGTCATCTGTTTCTTGGATGGCTTGACGACCATTTTGAAAATGAACAGTACAAACAACGATGAGAAGAATAAAAAGTATTAATGTTACAAGTGCATATGTGTAAGCGACGCTAATGATAGTTAACATATAGACATTTTTCGTACACCAATGTTCAGGATCTTCGGTTGTTTGTTCAAAACGTGGTATACGATAACGATAGATTATATGATTGCCATAAAGAAACCAAACGATTAGTATTAAAGTTGTTAATACGTCCATGAATATCTAAACGAGAATTTTATTTGGAAACTTGAACCGAGATCTAACATTGGATTGTCTTCTAATTACATGGATCTCGGTTGAATGAATGATACATTTGTGAAACATCGCTATTCATCGTACGGAAGAGCTTGTTGAATAAAGTGAGTTCTTCTCAAGTAGTTCAATCTACTCGTCGATGAATACGTAGGAAAAATTTTAGTCTCGATTAAATAAGATATCTTTCTACTGATTAGATTCATGTTGAATAAAACCAAATATTCTCAAGAGATTTACATTTTGTAATTATCTTCTTCATTCCTTTTCTTCTCGTGTTGTTAAGATTCACTTCGTGTCAAAATTTCCTATCAGATAATTAAAAATGACAGAAGATTCTCTTCTTCTAACTTTATCTTTTAATATTTTCTAAATCGAATAATTAATTATTTGCATCTCTGGAGAATACGCCTAGTTTCTATTCGAATATCCTACCGAACCGTTGTGAGTATCTGTTGCCTCTTCTTCTCCCGGTCCCCGACGACGATTGTATTGTTTCCAGAGAACTTGTAGTAGTTTCAATGAAGCTATAGCTCCACCCACGAGTACGAACACAGGTATATTTCGATCTAATGGACACTCTTCTAAGTTTGAGATTCCTAATAGAATCAATAGTCATTCCAGCGACAAATCTATAAGACGAATACATACCAACTCCAATCATAATCAACGGTAAAATAAGTGATAGAGCAAATACGAACGAGGCAGCTTCTATGAAAAAAACGGAATGGGATGAATTTGATTGCAGTGTTTTGCTTACTTGTTTCCAACAGAATTGAAGCTGTTTTATAGGTAAATTCAAGAAAATGCTCGGCATCAGTATATTCTTCGAAAATACGTGAATAAACCGAAATGTTTGATTGACGTTCTTTCAGTTCAGCAGCTGACCATCGTGACGGATAACCACCGGGAGTTTCTTCACCAAACTAAAGCAAAAAAAGTGAAATTTATTCATGTCGACATTCTCCGATCGAATCATCTCGTTCAACAGTCGAAAGATGTTTTCAATACCTGTTCGTTGGCCATTTGAAAAAGTCAAATAAATGAACCTAGAAATTCCATAGAACATGCTGCTTTGAACTCGTTCGTGTGACTTAATAAGGATATGAAAAATGGGATGAGTTCGATGTTTTCTTCCTGTTTAGACTTAATATTTCTATCTAGGAATCTGCTTATGCAACTCTACTGCGAATATTGAACTCGCATGATGATGACGATAGAACTCTTTCTTTTGTCAATTCTCTTCTCCAAACGAAGAAAATCGAAGAGAGGGAAATGCCTATCATTAGTAAATGCCGTTGAAGCTCAGCCGAAGACTGTTCATACGCATGTATAGTTCTCATTAAAGAATGTAATTGATCGATCGTCGTTTTCGTCATACGTATTGTGTTGTTCATATATCGTCTACCCTTTGTTTGACTAGAATCCTCCCTAATTAACTTGAAAACAACTGACGACTTCTTCCTTTATTCGAAAATATCTGTTCTCCGACATGCAATGATAACAAGCATCTCGACTCATTTACTTCGGTCATCTTCTTTTCTTCTGCTTTGTTAAAAGTTTTGCACAACGACCTGCCGTGTTTGCATGTTTTACTTTGTCGACATCGGCATGATTAGTATAGCAATTATTCAGAAAGGTGAAAAATCATCAATAAGCAAGTGGAAAACTTCTTTTTCTTTATTTTTTTAGCGTTAATCAATCATTTAGAGGCACATACCTTACTACTAATGCATTGTTGTTGTTTGCTCATGTTTGCTTGGCTCGTTGATATACTCTGCGAAGCGCTCTCTTCTTCACGAATGTCTTTATGTAAATGAATTCTCACTATATATATTAAAAAAAAGAAGAAAATTAATATCACAAAGCGAACAACAACTATCCCAACAGGTTGTCAACTAAATTACAAGTGCTTTTCTTTTTCTCATATGTGACTACTATGGTTTTCTTTCTCTCCCGTATTAATAAACTTATGGAAAAATCAGCGACTCAATAACAATTGACAACGATCATTGAGATACGGTATGATTCGTGAGAGAATTTTTTCTTCGAAAAGATGAAGTGAGATGTGTTCTGAAGTTGGATGATTGTTAACCTAAAATATTTGTATCCGTTCACAGGAAATGGCATACTTTACTCTGTTCCCCTAATGAATTCATGTTAAGATAGAAACAAGAAGAAAAAAATAACATAAAACTAATTCTTATTCTGTTGGCGTACTTGAACTAATCGGATAATATTGATCTTTACCAGAAATATGCACATATGATTAGTTATCAAGCTGATAGTTTGGTTATTCGGAAAAAACATCCACGTATCTTTCAAATTTATTTTGGATTGCTCCAAAACAGATGTTTGCTATCAGCTGAAACAAATAATGATACGTGATTGCGCTCAATGTAGAAATGAAAGATGTAATCGTCGTCGAGTATCGACAATTGATATTTAATAACGACGCATTGTTGAATTGTACCTGTGCCCTTTGTTCATTCACTCTATTAATTAAATGACTTTCGCAATAATAATTGCAGCTTTGTTTCCATGTGAGAGAGGAAGGTGTGATGAAATCATGATTATAGAACAGTAACAATACTTTATTTACACTATTAACATCAACAGACTGAATTTCAAATAACCGAAGAGATTTATTTTCGTAGAAAACTTCTGTTTATAGTAACAATTCTCGACTATATCAAAGCCAACACGTACACAATTAACGAGCATCGTAAACAGTTGAACGTTTTGTTCGTTTCTTATATAATATACGATAACCACAGTCAGTACCTAGAGAAAAACGTTGAGCATACACCGAGCGAAAATTTCATCTGTCTTACATCGAATTACATCAGTTGATCTTAATTCGTTGTCTTTATGGCATTCACCGCAAACATAGACCATCGTTTTCGTTTGTAGAGCACTATTGGTTGTTGATGGCATTGTTGATGCTGATGGTGTCATTGATGGATCATGTATAGGCGTTTTATCCATTGCGTTGTCGTGCTGTAGATATATATATCTAGAAAGAGAGAAAACTCTTTTCTGTGATGTTCTGTTTATCTTCTTTTTTTCTCTTATGTTTATTGAAACAAAGCAAAAACAAAAATCTCTCGGTTTATTTGTGAGCTTTGCGTTGGGCAAGGATGGCAGCTTGAAGTTCATCACGTTTCTTCTTGGCGCGTTGATGACTTCCTAACTGAAATCAAAGAATAGAAACAAATCAAATGTGATCGAATCTACTTACACGTGCTTTAACATATTTGAATGCACGTTTATCCCGTCCAACTTTCATCAATTCCATCGCACGACGTTCATATGGCATGAAACCAACGAGTTCACGAACAAGATCTCGAACGAATTTGACACGTTTACTTTTTTTCTAAATTAGACAACTGAAACAACGAACATGAACAGTCGACAAATGAAATTACTTGAACGCGGCGGGTCGGTCGAACATGTTTGGAAACAAACTTTTCAACTTTACGACCTTTGTGTAGACCAGCTGCTATTTCGTATTTGGGTACAAATGGCTCCTTGGCTGTTTTTGGAGTTTCACTTGACATGATATGATCTAAAACAGGAATTGATGCAATATAAGATTCACTTTAATAAGCACTGTCCAACTAAATAAAACGACGGGTTTCTTTACCTGTCCATAGTTTATTCTATGGAATACAAATGTTTATATGGTAAATTTTGAAAGAAATTATCAATTTATTTTCAATCAAATCGATTCGAGATTTGATGTTTTCTGTAAAAAAATTTTCTTTTATTTAAATAAAGGTTGAACCAATTCAATTTTGATTGGTTAGATGTCGTGTTGTCATGGAATGACATGAATCATGGTTTGGTATTGACTGATATGAACATAGAACATTCGATTTTAATAGGAAAGGTAGAACGCTAACGATGCAACTGGACGATTTAGAAGGCGAAGATGAAGAGTTTCGCAATTTTCTCAAAGAAGTAAGTGTCGTCATTCGATTCTCTCTCTTAATTTCATGCCAAAATTAGGCTACATCATCGAAAAAATCTGCTGAAAATAAATCAGCAGCATCTTCTGGCGATGAACGAATGGCGATTAAACCCGAACCAGGTAAGAAAAGTTCAATTACACACGGAATCATTCACGTAAATGTTAAGGATTTTGCTTGAAAACAAAACGAATGAATGAAGATGAAACAACTGAAGAAAAGGTTTTCATTAATGTGTGCACATCATCACAGATCAGTGCTCCACGAGAAATTACCGAAGAAGAATTGATCGAAATTGTCAAATCAGAAGATCCAGGAAGATATCGTGTACCGATTAGCTTAGGTGAACCGATGGCTGATCTCGATAAACGTATGTAGAGAAGTTTATTTGAAAAATCAAATCGAATCCTTTGGAAACATCTAGATGGACAAGCTTGTGTGATTTTCACTGTGATCATCCATCCTGATTTCTATCGACGTGCATATAACAGTCAAACGTTTATGAACTTTTTACTGATGTTGATCTACGAAGGTTTAGAAAATAAATATCCGCAATTTAAACTTGATCCAAGTAAGTTCGATCGTCTCTTTTCGTCTTTTGTTCATCAACTTAAAAAAAAACAATAAGAACAACAATACACATACAAATAGGAAACACAACGTGAGAAAAATCAACAAAATGAACATGACGTTCATACATATGTTTCGATTGTGCATTGCTTTAGGAAGAATACGTCATTTGTTTGTCTATGGGTTCAGTCAATATATATATTCTTTGCATGTTTGTGGGTATCACAAGAGATAAATGAATGCCTGTTTTGATAGGCTTCGTTCTGTTCAGCTTTCAGTAGTATCACATGAATATGGCACAACGAGAGAAAGAAAGAAAACAAGATATCACACTGATGCTAAGAAGATTTCAAACCATGGAGTATGAAGAGATTCGGGATTAGTAGTAGCAAAGCGAGTGGACGGATTTCGAAAGAAACAAAGGCGAAAGAAAGAGAAAGAGAGAGAATACATATACATGAGTGCATATGAAAAACAACCAGAAAGAGAACCTACTCGTTAATATCACTCATTCCATCGACACTATTTTTGTCATCGTGATCTTCTTGATCGGATAAATGATTGTTTAGACCATTGGATGTTATCGATGGAGCACATTGAAATTTTTGTATAGCAAGATCTGTACGACGTTTTTCGATCGCAATACGTTCGTTTTCACATTCATTAACAGCTAATTTAATGTCGAGATTTTTTCTTTCGAGTAATAGACGTTCCTTGTCGTAGATTAATCGCTGGCCTGTTAACTCTAACGTACGTTTTCGTTTCATCAATGATTCATAACGTAGAGAATGTTGTTGTTGCCCGTAGGATTTCGTCGTGTTTAAAGTTGGAGGATTTCGAGATGTTTTCAAAAATTTCCGTTGTTTATCTAGTGTTCGTTTCGAGATTTGTCCATTAGTCGAATTTGTCATCACTGATGTGCATGGCTGCTGTTGAGATGGAAGAAAAGATGACAACGATGTCGGATGAATACTTGTTGCTGGACTGGCAGAGTTATCGTCATTGCCAATGAGACTAGCACTTTCATCACCTGGAGAGTCAACTTGCCCATTCATACCATTCGCAAAATCTGATGATGGAGAATCTGCTTTATCTGATAACTGAAACAAAGACAGTCTAATTAGTTTAAGTAATTCTGGACAGAGACATGTGTAGTGAGAGTATCTGATTATCTAAGACAGAAACATGATTTTAGATTTCAATTCTGGACATGTTAGTTTTTCTCTTCTTCTTCTTCCTCAATCAATTTTTGCCTGTATCCTAGTATACTGTACGTTAATCTTAACAAGTCAAATAGAACACAATCTTGTCTTTTAGAACGAAAAGAACATGACTAATAGTTTCGTCACTATTATGCAAGATACTGCGCTTGACATAACCTTATAGGAAAAAGCCGACCTTTCTGACTCATTAGATTCACTGACCTGTTCATTGTATGCAAGTTCATGGTTATTGCCATTTCCATTGGTTAAATTTGATTGTAGCTGCAGAACTTGTTGATGGTGTATTGCCGCCGCTGCTGCAGCCACAGCTGCATGGGCAAAATGATTGGCGGGCGTTGCTGATATCGGTGCTCGGCATATAGATAAAATTCGATTGTACAGGGTCATTTGTTTATTTGTTACGGGCGTTGTTGAACCAGCTAACTGTGCGGCACGATAAGCAGCGGCTTCGCGTTTAGCTTCACTTTGTAGTTTTTTCCATTTGCGTCGAACGTCTTCAACAGTACGTTCAACTTGAGGATAGGTGGCATTCAAGTTCTCTGTAATTCGTTTCCAAATGGCTTGCTTCTGTGCAATGACGCTTTTCGATGCCTCACGTGAATGTAACAGTTCTTTATAGGTATCGTACTGATCAATAATATTTAATACTTCATGATCAGTAAAGTTCGGTTTACGTCGACGGCCAACATGAAAAGCGTCGATTGACGAATAATCTGTCGGCTGATCGTTCATATTCGGCTTTTGTATGTCGATGGTTTTATGTGAAAGTTTGATGTGGATAAGGGATAAGAAGAATGGCTCGATCTGTAATAGAGAAAGAGAGGTCGTCTCGAATGACGAGTCATAAAAAAAAAGTAATCGTAAGCGAGTCTAAACCAAATACGACATAACGGTGCATCAAGCAGGTAGACACGACGTGTGTTGTTGCTAGGCACCGATATTCTCTCCTTCGTGTTCTTTCTGTCTTTACATTGTGCAAGTAACTGAGAACGAGAGTGTTGAGTGAGAGCTATACTCTTGGAGTGTCCCACTGTCACTGTGTAGTCATAGTTTTATTCATATTATTATTTCTCTTTTTCCGTTCTCCTTTTTTCTTCTGCGGCCTTATTTTGTGCGTGCGTCTCCTTAATCCAGATATATATTTAAATGCATTTTCGTCCCTTCCTTTATATACATCGTCATCTTGCTTCTTTTTAAAAAAAAACTAAGAAAAGTGAAAAAAAAGAGCAAGATGACGAAGAAGAAAAACTTTTGTAACGGAGTCGCGTCTAGTACCACTAGTCATGCTTTTCATGTAAAAAATAACAAACCCGATGAGAAAAAAGGAAACAACCGAAGAAGATGAAGATGCTCATGCTCATGCTTATGCAGAAAAAAGTGGCGATAAGATGAGAACAGGAAATGATCATAGTCCTGCTCAGGAGGTCGTTCAAGTGAACCATGTGGAATGAGCACTAACGACACTCATTTCTTCTTCTTCTTCTTTTTTCTCCGTTTTTGCTTCACTTCAGAAGTTCAAAATTTCTCGGTGCTTCATTGCCGTCGAGTAGCAACGAACGAACGTCAGTTTATTTATTTTAATCATTCAGACCTTCGTTCTATACATGGAAAATGTGGCGTGTTTTTTTGACAAATGAATCGCTCATTCCTTCTTTTTTTCTTACATCGTTGCTATCGATTATACCTAATGTTTGCTGCAGCACTCGGGTGTCTCTGTTCTCTTTTCTTAGGTGGTGTGTGCATTGCGATCATTTTACTTCTTCTCGCAATTCCATGTCTCATAATCTCGAGTCTATGTTGACATTAGGGAAATTACTTGCTTTTTAACATATCTTACGATCCGATCGGCCGCATGTAATACTATGGGCTTGTTTAGTCAAGCGTAATGACTAGTCGTAGTACGCATAAGAAGAAACATATGACCGGGTTATATTTATTGTCGATAAATCTTGATCGAAAGTCATCATTGTTCTCTCTCCCCGTCTTCATTTTCATTCAACTTTTTCAACCTAACGATAGAACAGCAAAAAATAACTACATTTGCCGATTGTACTACCTTGGTTACAGATGATCAATCAATAAATCTGATACCGAAACTAAAATTTCAAAGAAGAAGAAACTAAAACTTATTTTTTCATCGTTGTCGTTCAGATTGGACCAAATTGAAACATCGAAAGTTCATGGGACAGCTAACAGAACAATATATTCGAGTTCGGGCTAAACCATTTATTGTTGAAGTCGATCAAACAACGAACAATACTGAGCCGAAAATGTTTGTCTAAATGAGAGCTCTCTCTTCAATATACTTATTGATGTGTATGTTTTAGTGAGACAACTTCAACAATTGAAAAAGGGTGTGTGTGTGTGTGTGTGTGTTATATAAGAAATGGCATATAAAATATTCTTTTGTAATATAGTTCGATACCTGAATATAAAATTATACGTGAACCACTCGAAGGTGATCCCGAGTTTTTAATAATGGATATTCAATTACCAAAAGTCGTATGTTTATTTGACGAATAACACGAGTGAATCGATGATTTTCATCGAATTAATCTTTGTTTTAGAAATCTTCGAAAACACTGACATTGGACATTGGTACCGATCGTATCGTGCTATTAACACGTTCGAATGTTTATCATCTGGACATATGGCTACCGATTGACGTTGATTCAGATGAATGTGGTGCACAATTTAATAAAGCAACACAAGTAAGACAAGTCTTTTTCTTATCCACTCTATTGTATCTATCTTTTCTAGACGTTAACAATCACCATGCCGGTGCTACACGATTCAGCATAAAATGTCTTGCCAAACTTACTGTGTGAATAAAAAGCAAATAAATTGTTTGACTGTTCGATTCAGATTTTTCATACTGAAATTGATCGGAGAGACTCTGTTTTATTAATCGATATCTAGGAGATTGATGATAATCAGAAATCTAGATGGAATCGGAAGCGTATGCACTCGACTAATCAATGAAATTTATAAAGCGTAAATAACCGATATTCACATGATGCGGAATGATAAGCAAATTCAATTAACACCATCGATATTCCAATGAAGGTCTATTTGTTTGGGATTTCATTGTATTACTAGCAGCCTTCTGGCAACAAGCGTTCGGATAGTACTCATACAGAACATAGGTTTGAACTTCTCTGAATAGTGCAAGAATATATCTGACTAAGTTATACAGAGATTTGTTTAGAGACATTGAGTAGCAGACGAAATAGGAGAGAATACTTTAGACTAAACAATCAAGCGAGACAGAAAGTGTCCTTCGTTTGGCCGTTGAATTGTTGATCAATCCGCGTCAGAGCAATCTATGACACAATCAATCATATTATCATATCATGTTCAGATTTGATACGTGCACGCGCGAAAGAAAATTCTTCAATTCCACAAGCTTCTGATATGATAGAGATATCTGATGCATGAGCTAAACAATATTGGACTAGAAAAACTTGTTCCAATTATGTCCCATCGTGTTAGTTTTGCATCTATCTCTATCGAGACTATCTTCCGCACAGTTAACACTTTCCCACTAACGACATCTCTGTTCAATGCCAAATGTGTACGCGACTGAGTTTTTCTTTTCATTTGAGGATTGGCTCCTAATCATGAACATGGCTGCAACGCATCAAGAAAAGAAAGAGAAAAGAACAAAATATTCTTATGCCAAAAAATTGCATAGCACACCCACACATACACACACACACACTTACGCATCTTCCTTCTAATCAAATCAAGAAGCTAAATAACAACAACAACTACACTGTTTTCCCTCATCATCTTTTAGATATGATCTTCATAGCTATTGATTATAATCAACATTGTAGCTCATCATTATCATCAAGTGAATGCTTATCTGTTTACGAACGAGTACGTGTGATGTTTTGCATTTGTTGTTGCTGGTCTCCCTTGTGAGTATTTGCATAACAAAAGCAGCATCAACTGTACCATCCTCGAACAATGAAAATAATAATAACAACTTAATCCGACGACCTGATGAATGTAAGTCGATTGAGGAAACGATCTGTTCAAATTTCATTTATTTCAATAGATGTCATGACTTCGGTGCCAATTACCGGATTGAAACGTTCGAATGTTTGTGGGGATGGATATCGCATTGAAGGAGCATTACTTATGTCACATTCGTATTCGAAAAGTGCATCCTATTCACCTTATGAAGATTGCTATATGACATTCAAAGTAGAAATCCTTTGTCCTCGTGCCTCAAGAGAAAATGAATCTTTCACTGTAGGCTCGTCGAGCGAATAATCAAATTCGTATTCGCATCTTATCACTCGATCTCAATGATATACATGGCGGTGTGAATTGTTTAGACGCACTTCGTTTTTATAAATCTGCATACATCAATCGAGAAGATCGTCTCGTTAGTTGAGATTCGAAAAAATTTATATCGGTTTCGTCTCATCGCTTTTCTATTGACTTTAGAATACAGTTGAATGTGGACAATTAACAGGTCGAGAGAAAATCAACGTGGTGTCCCCAACCGGTATTGTTACAGCACATTTTTCGTATGTGAAGTTTTTTGAAGTGATTGGTGTTCATGTGATTTTTCTTTCTATAATTAGAACCGACGGTGGAAATGTTAGTGGTCTTGGTTTTAAAGTTGTTCTCACGGCTTTTCGTTCTGGTAAAGTTTTTATAGATTCTAATGGCAAATTTCGACATCAGTTTGTCTTCTAGCAAACAAAACAGATCCATGTGATGAACTAAACGATGAATTTCTTTGCAATAATCAAGAATGCATTAGTAATTTACTTTTATGTGACGGTAAACCATTGATTTGATTCATCACAGATTGACTCTCGTTTGTATTCCGCTAGGTGTACCTCATTGCCTCGATGGGTCCGATGAATCGCCCTATCGCTTGTGTACTCCAAGTAACTATACTAAAATTCACACATTGTCTGTTTTTACAGCTGAAAGTCACTTTCAGATACCGCAGAATCTTCGAATACTGAATCAAATTCCCGTTCAGCCACATCTAAGCGTCCACATTGGCGTGGGATCCTCATAGCCGCTTTTCTACTTATCATCCTAAGTGTATTCATACTTTTCGTGGTTTATTTCCTTTGCAGTCGTTGTGTTCGTTCGCCAGCGCCCTTAATGAAGAGTGAAAGGAAAAATTATGCAACTATATTAAATTCGCGTATGTACACATGTTTGCATACAACGTCATTATCCTCTTGTTTCTGTCTTTTCCAGCTAAAAATGGTCCGAAAACAGCAACAACTACACAAATAGTGATCGAAAACAATAAATCAACTAGCAAACGTCTCGACGAAGATTACAGTTTATTGTAAAGGAAAAATATGTTCCCTATCGTATTATAGTCATATTTATTATTTCTATGTTATTATTACATATCGTCAAACTCGTCAGTTCTCTTTCGTTATATATGTATATGACATTTGTAACAGTGATATTTCTTAAAATTTAGTCATAGATGTATACATGTTTAGTCAGTTTGAAATCTATTAATAAAATACGGTCAAGAAAAAGAAGAGTTGTATGTCGTTCGTTCGAAATTCGTCGTTTGTCGACTTGGCAGTCGAATGAGTAAATATTTATATATATATAATGTTCATCCAAGTAATAGAAGAGAAATTTTATCGTTGCGCTCATGTTCAAAAATCGCAATAAAGATTCGTCAGTCGAGAAAATGAATGGTAGGTAAGAAACAAGAAAAAAAACTCACCACATGCGTCTGGCATATTTACATAAAGATTTGCTGTTAAACTCGAACACCTGAGCCTGAGATTACAAACAATGATGGAAATAAGAAAACTCCAAAGAAATATCACACATCACCGGTTATAGGCAAAGAATAGACAAAGTCATGAAGAAGAAGAAGAAGAGGCATTACACATAGTTTTCACGACCTGTCGATAATTTATGTTGATTTGAATGTTCGAAATATTTCGTTCTATCGCGTACTGGAAACGAGTGATCTGAAGAAAGTGATGTATCAGTAGCGCAATCAAACGAAAAGGATTTCATTGGTTGAGGCGGCGGTGTGGCACGTCGTTCGATTGATTGATATCGCGAAATACTCGTTGGATTGTGATTGATTATAACTGGTTCGGATACACGTGATTGTCGTTCTTGTTCAGTCATTTTGTATCGCAGAGCGTTTTGTCGATGACATGAACGGCGTCTATCATTCGATAAAATGGATTCATCAATTGGCTTCATTTGAATTGCTTCGCCAAGTGTGAATAGTCGTGAACTAGAATGATGAACGAATGTTCGTCCACCACGATCTGTCCGAGATTTTTGTGCGAGGGTATGAGAGAGATTTAATTGTTCAGCACAGGCATTCATTTGAGATATGAGATGAATCTTGTTCGTTGTTAACGTCAATGGACTGTTGTATCGTGATCGACTGTCACCTATAATCGGTTGTTGATGATTGAGAATCGGCGGAGATGTTTGATTTAAAGTTATATCCGGCTTCTTCACGACTGGTATCGATGTGAATGATGTTGAACGAGATGTGAGTGACATTGACGAATTTGACAAACGTTGATTCATCATACTTAATGTTTCCGTGGTTAAGTCTAGGTCCTGCTGCTCAGGTGTCGATCTGCTAGAAAGAAAAAAGACATGAAACCATGCAATTCAGTCTACGATTATTAAAAGCGACAAGTTATAAAATTTATTTCGAGCAACCATTCCTTACATACCGATAGTATACTTAGAATATTTACAGTCTGGAAAATAAAAATTCTAGATAAATCTTTCATTCTTTGTCACGAGATTCTACGAAACATTCTTTGTTGTTGATTATGGATTATTAACTGAATATCTATCGAGAAGAAACGCAAAAGAACTAACCTTGTTGATATATATTCATCGCCGGCAGTAGTTTTAGATTTCGTTGTTGTTACATGTCGTTCATTGATAGTTACTTGTTTGTTACTATTTTGTTCAGTATCATCATCTGTATCGTTATCGGATAAACAATGAAATTGTTTCAATGACGACGTCCGTTTGACATCTACTGTGTTTAAGCGTCGAGATTCTTTTGTTAATTGTTTTGGTTGTTGTCGATGTTCAGCACTACCTAAGGATGAATGACGAGATAACGATTTAGATCGTTTGACTTTGCCAATGGTTATATTATGAATGGTTGTTGCTGACGAACGCATACTTGAATTATTGTCCGAATCATCAGTGGTATTGCTTGTTAGTTTCTCTCTTTCTAAAAATCGCTTCGATGGTTTATAGGTATTCTTCGAGCTACGACGACGCGCAACGGCGAATGTAGTTAATGTCGAATTCGAATTTGGAATGACGATACTAGTTAAAACAATGCCTCGTCCACAAGCGATAGATGTTGTCCAGTCAGGCATGGGAATAGGCAATGGAGCTTTAGTACGACGAAAATGTTCGCTGATTTCAGAACTATCGTCATTGAACGGTGGATCAGATGCAGCTAAACCAGAATCATGTGAACGACTAACAAGTGGTAGATGTGGAGATGATTCGACTTCATCGAGACTTTCCATTGATGATGCATTTGGACGAGCTAAACAAGAGATACTCTACTGGAAAAGTCTCATTCGTTTGTCTTTTCTTACTTCGATTTTGAATTTCATGAATAACAATGCGTTTATCTGGAATGCAGGTGAGGATATCTGAACCGAATAATGTTGAACAATTTTGAATTAAAAACTCGACCACAGATGACATAACATCAGCCTCTTGTTTTCCCGATCGAATCGTTGTTGTCTCCGTTTTAAATAAACTATTCGATACGCACAAACCCAAATTAAACGGATTCATACCATTCGTATGAGCACGTTCAGCAATGTGATGAAGTGTACAAATGAAACCTTTCAATAATAAATGATTGGCTTCGGGTAGAGTCGAAATGATGCTTAAAAACCGATATGGAAACGTGAATGACAATGATTAGATCGATTTACCTTTTTCTCGCAAAAGAGATCTTCTCGGGTAATGTGGAAAGTCGAAGACATTTTTTAAAATTGTCGTATTGAATCGAAGTAAACAATGGTTCAGGTAACAAACGCAGAAAGTGCTGAAAGAAAAACGATACTGTTGACAGCTATACTCGAATAACCTACTTTAAAAACACCAGCAGCTAAGATTGGATGTAACTCATCGTCGTGTATCGAGACATTCCGTTCAATTTTATCGATACATTCTTTAACCGATCGCGTATTAGCTACTTTACGAAATATACCTATAGTGTCGGGCCCTTTGGAAAACAAAATTCCAAATAATTGCTAAAATGTGATCATTGATTAAAAAACGAAAGAATAAAAACGTGTTTTCGTACCATGATAATAGGCGGTAATTGATGATCGTATCTTAATATGAGTTCATCGAGTGGTTGACCGAAAAAGGAGTATCGATTGTTTGCTTGATTCGGTGAACTAAGATACGGAGTTGAAGAGGAGTGATATCCATCAGTCAGCGTTTGTTGAGTTTTGGCTTTTCTCTTGTGAAAAAAACGATATTTTCTCGAAGGATTATCTACAGAACTGGTTTATATACGAAATTTTCTGCAAAGGCTTATCTACCTGTCAGAATGTCGCGCTTACGCAACTCAAAATCATGATAATTCGTTGTTGAAACATTGTTCAAGCTCGATGTTGAACTGTGTTGATTCGTCGGATGTGTTAAAAATTCTTCTCCTTCAAACGATCGTTGGTTGGGCAATCCATGGTTCGTTGTTTTGATATGTTTCATTTTAATTGCGTACGGATGTTCATGGCCTACGAAAAGACACAGATTTCTCAGAAACATCCTGCGCTTGTTTCTTCAAGTGTGATTGAAAAGTTACAAAACTAAACTCTGCTCTCTTTTGTCTAATGAGGAGATTAAACTTCCAATGACATTGATTCGTCTTTCAAAATGATTAACATAGTCGTGTGACAATGATTGATACATTCTCTCTTTCACTAAATCTCCGAGAAATGTCAAACGTAGGTGTTCTCCTTGCCCTAATATTGACTGAAGGGCACATTTTCATCTGATTTATGTCTAAGAATGCTTTCATATCTGTACCTGCCGCTTGATTTTGATCATATAAATAATCAAGACTTTTCGAACGTATAACAACATTACGAAAGAAAGCGAAAAATGCCGGATGGTATCGATCAGTCTTCCGTGAACGTTCGTTGGCCATGGCCGTGCTCAATATTTTCTTTCTTTCTTTGCTGTTAAGAAAGAAAAATACAAGCTGTACTACTTATGTTGCTCTGTGTACAAATGAATGGCAGACTCCTGGTTACGCTGTGAGAACTTAAGTAGTCTTGTGATTCGACAAGAAAGAGAAAAAGAGAAACGAAAATGTGACAAACAAGAGTTTGCATACGAATACATTCGTCAGATGAGGTTTCTCTTTTTCACTCTCGTTTTCGTTTTTCTTTTCTTTCATGTAATGTCTTTACTAACCAATTAATGGGATATTTGTTATTTGAGAAGATGAATAGACATTCAGATTTGTTGTTGGAAGTGTTCCATTAGATTGATCGTGGGTGACAAATAGGACATAATTGTCGACCAATGGATCCTTTGTGTAAAGAAAAACAGGCAATTTATATTCATATATCTGCATAAACATACTCGAAGATGAAATGCATCGATACATTTTCTAATCAAATCATGAACTGTTTCTTCAGCTCGAATGCCGATTACTTTACGCTAGAAGAGGAAAAACAAAGCTAACACTTGTTTTCATTTCTACTCGTTTTTTTTTGCATTACAATTAAGAATGACGGCGTGGTGTTATTTTGATCTAATTCAGAATTTCGATCGATGACAATGCGAACGTGTTCGATATGGGAATTGTTCAACTGCCACCACGAACGAAGCGTACTAGAAGCAGAAAACTGCTCGTTGAAGCGAAATTTTTCTCGAGAAACAAGCTTTACGATTCAATGTGTTCTTTCCAAATATCTCGCATAGGTTTCGTTTCGAATTCAATAACAAAATTCTCCGCTATTGGCCATCCGATAATCAACGACCGAGTAGAATCATAATAATTTAATGAGGTGATTTCCGCGGCGGCCGAATCGTTTAAATGTGTGTATAACCAAACACGATTTAAGTCAACACGTTGTTTGATCTTATATAAAACATGTCGATGATTATATTTACCAATAATCAATTCGTTTTTAGTTGTTAAAATCATTAAACGTCGACATGTGGTGTAATCACGAAAGAGAGTTACATGTGCCCATAGATCGTACGAATCGAATATTCCCACTGATATTAAACAACGATAGATATCATTCGTGCTTTGCGCCGGATTATCGACGCTGGCACGTTTATTACCAAGAAAATATCGACTGATCGAACGAGATTTTCGAGTTGGCGGTTGTGAGACGACAACTTTCTTCGAAAGTTCATCACTTGGATGGTTCATGACGATCCGATTGAAAATGAAAACATCTAGAAAGACAAACTTTCCCTGAATGGATTAATTAAAGTTAAATTTATTCTTCTTCACGGTGACCATTGTCTCACGCTCTGAACCAACCATTAAAGATATGACTATAGGGGTCTCACTTTTACCTTTCCTTCTCATTAGAAAAACATGAACTCGCCGACGACAATGAGCGTGATAGATGTCGATTCTCCTCTCAAACTATTCATTAATGTAATTACTCGTATCTCGTATAACTACGAGCTATTTATACGTTCACAGCTGAAGTGTATAATTGCTTTGAATCGCGTTGTTGCGAAATAACCTACTGGAAAAGAATCGATCATAATAGTACTTGAAAATTATATATATTACAAACGCTTATTGTAACTTGTTTAGACAGTCTGAATGAAGAAATCACCGGAATAAGTACTTAGACATATCGAATACTCAAGGATGTGGAAATAAGCAGTGCGGGTGAAAATATAAAATATGTTCGTCGTTGTTGAAACTGTCATCCACAATTGATGAAAGATGAAATCGAAAATAAATCTTTGTCTGATTGTCAAATAGAACAGAAATATACCTTATATTTTGCTAACTGAAGGACATTTTTCAAGGTTCCAATTGACAAAAATGATCACACAAGACAAATCGTTTATGTAATTACCTTCATAACGATTGTATCTATTGTTTCTTTCTCGAAAGAAGACAATTCTGCATGTGATTTCATGCGAAAGCAAGTCTACTGTACAGTGACAACGATCAAGTCCGCGAAGAAGGACAAATAGATTTATTCTTCTTAGCGTACGATAAACTCGTTTGAACAAAAAAAAAGAAGAAAAAGAAAATGTGAAACGAAAGTCATCGTCAATTATGTCAACATATATTTAAATAAAAGAAGAAGAGAAAAGAGATGGCAGAGTGCGGTTCTTTGTCGATCAATGAATAAAAAATCGATCGATCATCCCATGTGTGTGCGTATACGTATGAAACAACCTGAGGCAATCTTTGAAGTTCTCTCATTATTTTTTTTCTTCTTCTCGCGCTCACTTTTCTATGTCATCAGGCGATGAGCAAAACTGATTCGTGACAATTAAAATCACATGTTTGTATCTATCAAATGTACGATGAGAATATACAATTAAACAAACGATACAATCGAACAATCGTTCATTGAGTGACTTTGGAAAGATTTCGCTCGTATTTGTTGAGCGTAATTTGAGTGTACATTAAATAGATATGAAAATTCTCATCAATTATATAATTCATAAACAAATTCGATATCACTTGAATGAATAAGACGAACTATGAACCGAACAGACAAGGCCGCGCGATTCGATGGAACAACATTCGGCATCAGAAGCAATGTCCTATTCGAATTGCATCTTTTTATTAATTTCCTTTCTATTTGTTTGGCTTTGTGTTCTTTTTTTTTTTGTTCTGAATAGAAATCAAATAATACAATTTGTACACAACAGGAAAAAGAAAGGAAAAGTAAGAAAGTGAAAAACATTGAAGTATTGTCAATTGTTAAAGATTATGTGTTTTTTTTCTGGCCGTTTTTAAACAATAAGTTCCTTCGTGTAGATTTCGAAGATCATTTGCAAACGAAATTGTGGCATTTGGGCTTGAGTAAAGTCTAATGGCCATTCTCTGGCGAGATATTTTCCGAACTGACAAGCGAACACGCCACAGTCGCTACCGTTTGCTTGTTCAGGTATCATATTCATTGGTTGAACACGCCAACCATCGGGCATAGGACTAATCTGTCGTTTTGTTGCGTACATATGTTCAACAAAGGCATAAACACGACCGACACACATGTCATCTGTTCCACCTAATGAATCATAATATCCAATACAACGAGAACGAAAATCGATCGTCTGAAAAAAAAGAGCAAAGAACGAGCGAGGATTTCTTTGCTTGTTGTGTCAATGAAAATTTTTCACTCACAGTTAGCGTCCAATGGTTTCCTTGATGAATAGGGATAAGAATAAGATCATAATCAAAGAAGGTGACATTTCCACGTCGCATCCATCGATCCCAACTAGTATGTGTTGGGCCATCTTTCGATAGTTTCGAGTAGAAAAATGTGCTGAATGCATATACACGTAAATTGCCTTGTGTACCGCTTTCACGGGCGACTAGTGCCAAATAAAAGTTCACAACCTATTTCGAAAAACATTGAATTCACATTTATAGTGACACAAACCAAGACTAAGCGCACTTCATCGTTGAGCCAAGTAAGACCGCGAAGTGTACGAATGTCTTTACGAGTTATAGGCTGATCACCAATCGTTCCGAAAAGCTCATTTTCGTCACCACTTAAGATAGATTGAACGAGATGAAGTTGATCATCAGCCAAAGCTACAACAAACGTCAATAAAAACATTTGAGGAGGCCAGAAATTTACTATATGTTCGACGCGTACGCCAAGCTGATTTAGTCGAAGCGGTCGAAGGGACTGTCGACGACGAAGTTATTTGGAGAGATGACAAACGGGATGTAATAGTCTTTGAGAAGAAAGACACGGTTATACGTTAATATATAGAATTAGTTTAGACTTACTTCAGGTGTTGTGGACGAAGATGGAATAGGTCGTCTACGTTGAACGCCGAGATAGGGGAAATATTGAGTGAAGAATGGAAAACATACTTTTTAAGTAGTGCGCTGCGTACGGATGGGAAATGTTGAAGAAGATCATCAAGTCTATTAATAAAACAAGCAGAGATTGGAAAAGAACATGAGTCTAGAAATGACAACGTACGTCTGGAATTTGATTGGTTTGGCTTTGAGATATCCAACAATGGATACTACGATAGATAGATTTAGTTCGACTGGAATTTCCAGTAGTGAGAACGTTCCAAGCCTACCTTCAGATCCATCATCATTTCCACTTTCATTCGGACTGTAACTGTTATTTTGATTCATTAGACTATTCACCGGCTTACTAAATCACAAGAAAGGGGAGGAGATTGATAAGGGCTCCCTATTCGATGGAATGTCTTACTTTGATACTCTTTCTAGTATTTGATTCACCGCTATAATGTAAAATATAAATCACAGATACTCGTCAAAGAAGCGTTTCATACTATCAAATCGTTTCTGTTGTTTTTCCGTTATTTGCTCTTGTAATGATGAGGGTCGATATGGTCGATTGATCTACTCAACAAATGGCACAAAATAAGTTCTCCACGGCCAAACATGTCGTTGCTCGTCAATTTACTTTATGTTGAGATACTGATTTACTCGTCATAGTGTTCGATGTATCACGTACTTGTGGATGTGTCGTTGTTCGTCGACGAGCTGCTCTATGTTTCATATCTACAAATCAACGGGAAATGAAAATCATGATTTTCTATGTAAAAAATAACATAGTAAAATCCTTCGTTTTCCTTTTTTTCATAATGAAGTTGGAAATATTTCGCTGCATAGCACAACAAGGAACAAACACATGAGAAACGAAACAAGTTATCGTCGTTTGCGTCCAAGATCTTGAGTAGTTTCATCAAATTTTGGGTCGGCAACATTGATCATTAAAGCTTGAGCATCAAGAAATGCACGATTCGTGCTTTGTGAAAGCTAAAAATAATCAAATCAGAATTGAAATCACTAGTTTACCTATCGAACATACCGTTTTAGCAATATTTTGTGCTGCACGAATCTTTCGTAGTTTTAAATAACCAGGATTTTTACTAATTGCATTGCCAATCTAACAGGGAGAAGAAAATGTTCGATGTATGTCATGTGTTACGTAGGAAGAACATTTACAAGTTTAGCTGACTCAGCATCACCTTCCGCGAGAACAATCTTTTGTTGACGTTCTTGTTTTGCTTGTTCGACTGTGAATACTGCTCGTTGTGCCTCTTGTTGAGCGACTTGTTTCGCTTCAACTGCCGCTGAATATTGTGAGCCGAAGCTCAATTCAGTAATCGAGACGTCATCGAGTAAAATATCGAAATCTTTCGCACGCTCGATGAGATCTATTCGAATCAAATTCGACACTTGTTGTCGTTGAGTGATCAGCTGTGATGCATTAAATTTAGCGACAACACCTTTCAAGACTTCGTTACAAATTGACGGCAACACTCGTTCATCCCAATCAACACCTAACGATTGATATAGTTTAGGTAATCTCGTTTGATCAGGTCGAGCCAGAACTCGAAGTGCTGAAAGGAACATTCGTAGACCGTCATATGAAATTCTTCGGAAGAGAAAATCAACGAACCGATAGTGACCATTTGTAGATCTAAATAAAAGAAAGGTTTGCAATGAGAAGTTCAACAATGGAAAGTAGAAACCTTTGCTGCCCGTTGGCGATTTGATCATACTTGGTCGGGCACGAATATCGTAGAGAATTGGATATTGAAACCATGGAATTCTATAGGGAAAAAAAGAACAATCATTCTCGAATGTACTGACTTCGTATTCAGAGTCAATGTAAAAAAAGCATGAATATATTTTTGACAAAATCAAGAAGCATATAACTGTTTTCATAACCTTCACGTTTTTCGTCTCTCTGCTCTAATTGACAATCTTTATTTACGGCCTGCCTCGCTAATGAAAGTATCAATCATATCTTGATCATTTCGCTTACCTGAAATGTAACCCTTCTGAATAGATGGTATTTTGATCGATACCACCAATACGATTGAAAATAATCGCACGATGACCACCTTCCACTAGACGAGCAAACGAAAAGACTTTTATGGAATACATTCATCGTTTCATTTGAGCAATTACCAGTAAACATCGATCGATAGATCCCATATGCAACTGCTGATGCACCAACGAGGACCTTCACACCTAAGCCTAAGCCTTTCGGTGTGCCTTGAGACAATCGACTCGCAAAACTATTTAATTTTTCTGCCATCTTTTCTTTTCTTTCAATCTAAAATCAAATACATTCTCACATTAGGAACTAAACATGACATTTATCATCTATGTGCAATTCTGTTTTCTTTATCAGACAATCATAACATTTTGAAATTTATGAGAGAGTTTATCAAGTATTGTACGTTGTTTTTCGATCTGTTGATCGATATTTGTTTGTAAAGTATTCAGACACGTCGTTTCACGATCGAAATCGATTGGTTTTATGAAGCGATTTGCATCTTGAGAATCGGCTTTGTTCGTATAGACTAGACGATGTGGTTGATGAAGAAAAAGTGTTTGAGATGATTGTGTCGACGATTTCGGGAGTATCGACGGATTACTTGCGAGCAATTGATTGAACAGCGAAGAAACCTGAGTATCAATGGAAGTCAAAATCGATGAAACATCCTCTTTAATCGACGTGTTATCGTTCTACATAAGAGAAAAGTAATGATTGACAAATGCTTGACACATATTAGATGATTTACATTTGATAAGCATAGTTGCTGAAGCCGGACGAGAGCGCTGTCGAGTGTGTCGATAGCTGCATTAAACTTCTGACGTTCTACTTCTAAACGTTGACAATCAACTTGTCGTAGAGGCTCGTATTCGTCTTCATTTTCATCTTGATCATCGTCACTCTCGTCTTCCACGGTCGATGGTTGGTCAAGTACACTTTCCTAAAACATACGCGCATGAATTTGTAGATCTTCATTGGCGTTTTACCATCCATTTCCAAAAGACATTTTCATGTTCGTTCCAAAAGAGAAAGTAGTTCAACTTGTGGTGCTCGTTTTCCAGTTCGATCATGTACTAAACAAGAACAGATACGAATAGAAATTCGATTCGGCTAACTTACATGAGACAACAAATGAGGATGTTGACAAAGATGCGCTTCGAGCGAAGACATATTGTGGCATTGATGAATCTAATGAAAATCTTAGTGATAATTTCAATGTTATAAAAGAAAAGCTATTTACCTGATGCTGCAAACTTGTATTTTCAAGTAACAGTCCGTGAAGTCGTCGTAAGCCAAAACGCAATTTCGAATTAAAATGCATGGCTTGTTTTACTTGATCAATAAGACCTTTCTTTTCAAACGAATTGTTCGCTCGTTGGCTGTCATCATCCATCTACGAACACAAAACCGATATAGTAGCACAAATAAATCGCTAAAAAAGTGTTTACCGGATGAAGAGAACTGGTATCATCATAATCAAAGATCGAATCATTGTTTAAACATGATTCCATACATGTTTCAATCAATCTCACATGATAGATTAGCCAACCAAGACAAATAAGTAATTGTCGACTGCCCTTTTGCATCGTACTATCAAGCGAGAGGAAATGTTCGTAAGTATAACCACGTGTGAATAAATCATTTTTCATTAGAAAGACTAATTCATCTAAACACAAGTGTGAATTCAGTTGAAACGATTGCACAAGTGAAAAGCACCTTTTTGTGTTTGATTAAATTTATCAATATTGTGTTGCTGATTCGCTTTGGTGGGATCGAAATGCAAGATTTCAAATATCAGACGCCATAATGGAATAGTCTAAATAACATTCGATACTGTCCGAAGAGAGCGACGCGTGAATTGGAAATTCTTACAGCTTCGTTACGATTAAACTTGGCCAAGCGAAAGATTTCAGGTGTGATTGGTGTAAATCCATAGAAAGATAAAATTTTACAAAAACATTCAATAATCGGACGGATTTGTTGTGGAGGATTGGATGTCATTCTAGAGTAAGATGTACATAATTAGTTTTCTGGCGAACATAATCAAAAATAAAAGAAACAGAAAAAGACAAGACGATCTTTCAAAAATGTTTGTCGTTTATTAATATATTTATATATTTATATATGTGTATATTTGGTAGGTAAAGAGGACGAATAAGAAGAGCAGAAAAGGAAGAGAAAGAAGACAAATGTATAGAATTTGTGTTTTCGTGCTTTTTTGTACATATATATCTCGTTCTATTATTCACGTAGAAAGAAGAGAAGAAATGAAGAAACAAATAAACAAACATGGAATAATTCATCCGCCTACCTAATCTAGGTAGTATAGAAAAGAGAAGATTGAAATATACAGCGAAAGGAAAATGTCGTTTTGGATTCATTGATTGAGTTGAAGAAGTGTGCTCTTTTTCCTATCTTGGATTAGTCGATGTTGCGATTGGGTTAGTGCTCGTGTTACTATTGGCAGTAGTAGTCCATTGTTGTTGATGTCGAGTGAGAACGAGATTCATCGAAGGACTGTTCGTAGTTGATATTAGATCAGCTGAAGAAGAATTCGAGGAATGATTTGTGTTGTTTGATGGAGATAAAGGCGTAGATAAAATTTGACGACCGCGACGAGATGAGACACGTGAAGGAGAAGGAGTTTCTGCTTTGGGAGACGAAAGTGCTGGTTGTTGCCGTGGAGATGTGCGACTATGTTAAAATGAAATGTAGTGAAAGTTATTCGAATGAACAAAAGGCGTACTTTGCATTGGAAGGTCTGCCACGTTTGCCTTTAATAACTGGTGAAGTTGATGACGGAGGTGGTGCGGGCAGATCACACGCTGAACACTGCCATGATCCATCTGGAATAGCTTCGAGACCAACACAATACGAATGGTAGCCACGATCACATCGATCACAGAACATCATATTAGCCTGCAAAAGAAAATCAAACTGATATCTAGTTCTTTCTCAGAAAAGAACGTCGTACCTCATCGTGAGTTTTGTTGCATTTTGCACAGCTTTTACAATCAATACATTGCCATGGATATGTTTTGATAATAGTTAGCATTTCGCTATTCACATCAAGACAAACTGGATGATATCGATGTTGACAACTCGTACAAGTCATTAATTCCTCATCATTTTCATTATTAACTATTTTACACATATGACAAATATTTGCATGACTGTTCAGTGAAATCGATGTTGATTGTTTCGTATTACGAACTGATGCTAAATTGTTACTATTACCCCCGATTCCATTGACTAATGAGGGCGATTGTGGGGTCGAAGGATTGAAAACTAACGGACGTGCACTTGAAGTACTCTCATCTTCTTCATCGCTTGACGCACCCTAAAGAAACAGTCATTCATCAAGATATGTAGAAAACATTTTCGAATGCAAATCGCTGATATTAGACGACTTCGATCTTTCGTAATCGAATGTGTGTTTACACTGATCAGTCAAGTATCCTCTTTGAGAGAGAGAAAGAGAAAGCTATGAAAAAGAAAAGGGATTGTCTCTTCCTCTCCAGCAAATTTTTTGACTGAATGAGATTGTTAACTACGTAACAATGTTTACTCTCGAGAATGTTTACCTGCCGAGAAAAACGGTCGGGACGGATGAGTGAAACTGGTTTTGGATAATAATACAGAGCTGTATTAACAGGCATATATTTCAATTCTTCTGAGCCATATTTTATATACGAATCTTGATATTGTCCTGGTACTAGAGCTAGGGGGTAAGAACCGATTTTAGTTAAGTGAGGTGGTAGACGAAATTGTCGATTAGCTGGATAATGTACTTGCTAAAAAGAAGAACTCGATCAACATTGAAAAAAAAATGAACAGAAACAGACCATAGTTTGCAGGTCAAAACATGCTTTCCTGTCTTCACGTCGTTCTCGTTGTAATTGTGTATTATAATCAACTGCTGATCGCAATAAGTCCTGTCGAATTGTATTAGAGTGTTTCTAACAAAAGCAACATATATTCCACCATTCAAAGTCAATTACAAAACTTACAGTAGTGCGAGCTTTATCTCCATTATCTAACGAATTTGTGGTTGGGGTTACTAGTGGTGGAGTATTCGCTGCTGCTGCTGCTGATAATTGATTACAAATAGATGCAGATAAAAGCGTTGGAGTGGTAGTACTATTATGATTAGGGTTTGTATGATTTGCTGCTGCTGCTGCTGCGAGTGCACGACGTTTCTGTTGCCAAACATCACTGAATTGCTAAAATTCATCAAGAGGATAAGGCAAGGTTAATGTTTTCGTTTAAATGAAAGAGTCTTACGTGATATTTATCTGGATAATCTGTTGACATTAAATTCAGTACTTCATCAAGTTTCAATGCGGTCAAACCTAAATCACACTGTGTTTCTGTCACAACATTTTGTGATTTCAAATATTCTCTTTCGTGTAAATCAACGATTCTTCGATAAATATCTAAATATGAATGATGCGATGAAAATCATAAGGCAAACGATGAAACGAACCAGGATATTTTCTTTTAAAAGATTTCAATGATAAGAAATCGCATATTTGTTCTTGTAAGACATGAAAATCTGCATGTGCTTCATCGATTGGCCATTGGTAAATGTGAATTTTATCTGCAGACACGTGTAATCTGTACGAAATGATCAATTTCTCATGGAGATTTCGTTCGATAATTGAACATTCTTACCCTAAACTTTGATCAATATCCGTCGTATTTCGTTTTCTCCGACTTTTCTTTGTTGGTGTATCTGGCGGTGCTGTCAAGTCATTTGTTTCATTGTTATCATCTCGTGTTAGACTTGGCGATCGAGTTCGTTTCAAAGATTTACTTGTTGGAGTCGACTCGGTATGATTATGATTGACATGATTCAATGGATGAGGTACAAGGACAACATCCGAAGATGTTGACGAAGATGATTGAACTGAACTACTCATCAGTCAATCTAGAAGCAACAATGAAACATTGAAATTTCAATTCTTTTTTTCTCTTTTTAACATGCCCTTCAATGAAATGAAACGAAGACTATAGTTGCATCGCCATTTGTATATTGTCTACACCTCGGTTGGTTGTAAATCAGTGAAGAAAACAAAACTTGCATCGTTTCTTTCGAATTCAACTTTTTATCTTGACTGGAGAAAAAAATGTTTTCGAGAAAACATTTCTTCGTAGTAGCAAAGACAGAATAGAGGGCGCTGGATGTTGTGTCCGGGTGGATTGGAAGTTTATCAAGTGTAAAACGACGATAGGAGACTGAACACAATCAAATTGTTCGATATTTTGAAAACACATCTAAATCGATCCACCTTTTCATTATTATCGCGTCTAAGAAACACTCTGTTTTCATAAACCACATCTGTTGTAAGATATAATTGGATAAGAAAAAGTGCACTTAAATGTCGTTTTTTCTGTCGCGTTGATTGATAAGTAGATCAGACCGTAGTTCGTGATCTTACTATTTATATTCTACATCCTCCGATTAAAATTTCTAGATGGACACGACGAATTTCAATACAGATTCATTTCGCGATATAACCTTTGATCTTCTGTCTGGCATTGCGAATGATCCATTGAAATTAGATGAGTTCGCGCACGCTTATTTGACTAAACTTCACGAACGTACGGATGGAGACAATCTCCGTAAATATACACGTGATATCTATGAGAAAATTCTTGGTAAAACTTCGAATGAGTTTCTTCCATCAAAGACAATTTTCTTTTCGATATAGCTTTACAAATGATACAAAGCAATCCAGGATTTCAATTGAAGGATACATTCCACGAGAAGATCGTTATTGCTTATTTTTGGACATTTTCCAATATTCATTCATCGCATATGATGCCAAAACTCATTGGAATCGATAAACGTTACTCTACTGCTGGTGTAAGTATACGCGAAAATAAGTTATATTTGGACTGAAATTGACTTTTCAAGGTTACTATCATTGGTATTCACTCTCCTAAATATGAACATGAGAAAAGCAAAGCAAATGTTCGACATGCCATGGAGGAACAATCGCTTCCATTCAATGTCGTCAACGATAGTTCATTAAGTGTATGGAAACATGTTGGTTGTCAGATTTGGCCAACTGTTCTGGTGTTCGGGCCTGATGCGATACCCATATTTATATTCGAAGGTGAAAATCATGTTCAACATACTGAAACGTTTCTTGCGTTTGCTCTTGCCTATTACAAATCAGGTGTACGAGCATCACCAAATATTTCAGCAGCAATAAAAATGTCACCCGACGATCCAGCGGCAAATGGTGCAACTGCGAAACCAGCGAAATTTACATATCCAAGTCATTTATGTATCACTTCAAGTGGACAAATGTGTATTTCGTATGCGGGCTCGAATCAATTGATTCTTTGTGAAATTGATGGAAAAGTTCTTGTATGTGCTAGATTTCCGATTTCAATGCAATGAAAATCATCTTTTCTATCGAACAGGAAGTGGTTGGAAATGGTCATCCAGGTATGGCGGATGGGGATATTAACCAAGTTGAATTTGATTCGCCACGTGGAATGGCCGAGTACAATAGTTGTATCTATATAGCGGATACAAACAATCATGCGATTCGTGTGGTAAAACATTCCAAGAGAATGCGTTCATCTTTTCATAATTCACTTCTAGTTTGATCCTAACTCTCGACGAGTTTTGACATTGATTGGCACAGGCCGTCTAGGTACTGACAAAGTCGGTGGATTGAAACGATCCCAACAACCTATTGCTTCCCCTTGGGATTTATGTATAACAGAATCACCATGTAAGATTCGGTTTATAGATGAAATACGATCAGCCATATCGACTTGTCTACTTTAGTTGATCATAAGACAGTCTTACTTATATCGATGGCTGGTCAGCATCAAATTTGGGCATATGCGTTCGAAGAAACTCAGTGGTGGAATAATTTGTATGTAATTATTTCAATTCGTTTCGTTAGGAAAGAAAAGTTTGCTTTTGTTTACAGAACTTTACAAAAAAATGCTTGCTTAGCAATTATTGGAAGTGGCGAGGAGGGCAATCGAAATGATCCTGAGCCTATGTCTGCTACTCTGGCAGCACCTCGCGGCATTTGTAATGGTATCATGAATGGACAACCAGTTCTGTTCATTGCTGATAGTAATAGTTCAAGCATTCGCGTTGTTACACTTCAAAATGGAAATGTTTCGAATTTAATTGGCGGTGATGCTGATCCAGCAGTATGTCTTTTATCATTGCGTTTCTCGTTGAAATGATTTATTTTGAATGAATAGAATCTCTCAGCTTTCGGTGATCTTGACGGCAGTGGTTTCAATGCGAAATTTCAATATCCACTCGGTGTTGCTTTTCATTACCCATCGTCTCAATTGTATATTACGGATACTTATAATAACAAACTCAAACGTGTAGATATGACGACATTAATATGTTCAAGTTATTTTGTAACAGACATCGATACGAAGAAACAACGTGGAGAATCGAATTCTGCCAAATTTAACGAACCACAAGGCATAACGATCTTCGATCATTTCATGTTCATTGCAGATAAGAACAATTCTCACGTGAAACGAATCGATCTCGACAAAGGAACGATCGTTCGAGTAAGATCTGACTGACACAAAGAAACGAATTGATTTCATATCGGCAAATTTCTTTCAGTGTCGATTCAACTTAAGTGAAACTTTGAATGAAGAGCGTACATTTGGTTCGAAACAAGCCTATCTGACCATTGCCTTGCCTGATGCACTACAACTACGTGAGACTAACACAGGAACATGGACTATCGAAGATGAAGGTAAACGAATTCGAAAAGAGCAGATAAAACCTATTGAAACTTGCTTTTGTAGATGGATTCAAAATATGTGACGGTGAGTTAGCAAGTAGCATGTCGGACCAAATGTTATTGGATTATATTCCACGTGAGAAACAAGCTGCTCGATTGAAATATGAAGTAGTCGTGTGCGAAGGTGAGAAGTGTACGATGATGAGCGGTGAAGTTCAACCGGTTAATCAAACTGACTCAATAATTGAGTTCAACATAAAAATCGAGCAAGAAGAAGCTAATACAAGTTAATTAACTAGTTCATTATTTTCCTTTCCTTTCTAATCTCGCTATTTGAACACTTCAAGTGTACGAAATATCACGAAAACGTATGTGCATGTGCGTGTGTCTATTTATACACCTATTCTGGTATTATTAGTTTGAAATTTTTGTTTTTCAATTACTACAAATACATTTCTGGAAGCAGACTGTTTTTTTTTATAAATAAATACTTATGTAGAGAAAAAAAATATTATAAACGATTCTTAATCCCCATCGGTCTTCTAGTTCTGCTCTAGAGAATAAGAAGATGATTGCACTTTTATTTATACTTTGTTTGTCTAGTTACGTGTTCAAAGAGCCACACTGGGAAGTTCATGGTTGATTTTTCTGATGCTCTGTCATACTGTTGTGTCATTATCTGATTCTAAAACGCGCAGAGTTTAAAATTGAAGGTCGATTTCGAAAAAACGTACTTGATAATAAGTTGTCCGGCAAAATACTATTATCACGATTTCTCACTGCCCATGATTGTAATTCACTTGAACCAAACCATAAAAATATGCTCACACCAATGGTATAAATACCAGCACATATAAAAAACACAATTCGCCAATTGTTTGGATCCTTATTTAGCCAAGTGAACTTTATTGATTGGTCAAAAAACGAAACTTACTTTCTCTGTCAGAGTACCAACAATATACGGACTGACAATACCTGGAATCGTTGCGAACGTATTCGAAATACCGAAAACAATGCCTGCATATGCAGGAGCAATATCATTAGCAACAAGAATATACCCTCCGCCAAAACAACACCCACTGTATTTATTCATGAGTATTTTCTGGATATGAGAACTCAAAACAAATTTACCTGAGTGCCACACCGATAGTAAGTAGGAGAACTGCAACATACTTTAATCGGCAGGTCATGAATGCTAAACTGAGAACTAAGAGTGCAGGTATAAAATTTCCTAGAACAGTAAATAGTTTTCTTGTCTGAGTGACCGTTAATATCTTTCGACGAATAATCAAGTCAGCCAATACACCAGATAGATTAATCACCAGCCATTGACTCCCGTAAGGCAGGGCGGAAAGTATGCCATTCTAGATGCGACTATTTCATTTAAATTAATTTACAGTAGAGATTGTCTTACTGATTTTATATCGAATCCGAGAACTTCATCCATATATTTAGGAATCGACGTCAGAAATGTATACGTTCCCCAATTGCTACACGTGTGAATAACAAATAGTGCCCAACATGCTGATGAAGTTAAAAGTGCATGCCAAGGCGTATGAGAGTTATCATCTTTTGATCTGATATTCTTTCGAGTGTGTTCTAGAATGAAATTCTTCTCTATTTCATTGATGTAGCGATGTTCGCGAGGTGAATCGTGATAAACTATCAGCCAAAGGATAGCCCATAGAAAACCGGCTGTGCCTGTTCAAGATTCATTCATTAGAAATGTATATATTCGAGCAAAGAATGTAATTCTCAAACTAACCAACAGAATAGAAAATCAGCGGCCAACCCCCAGCAAAGTTCCACGAACACATCAGACCACCGGTGGATAGAACTAAAAAATTTCCTATTTGTGCACCTACAATTTCCAAATAAAACTGCAAATCGATTTCTCACATCCATCAATCAAATCATACCTGCATTCATAAAACCCATCAATTTTCCTCGTTCATTAGCCGGCGCCCAATGAGCCATAGTGACAACCATACACGGCCATATCGTTCCGTGTGCAAGTCCAACAAAGATCTGAAAAACGCTAAATAGAAACCAATGTGTTCCAGCAGCTGCCGGCATGAACACGGTGATTAAACTCGAAGTAAATATGGCACCACTGAACAAAATCCTGGCGCCGTATCGGCCGGCGATATACCCAGCCGGAATTTGAGTTAAAATATAACCGCCAAAATAAGCGCTCAACAGAATACCTTGCGTATTTTTACTCCAATTATATGAGCCATGCTAGAAAAAAAACAAAGATTTGAGAAAGAAAAATGCTTCTAAGCTTTCAATTTACAATAGATATTGTTTTGTTGCTTGCCAGACACTGTTGATTTAGTTTTGTCGACGATGTCTTCATTCCATGTTGCTCTATTGCCGAATGGTTAACCATACAAACTAGCGCAATACTAATGTTGGTTTTCTGTGAAAAATGCACCATCATGCCTAGGAATCCAACGAATGTAATAATCACACGTACAGAACACCAAAACGGCACTGAAACAGCAAGCACACCATTCGTTTCCATCGAACTCAATTCAATTATTTACCAGACAATTTCAATTTTTCTTCAGCTCGCGTATTCATTTCTTACTGACAAGAAGATGCTTGTTTTGCCATCAAATATCCATGATCTACTTTGATTACTTTTGTATGTACAAGGATCTTAATGAATTCATTAATCAAGCGTTGATCGTCGTAAATAGAACCAAAACGAACCTTGTTTTATTGTTTTAGCATTGTTTGCGTTGTGATAGTTTTCGAAAGAGAAGGTAATGCACTTTTTCTTACCAACAACGCATACTATATTAATCTAGACTTCTTTTCTCTTTTTTTCCCCATACTTATATTTTTCTCTCGCTTCTTCCTCTTCTTTTAATGATAGCATATGCAAGCAATGTAGGATAGAATATCAAAATATAGACACGAGATTTCTCAGGAACATTCTAATTGCTTCAATATTATCAGATAATGGAAAATGATATAAGTTTAGTTATATGTTCTCTTCGAAATGAAAAGAGCCTCTGTCAATATTAGCGTTTTATTCGTTCATTCGTGACATTTCGCTGGAAACTAGCTTATAGCGATTTCACGTCTTGTCAGCTGAAAAAGATTTAATTAAATTCGTCTGAAGAGACATACTGGAAAGCGTTTGTTCTGGATTTAATGTTCAATTGAATTTCTTACGGTTCATCATCTTACTTCACAATAATACGCACAAAACATTTTTTCAATAGATAACATCCGTTAGGAATCTTCTCAATGGGACAAAAAATGCTTTTCTTTGCACTAGAATAGACATTCATTGTTCTACTCATTATTTTTGCTCCGTTTACACTCAGTAACAGGTTTTACACATCGCTCGAAGCAATTTTCAGTTTCAAGTATTCACCTCTCTTTTTCCTTTTTTATTCATCAGAAAACACACGAGGTTCTCGTTGTCATAAATGAGAATAATCATATGATATCGAAAGATTTTCTTTACACAATCATTCATCACACTAAATCAAAAGAGCTGATTGCCAAAAACATCTTTTGATTCGAATCGTGCGCATTTGTATATTATCTTCTCAGAGCAAAAATACATATCCTGTCGATGAATATTGTTTTCTCGTTCTGAAAAATAACGGCAATATGCTGTTCGATCCACATGCTATATCTTTGATTGATTCTGTTATTCATCCATTCCCGAGCTAATCATGACGTACGTCTACCGACATAACTTATCACATAGCCACGAAGGATATTATACCTACTGTAAAATAATAAAGCATCATATTCTTGAAAAGGTCAACAATTCAGGTGAACTTATATAAATGAAATAGTTCCTATGAGATACAAGTACAGTTGCTCGAAAGATTTGTTGCGTGATGCCACTTGGGCAAATTTTCATGATCAATCCGAAAATAATACATATTCAGCGAACAACTGAGCATCGTCGTCGCTCGATTATTCGAGCATTTGCTTTGAATACTTCTGCACATGGTATTCCGGGTATTGCTCGTAGTCAGAGTAAACATAATACCATCTTTTGGTCAATGTGTTTTACAGCATTCGCAGTCACTACACTTTACTTTGTTGTTGAAGAAATTCGCCACTATTTTGACTACTCCACTCAAACTACAGTCACAGTAATGAGCGAATGGCCACAGTATTTTCCAGCGTTTACCATTTGTAATCTTGTTCCTGTTCGTTATGATCGATTTATTCAACCGTACATTGCTTTCCTTACTTCATTGAACAAAACTAATGTGAGTGAGTCAACGACAATTTCGTCGACTGAAGCAAGATATATAGCCGACTTTTTCCAAACGAAAATTAATCGAAATGAATCACTCGATGAATTCTTCTTTCCGCTCGAGACGATGCTGATGAAATGTGTTTTCAACGGACGGGTTTGTTCAGCTGTAAATTTCACTTCGTTTTCTTCGTCAACCTATGGTCAATGTTACACATTCAATGCCAAACTAAAAAATCAGACAAATATTCGATTCAGCGATGAGAATGGTGGACCAGGTAATCTATATTTACGTTTCTACGTTCACAGTCACCAATATGTTCCATACATTCGCGAAGGTAAGCCGAATAATCCACAAGTGACGTTCGAAATCTTCGGCTATTTTATGAATAGGTATCGGCATGATCGGTGTGGTGCACGATAACGTCCAATTACCTATGATCGACTATTCCGGTATGGCATTGTCTACTGGCTATAAGCATCGAATGACGTATTCGAAAAAGACTATCTCATATTTGCGATCTCCGTATACAACATGTAATGATAAAATACCATTAATGATGCAAGCCATGTTTGACAATTATGAAGGTGTCGAATATGAATATTCAGAAGATGTTTGCTATGATTTATGTGTCGAAGTCTATATGTAAGTATTACGCTTAAAATAGTTTGAATTCGAGAAAAAAAGCTTCTTCTAGTTATCAAAAATGTGGATGTATTCATCCGAAACAATGGAATGCGCGATTAGTATTAATACCTGAAACGAATAAATTAATCATCGCTCCTCTATGTAATATATCTGATAAATGTTACTCGGAAGCTGCTCATGTTTTTTTAACATCTTCATCGTCATATGACAAATACTGTTCGTACTGTTCACAACAATGTTCGGTAACGAGTTTTATTGTCAAACAATCGATGTGGAAAGCTCCGCCAATATGGTTAATGAATGATATAAAACAATTCGTTGAAAAATCTGATATACCATTGCCGAAGGATTGGACAACACAATGGCAATCGCATATTGACAATAGTTATCTATCGATTGAGTTAATTCATGAATCAAGCGTCGTAGAAAACTATACACAGACAGCAACGGTGACTGCTGTGAATGTATTATCAAATGTCGGAGGGCAAACAGGTCTTTGGATTGGTGTTAGTTTTCTGTCTTTGATGGAAGTGGCAGAAATGGTATATCGATTGATTCGATATCAATGCCATGTGGGATTAAGAACTCGAAACAAAGTGATTGATAATTGTAGATTTTAGCGAAAGTTTCGTTTTTCGAAAAAAAAGATTGGAATAAAATTTTGGTGAATAGATTGTTGATAGTACCCTCTATAGGTAATGATTTGCTTGTAGCGCCCTCTTTTCCTATTGGTCAACTTAGAATTGACCTTTGTTATTATTTCGTTCGTTCATTCAGCAGTCGTGCTTATTTGTCAGCTCAGCTGTATTGAAATTAAATTAAGATACTTCGAAATGGAAAATACAAGTGCAACTGGTGAAAGAGCTTCATCGTCAATATCCGCGACCGATGAAAAAGATCTAGTTACATCAATACGCAAGCTTGAATTAATCAAAGAGTTAGGGTTTGTATGCTACCAATAATCGTTACACGTACCTAACTTTTTCCGTCCGAACTTTCTTAGAGAGAAACAAAACCAATTCCAACGTCTTCAAACAAACCTGCAACAAATAACTGAATTGGCTACACGTGAGAATCAAGCTTTACGTGAATTTCGTAAAGAATTGGATATGCTCGTACAAGAACGTTTATCTCACATTGAAGAATTACGATTAATCCATGCTGATATCAATATCGTACGTTCAGTTTTTCTTCGATAAAACTAAGCTTTCCCCCTCTTACCTGTAGATGGAAACAACGATTAAGCAAGCTGAAGAAGAACGAAGTAAAGCAATACAAGATAGCAAACGTTTGTTGAAAGATTATCAACCGATCAAAGAACAAGTGAACAAATTACGTGACATGCTCAATGTTGAGAGACTTTCTATCGATGATGATGAAGCAGTAGCGATGAATATGCAGTAAGTTTCGTTCTGTTCTCTGGACAAAGAAGAAGTGTGTTTTTACAGATTGATTTCTCAACAACCATCTGATCACGATCTCTCATCGACTCGAAATGATCCTTCGTTATCTACAAGTTTGGAAAATCTCCATGAGCGATTCTCATTGAATACGCCATTACATTCTCAACCTCAACAAATGGCGAATTCAGTAGGTCCAAATTTTCCAGCGCCGACTAATAACCAGCCACCAACATCGACGTTGTCTATTCCAAAAGTGATTGGATCGAATCTTGATCGCACCACTTTTCGACAACAACCGCCTCCAATGAAGGTCTGTAATCAAATAAATACACTCAATGTTTATCGTACTATGTTTTCATTGAACTTTTCAGACTTGTCAATCATGTCAACAGCAAATCCACCGTAATGCTCCGATCTGTCCTATTTGTAAAGCAAAAAGTCGTTCACGCAATCCTAAAAAACCTAAACGTCGTCAAGCCGACATTCATTCATAAACACATCTCATTCTTGTACAGATCTGTTTGTTTTTGTAAACTATTCATTTGTTTTTCGTCGAACAAAATGCAATAAAAAAAAATAATTGGTAGTTTTTTTCGTTGTTTTGTCTGTAAATTCAATTGTAGATTTGAATTTACAAGAAAACCAAACAGAAATATGGCTCGTCGATATGATACGCGCGCAACGATCTTTTCGCCCGAAGGTCGATTATATCAAGTGGAGTATGCTTTAGAAGCTATCTCACATGCCGGTGCATCATTGGGTATTCTTGCTGAAAACGGTGTCGTTTTAGCCGGTGAAAAACGCAACGTTAGCCCATTGCTTGACGACGTGAAATATTCCGAAAAAATCTATAAAATTCATGATGATCTTTGCTGTTCAGTTTCTGGTATAACCAGCGATGCAAATGTCTTAATCAATGAACTACGTATGATTGGTCAACGGTAAGTTTTCTCTTTACAAAAGAAAAATTTTAGTTGATTTTCACATTCAGATATCTATTGACATACCAAGAACCCGCTCCGATCGAATACATTGTCTCACATTTATGTAACATTAAACAAGCATATACGCAATTTGGCGGCAAACGTCCATTTGGTGTCTCATTTCTCTACATGGGCTGGGACAAACATTACGGTTATCAATTATATCAATCGGATCCAAGTGGGAACTATGGCGGATGGAAAGCGACCTGCGTTGGTCATAATTCGCAAACGGCGATATCGATTCTTAAGCAAGAGTATAAGATAGGCGAAACGCAACTGAACGATGCTTTACGATTAGCGATCAGAGTGTTTAGTAAAACGTTGGATACAACAAAGTTAACCCCTGAGAAGATTGAAATAGCTGTTTTACAACATGATGATAAGACCAATGAAACAACGATTCGTCTACTCAAAGATGACGAACTCACAACATTGATTAAGCAATATGAAGATGAACAAAGTAAATTGGAAGCCGATAGACAAAAACAACAGCAATCAACAACGGAGAAAGAGAAAAAATAAGATATTTGCAGAAGTGATATGGGAATCAAGGACAAAAGTATTTTTCAATTTTAGCCGTGATTTAGTTCGATTTTTTCTTCTTGTTGTGTTGTACTCGGTTTCTTTTATCTCAAATAAAAAAAAAACTTTCGAAGTTAGATGCACCGTCGATTTCTGATTGAGATCAAGAACCAATGACAAAACAATGTTTATTTTGTAGGAGACTGCCATCTTTTCCAACTTTACTGTTTTAAAAAATAAAAACAACAGAATTGGATAATATTGATTCCTTGATTGACAAAACAAGCAAATAGTATAAAAAGAATTCTGAAAGTTAGTGATAAGCTTACACATTGTTGAAGTATTTATAACGAAAGGTAATTACGTATAGTTTGCTCTCTATTGTGTGTGGAATGATTATTTTGATCGAATAGAAATGCTGAGTAAAAGTCGCTCGAAGTTTAGTATTATATCATTACCTCCAAACGATGATGATGATCTAAAGTCTCAACAGGCAGGCATTGTTAACAATCAAAATAACTTAGCACATAGTGATACTAATGATATTTTCGCTAAGTTGCAAGTCGAACATAGTTTACATTGGAAAATCAATAGTTTTATTGCGCAAAACATTAACGTTATTTGGTTGAATTCAATTGCCGAGTATTCACATTCAGGATTAGAAATTGATGATACAGTCGAAAGGCTTCGTGATATTGCCGGCTCATTCCATATATTTACAGATGTTGACGAATGCGTTGATTTTATGACTGATATCATCGATGAGGATATATTTCTAATCATCTCCAATCATCAGGTACAACAATTGCTTTCTCTGGTAGAAAACATTCCTCAACTTATAGCAATTTATATTTTCAATTATCATCAAACACAGAACGATCAACAAATAAACAGCCATAGCAAAGTGCACGGAGCATACACTGATTTCTCTGCCATGATCGATACATTGAGACAAGATGCATGTCGTCGACAAGTTGATTCAACTCCCTTTAGTATTGTACCGACCACATCCACTCCTAATCTCGACCAATTAGATCAAACATTCATGTACACCCAGTTACTTAAAGAAACCATTCTCGAACTCGAACATGATCACAATGCTCGGCAAGCCTTTACAGACTTCTGTCTTCAACATCTCCAAGAGTACAACCTACGAAAGCAGCCACTTGTTCAGTTTCAAAAGTTCTATGATCGACATTCGCCCATCTGGTGGTACACTAAAGAGGCGTTTGTCTACACTACACTGAACACCGCTTTGCGTACCCAGGATACCGAAATGTTGATTAAGATGGGCTTCTTTCTTCGTGATATGCATGAAGAAATCAAACAAAATTACCAAGAGACATCACATTTGACGATGATGATTGTTTATCGAGGACAAGGAATGAAAAGTGCTGATATCGATAAAATACGACATGGTAAGGGTGGTCTGCTTGCATTCAATTGCTTCCTATCCACAAGTAAAGATCGAGAAGTTTCATACACATATGCGGATAGTGCTCGTCAAAATATTGAGCAACATGGAATTTTATTTCGAATGCAAATTAATCCATCCGTGTCGTCTATACCCTATGTCTCTATAAGTGGGGTAAGCCAATTTGGACTAGAAGACGAAATCTTATTCTCGATGCACACTGTCTTTCGCATAAATGAAATAACTGAAATCGATGATCGTCTTTGGGAAGTAAATTTGACTTTGACGAATGACGATGATCCAGAGTTGAAACGCTTGACCGATTATTTGCGAAATGAAATAGGAGTAGTGAGTGGATGGTATCGAATGGGTACGTTGATGTGCAGAATGGGTAAATTCGACAAAGCAATCGAAATATTTACGATGTCACTGGATAAAAAACTGAATGATGACATGGACGTAAATAGAATTCTTCAGGCTTCTGTTAATTTGCAACTTATCGAAGCGCATCAATTAGCGGGGAATTATTCGAAATCGCTCTCATATCTTGAAGAAGAATTAGAAAAATACCGTAATCTGCTTCCACCTGATCATTTATTTGTTGCTATGATTCATTCCTCGATTGGTAGGATCTATTACTTTATGAATAAGTTCAAAGAAGCCTTGCTGTATTTTGAGAAAGTACTTCCAGCGTTTCAAAAGTATCTACCATTTACACATCAATCGCTGGCTGCCATCTACATCCATATCGGCGTAGTTCATCATAGTATAAGTGACATTGAACTGGCATTACCATACTATAAGAAAGCACTTGATCTACAAACAACATATTTGCCATTTAATCATCCAGATTTGGCTGCGTCCTATATCAATATTAGTATGGCGCATCGCTCTATAAGTAATTATAACGTGGCATTATCTTACGCCACGAAGGGAACTGAAATGTTGGAGAAATCAGTTCCATCAGATCATCCACATCTGGCCTTGGGCTACTTCAATATAGGATCCATTTATCAATCATCAGGTGATTATTCAGCAAGTCTCTTATACTTCGAAAAAGCGCTTGAAATTCAAAATAAATCTCTGCCTCAAACTCACCCAGATATATGTAGGACTCACATGTTTATTTCTGTGATGAAGCAGTTGGTTGGCAACATACCGCTTTCGATTTCACATCTCGAAAAAGCGTTCGAAGTGCAGTCACAGTTCATGTCGAATGAACAACCAGCATTACAGGCTACTTCCCATGATACTGCTAAGCTCAAAGAAAATAACGAATGTTTTAAGAGTGCCATCGGTCGTCTGAAGAATATTTTTGAAAATCCTCGGGAGTCATTGCCACCCGGCCAGGTAACATCAACTGAATACGATCAATTAAATACTGGTCCAACAAAGACGATAGACAACTTGCTGGCAGCATTCTCCGATATGGAACGCGGATTTCAGCTTGAGAAAGAGTTACCATTTCCAAGTTATTCGCCGCTTCTTAACTCAAATGTAGATCAAAATAGTCGTTATAAAATGATTGACTGTTTACAAAGTTTCTGCCTCAATATGAAAAATACATTTAAAAGTTATCAACGTTCGTCTACAACAAACGAGTCAGTATTATCCTACGACAATGAGAACGACAGTGAAGCAGAATCGTCTCGCGACAGTCTTCTTATTTCTACGTCATATTTTGCTGAATTTCTAGAACTTCTTTTAAAATCTGGCCCATCTAACGCTTCGTTGGTCGCCACTGATTACATTCATCTCGGAGTAGCGCTTGTTAACATGGAAGAATATGAAACCGCATTGATGTACCTGGACAGAGCACTAGAAGTTATACACAATTCATTTACCAATAGTCATCTACTATTAGCAAAAGCTTATGCTTGGAAAGCTAAAGCACTATTTGGTTTCGGACAATTTATAGAAGCATGTGAACATGCACAGCGTTTCGTTAATATTACACACTCTTTGTCAGATAAAGAGCAAAAAGAATTAATGGAACTGAAAAATGAATTGGACGCGTGGCAACAAATGTTATCACAGTGATGACAACAGATTTCTTCTACAACATAAGATATCTATTTCCAATTTATTTCTTCATCATCAACACTCTGTTCTGATTAACAGTTTCGCTGTTTGTTGTGTTTTCTTAACTAATTGTTTCAACTAGCTCTCCTGATGATTAATATATTTAGAATCGAGAAATACTATACACGACCATCGTTAAATTATTATCTGTTAAGACTTGATTAAACCACTTTCGATATGAATGAGACGAGGAGAGTATTTCAAACGTTCTAGTTTTGCTTTCTTAATAAATATCATTTATCCGAAAACAATCGATTTATCTAACAAACGAAAGGCTATAAAGTTCATTTAATGGTTTGACACAGGCTCATAACCATCAATAGCTAGCGTAAAATCTGCTTGTCCACTGGTTAATGTTCGTAATGTCGAACTATAACCGATTAGTTCTGCTAGCGGGGTTCGGCTTATTATTGTACTCATTGATTCTTGTAATCCGTTGCCAGTTCCTTGTTGTACATCAATGATCTGACTATGTCGTCTGGCTAAATCTTCTAGAACGGGTTGTGTACGATCAGCTGCACAGACCAGCTAGAATTGGTAAATACTAAAGCATGAAAATATAGCAGAGAAATAGCCACATACTTCAACGCGCATCATCGGTTGAAGAAGAATGCACTCGGCGTGACGAAGGCACACACGAATACAATCAGATGCAGCTGCCGAATATAATGCTGGTGATATCGATCCAGTTAACTGAATGTCATGTAGTTTAACTTGAACATTGATAACTTCAGCACCTTTGACACATCCTATAGAAAAACTTGATCTATAGTACGACATTTCGAAGGTAATGCTACCTGTTGATAATGCAAGACGAACTCCGTGATTGATTGCGTCTAAAACAAATGAAAGCTGTTGATATACAGATATCAATGGAGAAAATATGCTATCTACCGAGATGATCTTTTCTTAAATGTTCAAAAGTTTGTTCTTCCGTCCGAACTAGTTTCACTTCTGAAAACGATACGATCGTCTTATCTTCTACAACAATAGGATCTATCGACATGGTAATCGAAATAGTTGCATGTCGTTCGTTGATTGTTGAATTCCAAACAATCGTCTGTTGATTGGATTTTCGTGGTGTTTCACGATAATTCACATTCAATGGACCAAGATATGTTTCCAAGCCATATTCACGTTTTAGTCGATCACGAATGATATCGATATGTAATTCGCCCATACCCAAGAGTATGGTCTGACCTGTTTGCTCATCAACACGAACACGCAATGATGGATCTTCACGTTTAATATTTTTCAACGCGATATCGAGCTGTTTTTGACCACTTTCAGAATAAGTTTCAATGGTACAGAAGAAAACTGGCGTGGGTGCTTCTAAACCAGGATCAGGTAGAAAAGTATATTGTTGTTTTAGATCGTGTAAATGACTAGTAAGATTTGGTTTCTTATTGGCAACAAGTATGTCACCGCTTGACGCCTATACATGGACAGATAATGAAATAAGGAGTTAATTGTAGAGCAACATACTTCTTTAAATCCGCTGAGAACAGCAATTGATCCTGCTCGAATCTCATCGACATCTTCCATATTATCAGCAAACGGCAGAAACACTTTATTGATCTGCTCTTTGTCATTCGTTCGTGCATTCGTCAGTCCCATCCGTCGTTTTACTGAGCCAGCATAGATGCGCGCAAATGATAACGGCTGCTTTTGTCGATCATGAATGGTTTTGAATATGTACATTAACGTACCTACATTCGTTGCTGATGTTCCTGGAATGACTCTCGCAGTTGGAAGATAGTTCACAATAGCGTCGAGTAAAGTTTGGACACCGAGATTTTTCAAAGAACTACCGACGAGAACAGGTACGTAACGTTGATCGTTTACCATCAGACGACATATTGCTTCTGTTAATTGATTGGATGAAATTGGTTTATCATTAAATAGTAATAGTTCAGCTATTTTATCATCAATATCAGCGAGTTTTTCGATTAATTTTGCTCGATCTTTCGCAAGAAGGTCAGATAAAGAGGAGTTCGATGTTTTATCTGAAGAGATGACTGTTTCATTCAATAGATCAAGAAAACCAGTGAATTGTTTGCCATATCCAAGAGGTGTATGAAGAAGTAACGGTTCTATAGCAAATTTTTGTCTAATTGATTCAAGACACATCGATAGATTTGCTGTTGGTTTGTCCATTTTATTGATGTAGATTATCCGTGGAATATGATAGCGATTAGCTTGTCTCCAGACTGTCAATGACTGAGTTTCAACACCAGCAGATGCATCGAGTATGGTTACTGCTCCATCGAGAACTCGTAATGATCGTTCAACTTCAATGGTGAAGTCCACATGTCCTGTTTGGAAAGAAAACATATCATGTCTTTCCTTCTGTTTTCTTTCTATAACTTACCTTTACAGACAAAACATACCGGGTGTATCAATCAGATTGAGACGATGTTTATTCCATGGAATTGTAATCGCTGCAGACGTGATTGTGATACCGCGTTCACGTTCTTGTTCCATATAGTCCATAGTTGTATTTCCATCGTCGACGTTACCCATCGATCGAATGAATCCAGCATAATATAACATTCGCTCAACTGTTGTTGTTTTCCCTTTGATGAAAGAAGAGAAACGCAGAGATCGTTTCGTCTTGGAATCGAACTAGGCAATTCTTAGACTTACCTGCATCAATATGTGCAATGATTCCAACATTACGAATTCGTTGTGGGTCAGTGATTTGCATGGCATTTTGAAATACTTGTAAACGAGTTGTACTCGTATACCGACAAATAAAGCGTAATGGGAATATTGTTCGATATTGAAATAAGCCCATCGAAAAGAGAGGTTAAAATCTACAAGACAGATAGTCGATTATTTCTAAGTTTAATATACAGAATAAACTGTAGTAGTACGCAATACGAAAAGAGTGAAGTCTATTCAAAATTTTTGTTTTTGTAATTTCTGTCTCGAAGATGGCCGATCGATAAACCAGTTGATGTGTCTTTCGTAGAAATCAATCAATAAGTCTGGTATGAGTTCTTTTGCTTTGTCATTGGGTATAAAGTACAATTTGGATGGGCAACGTGTGCATTTTAATAAAAATTCCAGCTCATGTGTAGCAGTTCGCGATCGAGTTATCGAAATAATACGTTCAGGTCCAAGAGAAAGATAGTCGATTGGTTCGGTGTCCATATTGGTCGGTTGTGGTGGAATTTCATCGGTAATATTTTCAACAGACGCTGGTCGAAGCTTTTTCTTTCGTGTTAATGGAGTAGTGTTCGATCGCTTCGAACATTGATACTTGGAATCAAGTCCGGAACCACCATTTTCTTGTTCGTCTATAAAATACAAATGATGGTACATTCTACTAAAGTCGTCTTCGGTCCTACTTTGGAGACTATGATCTGATAAGAGATCGGTAATGAGATTTCGATCAAATGTTTTCAAGAAGTTATCATTAATCTCTTGCTCCTCACTATCTCCAGTCGCCGTTGGAGACGCAGGTGTTGCTGAAACAAAATATTTATCACGATGAGCGACACTATTATTTAAATTACCTATTTCCAATGAACTTTGAACTTCATCACAGATGCGCTCGAGTATTTGTTTACATTCGTCATTCTAAACAGAACTCCTTCAATTGAAATCATCTTTTTATGAAATCTTGTACAATTTTTCTTCGGTATTCGTATTGTTCAATTAAATCTTTACAGAACACATTCTCTTCTGGCTCCCATGTTGCATCAGCTTCGTCATAGCCAAACCATTTTAAAAAATATTCCACTTGTCCACTTTCTGTCACCCTTCGACTAATGATCTTTTCAACAACATAAATATCATCTGCCATCGGGTAAGAAACACATAAACGTACACAAAACAATCTAAAAGACAACATTGCCATAATTAAACTTTACCTTTCAATAGGATTCAAAGAATATCTTCTAATAGATATGTATATATATATGAAACATTGTTACGACGACAAACGAAAAACGAAAATAAATCAATGTTTATGTCCCATGGAAAGAACAATAGGAAAACAACAACCAACAATAAGAATAAGAAGTTCAACTGCGCGAAATTGCCGATCGTCAAAATGTGATTGAACTTCAGGTAAGATATGTACTGTCGCAACAAAGAGAAATGTACCCGCACTAAATAACATTGCAATACCAGTTGAGTCAACCGAATAGCTGTCGCGAAGTCCCTTGAAAAGGAAACATTCGACCAATTAGTTTCGTTGAAAATCATAACAATTAACTTACACTCTTTAGCAGAACAAATGTGAAGATAGCCATTACTGGAGCGGCTAGAGAAAATATTAACAGATGGCGTCGAATACGTTTTCGATCAACACCGTCAGATAATAGAAATGAGACAAGACCAAAAGCAGCTGGTGCCTGAAGACCATGTGTGAAAACTCTAGTTTTTTAGAAAAATACAGTAAATCCTACTTTGTGAAGTATGATGGCCATAAAAACGATCAATTCAACATTAAAACGGCTTGTCGCTGATGCTGCGCCTTAAATAAATACGGTTTTCATCGTCTAATCATCATGTCGATTCTTGCCTAAAGCGATTCCGTCGGCTGCCGCATGAACAATCAGACCCAACGTTGCTGTCCATGTTGACTTTGGCTTTGTTATAATCACCGAGCCAGAGGAATCAATCACTAAATACAGTAATAGGTCACCATTTACTCATCACATGAGAACACTTTTTTTTTTCAAATCAAACCTTGACTTCCATGTCGATGAATGATTCTCGAACTACAATTATCGATAATTAACATGAATACGAAACCCAGAACTAAGGTTATGCCTAAAACAAAGTCATTATCGTTTTAACGAATTAGCTTGATATACTTTCATACCAATAGTCGAATGAATACTATCTGTATGTTTGTGTTCACTTTCTGAATGTAGATGTTTTGGTTGATCATGTGGATGTTGATGACCCGATTGAATATTGTCAACTTTGTCAGGTTTCACTTCATTTAGATGTCGACGTACGATTTTGTGATCGGAATGACTTTCTTGATGGCCTCCTGCACAAGCAAAATCGATTAAATGTAAATACTATTCGCTATGTCATTCACATACCCATTTCAGCTGTATATAAAGCATTAACACCTTCGGGAATAATAACTGCAAGTGCTGTACCGACTAGAAGACCTGCACCGAGAACAGTAACATAACGCATTTTAGTCTTAAAAGTTCAATTGATTTTGTTTGATAATAAGAAGTTCGAATGGCTTACTTCAGACAGATTGAATCCAAGTGGGAACAGACCGGAGAGATAAGAACCAAGAAACATAGCCAGACTGAACATACTCAACATAAACGAATCCGACATGTTCTTGTTTGTTGAAAGAATAGAATAGAAACTAGACTATTGGAAACCGTATGATTAGTATGAATGTAAATGTAAAGTAAGTAGGACGTTGATGATGATGAGCCTATCGACTTGGTGGATGGTCTTTGAGAAGCAAATCAAAATAGAAAAGATGACATTATTTCAAAATTCAAGTTTTTATTTTTTTCACAACGATTTCGTTGAATATTTTATCATTCAGTTGATAAAAGAAATGAATTATGACTAAATGTTTAATAGCGACATCTATGACCAGGATAACTAAGCAACTGTAAGTGTAGTTGAACGTAAATGGAATTAACTTTTGATTTGATTGATTTGTAATTATCGATCATGGTTGATACAGGTGCGTTAATTAGCTATAGTACAACATTATATAAACAATGTTGTGTTTAGAAACAATGGTATTCTCATCCGCTTCGTCGGATTCGGGTTTGGGTGGTGTTGAAAATATCAGACATCATCATCAGGAACAGAATCGTACGTTAAACTTGTGCGCAATTGACGACGAGTTTTATTATGCACCCTATTTTCAGGAAGTGCTCGTAGTTTTGATGCCGACGACATTGAATTACCAGCCAATTGGCCTGATTATGACTTTCAACGAAAGAAGAGCTGTTTGTTTAGTCGAGTCTTTTGCACATGTGTAACAAAAGCGATCAATCATCTCGAATTAGTGCAGAATGCGATTGAACAAAAGTAATAGATACATTTCTCTAGTTGAAAAAGAAAACAAGCACTTATCTTTCTTTTATTTGTAGAGACGTATCTGCCAGTATGTCTACGAAATAGATGACTTTAATCTCTATTTAACTTATTCTGTATTTAGAACGAGGTACTACATCGAAACGGGAAGTACGTTTCAGTCAGGTACAGCTTTCTATGAATGCACTTGAAATCGTCGGGCAAGGTGGCCATGTTGCACACGAACATCCACATCATGACATTCTCGAAGATGAAGTTATTGACGAAGTCTTACTACTCCTCGCACGACTAGATCGTGAACGCTTACGTCTAATTCATTTGTGTGAACACGAACAATTCGTCAGAGCGAAGTTAAAAGAAAGCATCGATAGTTGGCGATTGAAACGATTACGAGATTTACCTTTAGCTGTACAAAGAGGTTGGTACCTGTTTTATTCTTGTACTTCATATCTTTCGTTTTCTTAGAACATGATGCATGTATCACTGATATTAGTGAACTACAATGGCATATCACTTACAATGCTCGGTTGGCTGAAAAGATGTTTGCAAAGGTTGATCTATCTCGCATATGGCATCAACAACTTGATATTGAAGTCAGCAACATTCGTCAAACCACGGACTTGATTGTTGAAAAAGTTCGAACCGAATCCATTGAAATAAAGAGAATCAGTGATGCTTTGAGAGAAACTGAACATGAATTGATGCTAAGTCGTGCAAAAAATGCCGATGTACAAGAAAAAGCTGCTCGTGCGAATCAACGTGCTTCACTCGAACGTGGTGAAATGCGAAACGAATTAGAGAAAACGCAGAAAATTCTACAAACCATGACGTTCGTTTCATTTCGTTCTTTTTCATTTTTTCAAATACTATCGTATCGTTTAGAAACAAATTACATGCCGCTCAAGACTTACACAAAACTTATTTGAAAACTATAGCTGATTCGAAGCAAACAGTAAAGAAAAACGAACGTACTTACAAAGAAGAAGTGGCCAAACGCGATGCTGCGCGAGCAGAAATCGCTAATTGTAAACTCAAAGTACTGATTTTGTCTTTCCTATGCAGTTTCATGGACGAAATTTCTTCTTCATAGTTATCACTACTTGCTACCGATCGCGAAAATATCCAATTTGAAATTCAACGTTTGACTGCTAATTCTGAACGAGCCCGATCGGAAGAACAAGCCCGTGAGGATGAGCGCAAAAAAGAACTGGCTATTCTGGAGGAGAATGCACTGAAACGTGAGAGCAAATTGGAGAAAATTTTGAAGAAGTCAAAAGAAAAGATAGTCTTGATCGATGAATACGAACGACAATTGGCAAAAATTAATGAGTAAATAAATACTTGCCATTCTTATATAAAGATAATCTTCATATTCATTTAGACAAATTGATCGCCATCAGAAAACTTTGGAACGCCATGAAAAACAACGTACCCGCGATGCGGAAATGTTGCGAACGGTCACGGAAAATTTACATCGAGCTTTGTACACCAACGAATCAATAACATCAGATATGCGACGTGAAACTGAAACACTTCAAAAGGAAGAAGATGGGCTTCGAGTTAGTCTACGAAATTTTCCTTCTATCTAACGGATCTTTCTATCCTTGTAATAGACACTAATGGAATCTTTACGACGTCAGATCGATGATGAAGGAACAATGATTGGAATGATTGATGAGCATTTAGCGACAGATCAACGTGAACTCGATAGTATTAATGACGCCGAAGCTATCCGTGCAGAACATGTTCGTTTCCACTTGCAAATCCGAGATTTGATTTTCAATGGGGACTTCTTTTCAGGCCGGACGTATAGAAACAGATTTACAAGGCAAATACGATGTTTTATCTGCATGTGTAGCAAACTTGGAAGCAGAAGATGTAAAGATGAAGGAAAATTTACAATCATTGAAAGAAATCTTCGACGAAATCAACGAGAAATATCTGAAAGAAAAGAGTCAATTGGAACAATCACGAGCTGTTATCAACGAAAAACACGAGTCAACTTCGGTAAGAAAGTCATCATCAATCTTTTCCCTTATCTCAAATTCAACTTCTAGACAACAGCAAATGATCTTGGTAGCAAACTCGAGCATATTCTCACACGATCCGCTTATATGAAGAAACATATTCAAGAGATGTCGGAATCTCGTGGTGCTATGGAAGTTCTAACGGCGAAGATTCGTGTTGAAATTCAAGCAGCTGAGTGCGAAAAACAAGTCATTGTTTCGAATTATTTCACAAAATGTATTTCGTTTAGATCAGAATTAGTCGATGTGAAGTATAATCTTAGTCTAGCAGAAGCCGGTGAGCGAGAAGTCGTACGTGTCCTTCATCAGTGTGTACAACGGCAAACAAGCATGAATACATTGAATAAACATTTATTCCAAGAACGTTCGAATTACCAATCGGAGAAACAGGTACACTCATTGCCATTTTTTTGCTCATCATAAAAGTCAAGTTTTTATTTTTAGACAGCTATTGAGAATGCTCTGACACTCAATGCTGAACTAGCTGGTTCTTATCGAGATGTTTTGTATACATACTATGAAATCAAAAGTCTTTTGATGGGCAAACTAGAACAACGTCTCGATGCGGTCGCTCGAGTGAAAGATCGGCGACAGTTGATTGAATTACAAACACGACTTCACGATGCATTAAATCTCTATCTGGGAATCAAAAGTAAATAGTGTTGTTTTTATGCATTGAGTTAAGATGAATTTGTATAGATGAATTCGTGGGACAACATCTCGGTCAGTTAAATCGTGAGAGTCATCACAATGGTTTGAAATTGATACAAATTCAAGAAACAGTTCAATCGGCTATAGAAGAAATAACCCAGTTTCTTTCTGATCAAGTCGATTTCGAAACGATACATCAAGAAGCTATGCTCAAAGTACACAGGGATGAATTGAAAGAAAAACAGAATAAACAAGTGCCTGCATAAGATTTATTTTTCTCTTTTAATCCTATTTTGAATAAAGATATACTTTTCATAATTTTATCTCAATATGACGAAGGAGTGGATGCAACATTTGAGAAGACTTTTGTTCGATTCTATCCTTTTATTTTTCGTTCGATGAGAAACAAATTTGTACATATAAACAAAAATATCTGATACAAATAGAAAGCTTGTATAAAAGAATAAGATCAAAGAATAACCAGATCATCTGTTATCACACTCGGTACTTCTTCGCTTTCATCATCATGTGCGGAGTTATTTCGAGATCTCTCAAGAACTGGCGTACGTAAAGATGAAGTTAATGAGCGAGACGGAATTACAATGCAAGTAGCGTCGCCTGCATGTGGTGGTCCATTGTTTGCTAAACGTAAGGGCGCTGGTTCTATCTCGGTTTCAGATAGAGGTGGCGGTGGTACATCCTCATCGGACATTTTCCGTGTAACGAGAAAAAGACAACTAAACAGAGAAGATGAATTCATGTCGTTTCTATCTATGTAAAATACTTACAAATTCAATACACACGGAATAAGACATAGGCCAGCACCGATGAAGAAAGTAAAACTTCGAAAATTAACGACTGTCCGGGCATAAACCCAATTGAACAATGCTGTACCAAATGTAGTCATAATCGTATTCATTTCTGTTACAAATGTCAGAGCATTTGAACGCTCATGTGGTTGTAACCATTTCGACATCATCGATGTTGACAACGAACCTTGATAACCGGAGAAGGCACTGAGTAACAATCCAGCATATAATTCCCAGTTATGACGAGCAAAAGCTAGCCATAAAGTTGAAGCACAAAAGAAAAGATTACTAATAAAACAGATCATTGCATCACTACCACCAGCATTTGTCAATGCTTGCATACCAAGAACACTTAGTACGGCGTATGAAATAGAAGCAAGTGCGGAATAATTTCCGATGTTTTTCGCTGTCCAACAGAATGGTTCATTGAGTAGAAACCACAGAAATGGCGCGAATGTCGCCGACGCCAATGTGTAAAATATATATGAGAATAACGTTAGAAATAGACTAATGGATTTTTTCTGTGTCCGTCGATTTAGTCGGAAGACTGTGCAAACTTGAAAAAAATTACTGCAGGTTGTTGTTGAAAGCTCTTTGAATTCTTCTCCATTAGCAGATGAATTTAACAATGGTGTTCGCTCAGAGACAGTTGAAGAACTGGAAGATTTAAATAGAAAAATAGCGATTAGAATTGCCAAGAATTCTATCCCGAGACCCATCCAATACAGATCAGTGTAACCACGCCATTCGATATAATACCCAATACCAAATGTTCCACACGCTGCTAATGCTGTTTGCATCGCACCGATACGCACAAAACGTGAAGATAAATTACTTTCAGGCGTATTATCAGTTACAATTAATGTTAATATAAAACCTGACCAAAGAAAGTTAATAGATTTCTTACCGAAAATCCTTTCCTTTTACTCACTTAGTACACTACTGGAACCAGAAAATCCATTAATAAATGCGGCAATATACCACCAGTATTCTGTCAGATTAAAATAAATAATAGCTAACCAAATAGCAAATTGAATAAGTGCACCAAACATGGGTAAAATCAAAACGAATCGTTTGCCCAATTGCGGCGTATATAAACCAAGAAGATAAGTCATAATAATAATCGGACAGCTACTAATCAAAGTCGTCCAGAAGAAAAGATCAGCAGACTTTTCCTGTGCCCACGCTTGAGCATCATATTCTGGAGTAACATCACCTTCTACACATTTAGCATGTTGTTCATTATACCTCGACAACGAAAACGGACGAATCGTCGTAAAATTCACTGTACTATTCGGCGGAACGGGATATGTTTGAAGATAATAACTATAGACGTATTGACCAATCGTTGTTGATAAACAAGTACATAGAGTTTGAAGACAAAACGTTGCTTCAATCGTATACGTACTTGCGTCTCCCGACATGATAACTATATGGATTTTCAACTACATAATTCAATTTTCCTACTATTGAAAAAAATATCACGTGTCAAGAGAAAGAGAATAGTTGACACATGCTTATTACAGGAATAGACAGATAGACGAAAAGAAAGAAAAGAAATAGGCTGTTCTTTAACCAATCGGTTTTATTCAGTGCACTGTCACTACTAGACGAGGTTGATACTGTTTTGATTTCATCTTATATGAACAAATGTCAAAATTGAAGTAAAACAAATCTGTGCAAATGTTACAGCATAAAAAGTAATCAGAACGATTTTTAATTTTTTCGCAGTCGGTTGACATTGATCGAATTGGAAGTAATTTTCGTAGCAAGCATTCGCTCCTAGATTGATTGACGACAGAATCAATGCAATGATGACCAGCAAACATATGATGATATGAAACAATTTAAATCGTTGTAAAGACCATTTAGATTTCTTTGTATGACTCATGAATATGATTAAATAAATTCCAAAAATAATACATATGGAACCTGTACATATACCCACAAATGGAAGAGATTCGTTCATACTTATCAGCTGAATATCACAAATGATAGTTGCCAGACCAATAAGAAAATGTAGTAAAGCAGTTGCTAATAAATAACGAGTGAAATTTAGAGTGAGAACTATCGGAGGCGAAGAGGAGAACGATGAACGTTCTTGATGTTCAATTTGAGTTTCAGGAATAGTGTAGATTGACGGTGGCGGATATAATGAGTAGGCCGGCGGTGGCCCATAGATTTCGTCTTTTGACATAGGCCAATCGATAGTCATCTGACTTTTTATTATATATTTGACGAGCAACTACATTCAGTGATGCAATAAAGCTAAAAAAAAAAGAGGAAATTATATCAAGATCAGAAGGAGAGTAAGCGAGAGAAAGTAGGTATATAAAGTAATGAAGTGTGAGACAGAGAGAGAAGGACGAATAATTGAAGGTCATTATGCAATATGCATGAACCGATCGAAGTGAAAGGATCATAATGATGAAAAAAAATATACACACAGTCTAAGGACAAGAGTTCATTAATCAATTATATACATTTGGTATCAAATGGAACTTAGTGGCACAAGGACATTTTGATTCCGTTCTATACCGTATTGAATGTCTATCTGTTGAGATTAAAGATTGTCAATGTCATTTCAAACATCTTTCAATTGCGATCATTTCTTAAGCTTTCAATGGTTGACAGATCTAAATTTCGAGTATAAACGCGAACTTCGTCCATAAAACCTTCATAACCACTACGATTACATGTTCCAAACCTTTGTGCGCAGTCGCCAAGTATCATTGTATACACTTGACAACTGGCTGGGTAATATGAAGCTTCTGTTTGATTATATAATGTTCCATTGATATAAAGTACAACACTTCCATTGGCAAAGTATGTTTGAACAATGTGTGTCCATACATGCGGAACCAGCTTGGGACCTATTAACGTTGTTCGATTGTATTCAGTTTGCAGAGTAAGCTGATTTTGATCATCAAATGCAATCATATCCCACGATGTGAAATTGTCGGAAGTGTGAACAATTGTTCTATTGTTTGTAGAAAATGGGTTGATCCGTAATGAAATTGAAAGAGATTTATTCACGAGCATGAATGTTTCAATCTTGAACGATGAAGAAGTTTGGTTAAATAGAAGAGTGTCATTGATGACAATCATGTTTTCAGGCGTGCTGAGCATTCCGTTTGAACCGGAATCGAGAAACGAACCGTTTTTGAAGGCGAAATAGAAAACAAGCGTAGCGTCATTAAGTATTTCACTCGAAAATTTTGGTCGATTCACAAAGGATAGCTGATCCAAGTATCCCGAATACGATCTGACTGAAGTGCGTTCAATTATGGTACCGATAGTTAATGGTGTAAAGCCCTGTGGATTTAAGGCAGATGCACTGTCGTTGCAACTAACTTTTCCATCAACAAAAACAGTTTGTCGTAGGCTCGTAGCATTGTATACGAAAGCCACATGATACCAAGTGTGAATGTATATAGTTGTGGTCCCAACACAGTCATTGTCAAAAAAGCCGAGATGAGTATAGCTACTTCTAATACTTATATGTAAACAACTACTAGTGCTTTTGTGTATACACTGGCCAACAAGACCTTGGTGCACTGAAGTAGCAGTGATTCGTTTAGCGTAAATCCACATTTCAAAAGTGAAACCAATTGATGTCACATCAACATAAGACAATGATGCCATCAAATACTGTGAACCATTCAATGCTAGTGCTGAACCACGTCCATATATACCAGGTGAAGCAAAAGATACATTGTTAACCTGTACGGTATCTACTTGATTTAAATTTTCCTGAAAAGTGTCGTCAAATGACCAGGAGAGACTGACGAAATCTTGTGGTGGTAATTGTAGGAAATAGAAAGTAGTATTCGATTTTGTATTTAAATAGCTGCGACTTGTTTGTAAGGCTTTTCCAAAAAGATGACATGTACTATTTGTTCGATAGCAGTTTAAAGAAACGATTGTCTTGTTTGAATTTATCATTGCACACACGCACTGCTCACATGAGCCATTATATAGCTTGGGATACGCACTTTCAGGAGTCAAAGAAACACTTTGTATAAAGCCGATCTGAATACTTTCAGCACAAAGAAAGAGTGCCATCAGAATAAATGCGATCGTCGGTCCAACCATTACTAGAAGTTCAATCAATTCAGAGCAGTGAGTTTCATGTTGTTTTAGAACGTCGTGTAAAAGAGACAACAATATGGGGAATGGTTTATTAATGCACGTTGTATTAAAATTACCTATCGATCAGGAATGCATTTTTAATAAACGGAAGAAGAATATATTTGTTAAAAAAAAGAATCGACAACGCAAAAAAGTCAGCAGAAAGTAAAGAATGTTTGCATGAAATTGTCACACATATTTTTCAGTGAGATCAATGAGTCGGCAATAATATTCGATGGATTTTTACTGAATTTTTTTGTCAGGGATTAGTGTCGAGAGAATAGTTTCGTGGAAAGTTCTAGACAATACAGCGTAAAGAAACTCGCGAAGAGATTAGCTCTCATCTCAGAGCCAAAAATGAACTGCTGTGCTAGTGATGCGGTAAGTGTATGGATAATTTGATGAACATTGTTCCAGATCTTGCATGAGCTGCAATTGACTATGAGCAGTTTCTGATACCTCACTAAAGTTAAGCCAAAAATTTGTATATTGGAATGATGCTGTTAGTAGATGTTCGAATCGATCCAGAAACATAAGCATCATTTCTATTGAACATACACATCGGATATGTAAACGTTCAGTATTAGGGAATATCGTGGATAGTTCTGCAATTGTATCGTCAGTTAGTGCTATAGCAGAGCAGCTGATTTCCAGTATTCGTATATTTTCCATGATCTGCCAATCGATGTGTTTCAGCAAGTATTTAGGGCCGATCGAAATGCATAGATGATGCACACTTGGCATCTTGCTTATCAATTGCGCTAACGAAAAATGTTCATCAAGCAACTCTATAGAGAGTATTTGAATGGTATTCAAATCTATATTGTTTTCAACAGTAGATAAGTTGCAAGTGGTAGAAAGAGTTAATTTCTTTATATTATGTAAACGACGTTCTAAAAGTTCATTATTAAAGTAAGATTTATATTCTACAGTGCGGGTATAGAAGTATGTATCATCTAAAACGGTCGAATAAGTAGGCAGAACAAAATGTCCGTCAGTTATTTTGGATAAATAAGACATAGTAAAGAAATATTTCGAGTAATAACAGACAAACCATTGTTTTTCCTGTAGCCAAAATGATGTTCGAAATGAATCGAGATCAGATGATACTAATATGTCATAGATACAAAAACTGAACTCAAAGCTCACAAGATGTTTTGCTTTTAATTCTAGCCGATAGCCATCAACAACGTTTTTTTCACAGTTACCAGTGAGTTTCATATGTTTCAATCGAGGAAGATTAGTCATCATTCGTTCAATGTTATTGATTGATAGAAAATTACCTACAATTTAAGTCACACATACCGTCTATATCTCAAAGAAATGAAATATTTTACCTTGGACGTCCAAAACGATTCGTGTGACCTGTGGTAGAGGATAGATTATTTCTGGATAGGACTCTTCATAAAAAACTGACAAATCTAAAGACCGTAGCTGCGGTGCTGCGAAAGAAATATGCCTGAGTAAAGCACCGTCTGATTGATTGAGTACAAGATGACGGAGATTTGAAAGTTGAACCAATTTCAGATAGTTTCCATGGCTTAATCTCAATCGGATCAGTTGAGGTAATATCGGTGCATAGATTTTGGCTAAACTTTCATCAAGTTTCGTGATTGTTTTAGAACATACTTTCGAGACCCATTCATCGAGCCGATTTGGATTGATGTATAAAAGCGTACGTAAATCTTTAAGTTCGACTAACTTTGTCATGATACACTCCCAAAACTCGGCTCCAATTTCAATCAATTTCAATGACTTTAAACGTGTAAACTGACTCAATTGAAAACGAGATACGAAAATTTTCATTAAACCAGGAGTGTGCTCATCATTAGACAATGTCATACTAACGACTTGACTCGGAACGATGTGTTGACAAGCAAGATCAAAATCTGTTCGGTTAATCGATTGAAAGTTGACGTGATAAGACGTATAACCATTGATGATTCCATTCAAATACAAACTCACATTTGAAAAGATGGAAAAGATCTCATGCGCAGCAAAATAGCCGAATAAATTATGTATAAGTTCCACCGGCAATCCATCTAGTCGACATGCAGTCATTTTCATGTATGTATGACAGAACAAATTACTCTGCACAGCCATTTTTCACTGTTTTTTCTTCTTCCTCGGCAGAAGGAATGTCAGCATGTGTAATGCATAAAATCGAAAAAACCCCACTAGAAGTCATTCAATTCAAATAAAAAAAAAACGTAACCCTTTTTACATCACTAATGCTCGTGGCGATATTCTCTTGAGTGTCAACGATTATCTACCGATAAAAACAACGAAGAAAGATGAGAATTTATTGTTATTTCTTTTAATAAATAAACATTTTATATACAAAGCACGATGATCATATGACTAGAATCGCACAGAACGAATAACGTTTGATGAACGCTGTTGATTGATATGATGAAGAGGTGTCAATGATGAATGTATAAGTGGTAATACGAGTGTAACAGGAAGGATATCCGGCACGATCGTATGATGAAGAACAAGCGTACTTAAATTAGGAAATGTTTTTAATGACCCCTAAAACAGACACAAAACAATATCAAAGAAACGAATATTTATTGTTACCAAACATACTTGTAAACGATAGCCATCATGATTAATTGTTCGTTCAATAAGAAAATGTTCAACAGATGACGACGTTGTTTTCAAAGATAAAACAAATGGATGTTGTCGATAAGTGTAACTATGGCGAATCAAAAATGAACCAATTGGTTTCTGATCATTGTTTAAATATTCTTCGCAGATATCGCGCGGTAGGCCTTCTTGATACCAAGCGGCAAGCGACAATAGTTCCTCGTCGTTTGTCATTGATTCTTGTTCGTATTCATCCACTGACATTGATATAATCGACTGAGTATCGAAACTGGCTTGATGATCAAGTTGTGAACGTAATTTATCGATTTGTTCGTCTAAATTCCATACACTTTCGTAGATTTCTATTTGACTATCCGTGTTAACATTAATTTTTGATGAGAAGATAAGTGAAGCGAGACTTTTATGTTGAGCTATTTTCTCCTTGAAATATTTCGTCAAACCATTTCGTCGATTGGACGAGGAGAATAAGCTTGAACGTGATCCATAGCCCGAAGACGATGATAGAGATATGGATGATGTCGAAGTATCCCGATCAAATCGGAATGAATCCGTAGTTTGAAATCCGTCAATGTGCTGCATTGAAATCTAGAATGAATGAATGAATGAATGAATCAAGCTGTTCACATTTGATGACAAAAGAGAATAAGTGTGAAAATAATCACGCAATAAAGTGCGAGAGTTTTCAAACATTGAACGAAAAGAGGATGTTTGAAATGTGTTTGTTCGAATAATCAATACATAAAAGTTGATTAGGATGCTTTTATATGTATGAAAGCATCTGGCTGATCAAACTCGTTTGTCACCAATGTATGAACCGCAAGAGAAAAGAAGAATGATAATTCAATTGAACTCCAACTGTTTCCGAACAGGAGAGAATCGCTTCCATTTCTCTCTCTCTCCCTCTCTCGTTTTTTCTTATCATTACGAAAGGAAAAAAAAACATCGTCAAAAGGCTCATCAAATAGTTCAATAGTGTCTCTCTTTGTTCATCCACACGCGCATGGATGATTGATCGATCGATCGTGTTCTGCTCGAGAAAATATCTTTCATTTAAAAAGCCCTTGATTTTTTTTCTTTTTCAGTAATGCTCGATTGATATGTGATAAGCATAGCCACAGCCTTGCATGTACACGAATAGAAAAGAAGAAAAAAAAGAGAGATAGATAGATAAACATCTGTTCATCTTTCGACAATACTTGACTGACAAAGAATAGAAAGAAGGAGACGATGATGAAGTCTCTTTGTACAATTGTTTTTATTTCAGAACTTAAAATAATACAGGAAATATGTAGACAGACGTGCCCAGAGCAATCATCGATGTATTCCTTCCACTTGTCGCGTCCGATCTTATTTTCTTCTAATGAGTTCGGTATCACTGTTGACCGATATTGAAATAGAAGAAGAGAATAAGAAATGAACAGAACGACGGAACTGGGTGGACAGATTGTTATTTCGAGAATGAAAATAATGATGATTTGCGTGTGTCGATTAAATCGATTTAAAGATGAATAGCGGAAGCGACATGACACATGCACAACATTATATGAATCAATCGATAGCTATTGTACATCCGTTTATTTCTGATTTTCTTTTGCTTGATCAACAGACTTGACTCGAAGTCATTTTTCGAATGTGCTCCACGGGAACTCAAGTTCTTTAACTACTATTAAATGAAACTATTCATAAATTTCTTTTTTTAGACGTGCCAATCATATATTTACCGAAGAAAGTAGAAGTTCTTCTTTTTTCTTGTGCTTCTACTCAGAGAAATATTTCTGTTGTCAATGGTATCAATGAATTTTTACGACGGAAAATAGATGAGATTTTTTTTTCTTCTTTTCTTTTGAAATAGTAGCGAAGTGTATATAATGTCAATTTCACCGTCAGTTTTTTGTTTGTGAAAGACATTTAAACGTTCTATTACTCACGAGAATATTCAAGGTAAAATGGTGAACACATTAACCAAGGCTCAACGTCAAGAATTGAAAGAAGCATTTGACGTTTTCGATACAGGTAGATGAGTTATTCGATGAAGTTCATGTTTTTCATTGCTTTCATTACTCAGACCGATCTGGAATGATATCTGCGTCCGAATTAAGCAATGTATTTCGCGCATTAAATATCAATGTCAATAACAGTCAACTGAATCAATTAGTTAAGCAAATGGATGAGAATGGAAGCGGTACGTTCGTGAAAATGATTGCACATTTGTTCGTGAACGATGTTTTCTCTAGGACAAGTTGAATTCGACGAATTTGCACGTGTCATGGGTGAAACATTCTTTAAAAAATATACTCAAGAGGAATTACGTGCTGCATTCAATCAATTCGATCAAGATGGCTCAGGTTATATTCAAGCAGCAGAATTAGAAAGTATCATGAGCAGAATGGGACGACGTTATAATAAAGCTGAAGTCGAGGCAATGGTATCTTTCTTGGATCGATCAGGTGATGGTAAAATCGGTTTCGATGAATTTGTACAATTATTTCAATAGAATTTCGTTTATTCGTATCTGTCAATAAGTCATCCTGAACGAACATGCAATCGTGTAGGAAGATTAAATTGAACTAATGAGTACGGATATATAGAAAACTTAATTTTATTGGAGTTTTTATCTGAAATGAAAATCAAATAAACATACCGAAAAGACAACACACTGACTCACCACACTGGGTAGGATGTTGCCGTGGGAAAAGGATTGGCTTGTGCGTACGAAAGTTTCCATTGCGGACTATATATATAAATGGATTCCAGCTAGAGAACGGTAAACAATGATGATGAATCTTTTCGCAAAGTAAACCTACGCTAAACTTGATTTGGCAAATAACGCTGGAAGCGTATCGACGATGGCAGGAATACGATCTGTGTCGATGAATATGCGAATGAAAACAATGATCGCATAAGGAGTCCAAGCAATGAGATATCCACCTGAAGAATATGACAGATGAGAATATGAAAAGCAAGCCCATTTGCACTCACCAATGATCAGTATGATTGTGTTGAGTATATGACGTTCGATTTTATGTTGATGCTTCACGCGATTGCAATTCAAATTTAACATTGAGCGTTGCCATCGATTGCGAATCTTCACAACAAACTCAAAATTCCCAGTTTTCTCAAATGCTACTCAAAGACTTACGGACAGATAGATTTTGGTATTCGTCACTATGATAATTGTAATTGGCACAAGGTAAACAAAAATAAATATCGTTATATTGTAACTAATTATATTGAATGATCTCCCAGTCCATTTGATACTACACGATATTCTGATACCCTAAAGTTTGCACAACCTGTCTAATAGAAATCTGAATCAATATGTCGATCAAGACGAACCTCATAGTCATAGTCTGACCATCCAAGTAAGGGCATAACAGTCCAAAATAGTGATAGGAGATAAGCAACGGCAATTGTTAAGTAGGTTTGTTTGATATTTGCTTTTTGTGCTGAAAATGGCCGAATGATTTTTCTGTATCTGATCAAGGGAAAAAAGGTTTGGTGAACCCGATGTGAAATGATTCGTCTCACCGATCAATTGAAATCAAACACAGCATATATATATTTGAACAACCAGCGAAATAGACGATCATCGCTTCAAAAACACAGCCCGTATAGGTAAAAATCCATCTAGTAATCTGACGGTGAAATGATCTATCTGCATTAAAGCGTAGTCTTACCTGCAAGAGAGAAGTGAAAAAGTGGGTAGTGGTATTTCAAAATATGTTCCAATGAGATCCGCTAATAATAAGCCACCAATGAGTATATTAGTTGATGATTGACGTAATTTCTTGTTGCGAACCAATATATAAAGTACCGAACCATTGAGAATCATTCCAGTTATCCATAGAACGATGAAGTAATAACCGATTATTCGTAATATGGAGCATAATGGAAAGTTTTTCGTTGAAATAAATAATGTATTATTCAACATCTTGTCTGATGACATTTCCTAACAATCAAACAGATTAATCAGATATCTGAAACACTTTTACTCGATCAATGCCACAACCTGAATGCATTCATATACTCTATGAATCTCTTCATAGCTATCATTTCTTCTGAAAAAAGTTTCACACAAAGTCGTTTAGATTTATACCGATTTGTGCTACTGTCGGTTAATGTCGTATTAGACATGTGTCTTTAAAAGAATATAATGAACTATACCGGTAATTCACCACGTAAGGCTATCCACGTGTACTTCCCGTATATCCTCAAGAAATCGTGCATATGGTGTTTTTCTTCTGGAAATTTTACTTAACTCTAATGGGCCAGCCGTTCAAAAGAACAATCTAGAAAGAAAACTTTAGATAAAGCGAGTAATAATGCTAATCGTCGATGTGTCTACAGAAATAAAAATAATTAATTGTTTAGTCTTTTGCAATCATAAAAAGAATATATCATGCCGAAGATTGTCAACCTTTACATCATATAGATACTCTTCAGAGTGAACAAGTTCTATGCCCATAAGAGAAACGTCGCTTAGTAATCAATGAAATTATCCTACTTCAATAAATGAACACTTTCTAAAGAAAGTACATGTGTGCACGATGTGTTTTAGAGTAAATCGCTTATATACATAGGCATTATGTAAGTAGAATATGTCATGAATTTTATCTTATATGACTAGAATTGACATTAATCGGTATGTTTGAAGATTTTCCCTACAACCAGCGTTGATAATTTTTCTATGGTGAGCGTTCTAATTCTAAACGCGCAATTGCGATTTTAGTCAAAACAAAAGATGGTATGATAGCATGCTCGACGCATCTTCTGCGTCAAATCACATCTGTTCATCTCAGAAGGATAAACCTGTATCTTCCATGACTGGAATATCTATCATATTACGGTAACATGAATGAGTTCTTTTCTCGATTCATATATCATGATCTACTTTGTAGCGTGTATACGAATAACAAATGTACTTTTCACCTGTAATTATCGATGTACCATGATTGTTCGGTTGTTTCACAACATCCTGAGCAGAATGAATTGCTTCATCGCTTCCAATTCTTTGTTATGAATCAACTTTATAATAACGTCACCGCTGTTTTTATTCGATTGATATCAAGACCACACTAACGTATTACAAAAGCTAATTTTAATGAAAAAGATTCGAGAATTATAGATATGTGAAAGAGCAAAGTTTCCATTATGAGATTGTACACAATTAAGTTCAATTAGAAAAGCCTCGAGAACGCAAGAGCTTACAATTAAGCCAGCGATTCCATATAGTTAATACGGTTTTGAACGATTTGTATTTGTATTATCGAACATGTATCACTTTACCCTCGCAGAGCAGCTTAAACTTTCTTTCGATGCCTCCGATCCTGAAATTATTTTCTTGTTCCGATAAATATGTGAAATTTATTTCAAAGAAGTTTGTTTCACAAATTCATATAAAAAAAAACGAGGTAAAAATGGACACGTTATAAAAAGATCATTATTTAACGTACAAGATTATACAATACGTATAAAAGCACACATCCACACACTGTTGAACAGGCATTAAAAAGTAATAAAACTACGAACTTATAAAGAAAGAAAAAAGTTGCATTATTTATGATCAGTACAATCTTGAGCTCATTGAGAAAAACAAAGGAAAAACGTGCATTTATCTGAACGAGGGATAAAACATAGTGTTGATAAAGCAACTAGATGTATCTGACCACATTTATATGTAACGGTCACGTTGTCGAAGATAGCAAAGTAGACCAAGAGCAGCGACGATACAAAAACCCTAAGATACAGGGAAAAAAATAACTGAATGATTGTTCTAATCGATGTATGGCTATTCGAGAAGGATCTTCTATCAAACAAATGACATATCTATTCCTTCGAGATTTGTTCTCTTCTCATGATGTAATTGATATCTGCTTTTTCGCTTAGAAACTAATCAATCCCTGGAGGCTCACTGACCGTTTCTTTTCTGTTAGCAAAAAATTACAGCCATCGCTCGATCGATCGATTTCATCTTTCCTAATTCACAAGTGACCTTTCCATCTCACACGTAGTCAAACAGTAGTGCTACAAATGGATCATAACTTACTTCAACGAAAACAAGAATAAACGCTAAAATTCCCACGATCATCAAATTCCGATTGATCTCCATTTGAATCATATTGAAACACCCCTGAAATGAGAGCACAATTAAAACGATTAAACGTTACAACTTGTAAACATACATCGAGATAAATTAAACCATAGGTTTCATTGGCAGCTATCTGCTTTCCACAACCATTTGTTTCTTCAATACAGCATGAATCTGGCACATAAGGCTGACCAGTCCAAACTTGGGCATTGAACCAATCTTGATATTGATCAACACCACAACAACGAAGCTAGATACAAAATGCTTTTTATTAAGCCAAAATGACCTGTCTTTCTGTGAGCTTACTCGTTTCTGAATTGAATTCATTGTTTTACGAGCGTTATTCTCATCCGCACCTTCATCTCCCGGATAGTGGCGAATATTTTCGAGTAATTCTTTTCTTGCAGACATTGCAACCTAAATATGCACAAAAACGTCGGACGTCGTGAACCATTGCCGATGAAAAATACGTACGCGTTCGTTGAATGCAATAACGAACACAACTCCGAATAGTAACGCCACAAAGATAACAATCATCGTGATAATATACTGTGAAAGAAAAAACAGATCATCAACGAATCGAATCGATTAGATTTACCATGAACAGTAAGACTTTCTTTTCAAACCAAGCACCAGCACAGCCAACAGCACCAAGTAGCATCGAAAGTTTCGCTATAGCAAAAAGAAACTAGAGATAAAGTATCTCATCGATATGCATACCTGAGAAAATTAATACAACAGGTGCAGTAAACCATGGACTTCCCATTAGCGGCCGATAATCTGCCGATTTTATATGTAACCACCAACTGCAAACAACAACCGCAAAGCCCAATGCCTAGAATGTTCTCTCTCATCAAGTGTCGCTCATGGACAGAAATTAAACCAAACTCACGAAAAAGCACATGTTAATAATTGTAAAAACGCAACGAAATACCATATAAGTCGACGACATTCTTACTCGACCGCACCTAATTAACAAGTGTTCAATATGAATGAACGCGAATGATCGATTGATCGATCAATAATCAAGAAATACCTGACGAATCAATACAATATGAGCAGAAGATGATAGATGGCAGTGTTTATTTCATATGTGGAAATCTTTTGTTCTGATTGGTTTATTATTTTCGACTAACATCAACAGATACAAACTGAGTGGAGAAAAAGGAATTATTGAAAAATAACTTTTTTTTTGGGTCTAATCATGTCTGAAGCAGTCATGGATGAGGTTCCTTCTTCAAATGGTTTAATAACAGCAGATGCGAATGCGTTAGTCGAAGAATCCGGTGTTAAAAATGAAGATGAAGAATCGTGGCTATATGGAAAATCGAAACTTGATGAAAATACGTAAGTTGAAAGAAAGTTTTGCAATATTTAATTGACATTCTTTCGTTTCAATGTTTAGCGAGTTAGCAACAGTAGCGTCATCCATGGATGAAGGTACAGCACAAGATATGGATAAAGTACGTGAAAATTTTGTTCGAAGTGTCATCCAGTGTAAAAACTATCAAATTAAAAGAATAGTTATTGATGTAGACAAAAATCATTCATTAGTGTATGCACTCTGTTCGACTAATTTTGTACTACAAACTGTGCGAAACGTTTCAGTAGATATAGAGAGGAAACTATTTATGAAATAATTATGATTTAGAATAATTAATGGAGATTGTATAAAACTTTCCCTCTAGGACAAAGCAACAATACCGTTAGTGACAAATGCTCCAACTTCATTGCTGGTCGGTAGTCAAATCGATGATGATTCGGATGATGACGACGATGATGGAATTCAAGTGACAATTGGAAATATCAAATCTGGTGCGGCTATTTTCTCGGCAAATCGACAAAACAGTCGAACAACAATACCACGTATATAGACATTAGCGTTTTTTGTTCAATGAATTCTATCTGACTGTTCCTTCTAGAGAATTCAGTCATTCCAACGAAACCGCAAGCAACACGTGGCGTCGATTTAGAAGCTCAAGGTGTTATTAATGGACAGCCAATCTTTGAGCATGATTTAATGAATGCCTATAAGGACGATGAAAAACCCTGGAAAAAGCCAGGTTTGAAAACGATGACGACTTGATATTTTTAATCGAACTATTTTGCACAGGTGCGGATATAACTGATTATTTTAACTATGGTTTCACCGAAGAAACATGGGCACAGTACTGCGATCGACAACGACGTCTACGAGCAGACAACAATCTAGCTCGTCTTAATGCTGCACATGTATGGAGAAGAGAAATGTCGATTCGCTTGTACGTCCACTTTTTGTTTAGATGCCACAGATGCCACCAATGATTCCAGGGCATCCACCGATGATGCATCCGATGAATCCTCACTCAGCAATGATGATGAACAAACCACCAATGAACATGCCAATTATGCCAAGACCATTTATGAATGTTCGAAAACAAGATGGAAAGATTGATGTAATTGGTATGTAAATCATTCCATTGAAAGTTCTAATGATTATTCTGATGTTTCACTTTAAGGAGCTACAGATCTAACATCTCGTCGACCTATGTTTGAACCAGGCCACTCTTTTGATCATATGACATACATCAACGGACCGCCATTGTATGTTTATCTGTGTCCTAACTAGAGATCTTTTTGTATTTAATTGTCTAAATTTGTGTTTTAGTTCTGGTGGTCAACCACCGCCTAATGGTCAGACAGTGGGTGATCTTGCAACCCCACCACCAACATCCAATGGTCCATCACAGCCGCCACACGGAACACCGCCCGGCGGCAACCATCCCATTCCAACACTTGGCGTGCCTCGAATGTCAATGATACCACCGCCGAATATGCCATTTCGACCACAATTCGGACATCCACATGCTCCTGGTGCACCACAATTCTTTCCTCATGGACCTGCAGGAGGCATGCATGGTGAAAGGTAAATATTTCCTTCCTAATCGATTCAAAACATCATAGAAATTTCGATTTAGACCGCCTCAGTCTTACTTTATACCTCATCCACAGCAACAACAACAACAATGGGAGAAGTAAGTTGATAAAATGTCATGCAATACATTTATTCATTCCAACATCTGATATAGACCCGGAGGACCGCCGATGCATGGCTTTCCACCTGGACATTTTCCTCCCCAACCACCCGCACTAGGCAATGCTGGCAATGGCAGACCAACTTCTAGTCGAAGTTCTACACCTGAAGATCATTCATCGCGGAGTTCCACACCAGAAGAAAACCGTCCTACTGGCAATGGCGGTGGTGCTGACGGTGATAAGGCGCCAAAAGACGAACGATACAAAGATCGTTATAGGTAAAAAGATTTGGTCTCGAAAAATATGATGCATCATTTCTTTCAGAGATGAACGTGAACACTATCCATCCTCCCGCCGACGTTCATCACCGAAAGATCGCACATCATCATCCTATCGATCTCGCCATCGAAGTGGCGACCATGAATATGAACGACCAAGAGGTGATCAGAAATCATCACGCGATCGAGATGACAAATATGAGCGTTACTCACGCAAGTAAATATGTCCAGATTTCTATACTCGATCTACATATACTTAAGTGATTCTAGACGACATCATCGAGAAGACAGTGGTCGTCACCATCGCGGTGACGAAGATTCATCTCGTGGTCACCGTTCATCTCACCGTACTCCAACAAAAAATTTTTCATCGCCACCCAAAACAATCCTCCCTAATACAACACTAGATCCTTCACAACCATCATCAGAAAATCCTGAATCGACAGACAATGATCAATCGTCAAGCGCAATTACATCAACAACTAATCCAATAGGTTCAACATCATCATCGCCAAATAGTCGATCACGTCGTGACGATTCAGAACGTTCATCTTCGCGTCATGGTCATCACAAAAAATCTTCGAAACGCTCAAGACGCGACAGTGGCGATGAACGTAGTCATCACCGACGCTCGAAAGACAAATCGAGTAGCAGTAAAAAGTCTGCAAGTGTAACAGAACCAGCATCTGACGTAAAAGAACAATCAAATGAATAAAAGAAATCTATATGTATTAATGTTTTCTTTCTCTCTGTTTTTCTTTTGTCATGTAAATTTCTTTTTTGTTCACTCGTGATCGTTCGATTCTCTGAAAATCTTAGAGAAGAAAGGATTAAATAGATTTAATCGTTCTAGATATATCACATGGCCAGTCCGCGTACTCGGTCGGTTTTGAAAGATCTGAAGCTGAAAGATGATAATAATGTTTGTTTCGAATGTGGAGCATTAAACCCTCAATGGGTCTCGGTCTCATATGGTAAGGTTCTACCGGCTAATACATCTCGACAACATCATCGAAATAATTCTTTTTTAACAGGAATTTTCATTTGTCTCGAATGCTCTGGTAAGCATCGTGGCTTGGGCGTTCATCTATCATTTGTTCGATCGATTTCTATGGATAAATGGAAGGATATTGAACTAGAGAAGATGAAAGCTGGTGGAAATCGCCAAGCAAAAACCTTTTTTGCCACACAATCTGATTATGATTCCAATACGATGAATTTACAACAACGATACAATACACGTGCTGCGGCACTCTATCGTGATAAAATCAGTACTGAAGCACGAGGACAACCGTGGTCGATCAACACGTCTTCGGCACAAAACTATACATCTTCTTATTTACCATCAACAACTGAGAAATCTGCAAAAGTGAGCGAACATCAACAACACTGTCCTACAATCATGACAATTTCATTTAGCAAATCTCATCCGAATGGTCAGACTTCAAATCATCTAATACTGAAAATGACGATTACGGCGGTTATCAAAATAATAATTCGAATGAACAGCAACCACAACGATCTGGTTTAGGTAGTGGAAATCCAAAATATTGGGGTTTTGGAAATACAAATAATGACTCCGCATCCCGATCGTCTCAACCAACCAGTCAAGAATTACTTGCGTCATCTATATCAAATCTCAGTACGAATGCAGCGAAGTGGGCTGGTGTAGCAAAAAGTTCGGTTTTTAAGTTTTCGAAAACTGCCGCCGATAAAGCATCGGAACTAACATCCAAAGTAAGCGAACAGGCTAAGGATGGTACATTGATGAACAATGTACAGTCCGGTGTAACGACTGTCGCGTCATCGGTGGGGAAATTTGGTACGAAAACATGGTCCGATATGCAATCATTATGGTCTGGGAAAGATTATCATTCTTCTAATCAATCTGAGTCGAATCATGTACGTTTATCTTTTTTATCTGTTCAATCGGAGAGTGACTTCGGCTTTTTAGGATGAATGGTCTTCATATCAGCAGGCGTCCCCGCCATTAACACAAGATTCACATCATTCTGGTCATCAGAATGCTTCAAAGTCGAATACAAATCTTTCCAGTCATGAATTCGAGTCCGGTTTCGATTCATGGGCCAACCATGAACCGAACATTTCGACGAAAAAGCCGGATTTGAAGTCAAAATCAACTACAAACAATAAGCCGAAACAAGAGGAACAACCAGCGTCGAATCTCATTAACTTTGAAGATGATAAATGGGCTGACGATGACGATGCTGGATGGGAATCTATCGACACGAAATAATACGAAAAACCAAATGGACACATATCTAATCTTCAATCTCTTCTCTTTCTCTCTTGTGATCAAACTTATTTTTTATATTTGTAACAAGTCGATCGATTTTCGTTGTGATTTTATCAGCTATTAATGCACGTTTTCAGAAGTCCATAATGACGTCATGGCAACATAACTGTATTTGTTATCATGTTCCACACTGTTATCTGCACCTGTGCTAGTTTCTGAGCGATAGTAAGAGGAGAACAAGAGCATGAAGGTTTAAAAGTTAGTACTGACATTATCAAGGTTATACACATATCCATTGGATTTGAAATTGATATCATATAAAAGAAGAAAAAACGAAGTAGATTCCCGAAGGGTGTGGCACATTCGATAAAAAGAAAGCCAGAATAAATATGTTAGATAGTTACATTTCAGCATAGTATCACGTCAATACTCATTTCGATCAAATCGTAAAGATATTTGCTCTCAGAAGTCGAAGAAAAAAACACAGCCAGCGACACATAGAGTGGGAGAATATTATACATACTATCCAGTGATATATAAACGAAGTCAATATTTGTAGATGTGATACTAGTCGAAGTGGACTAGAACGAAGAAAAATAACGTATGTACAGGTGGACGATAGCTTTTTTCTCACAACGTCCTTTCGTTTGTGTATATATATATAGAACGAGAGAAACATGCGTGTATTACTATCCCATTCTTTGTCTATTCCAAGTCATACATACTTCTTTCTGTAGTTGTAAAAATTTTCGCGGAGTCGAATTCGAGCGTTTCTTTCGTTTAGGAAAACAATGGCTTGTCCATACGCACGGATTATTGGGCACGATGATGAAACAACAAGCACGGCAACAGCGAAATTAACATTGAATGGCGCCGTGAATAATGATGCTTTGGCTGAAATTCTCTCCTTAACTGGCTATGGCCCAACAAGTTCTGTTAAGCCTGAATTGAAGCGTTTACCATCAAGCGATGAACTGGTCAACTACAGCAATTATTTACAATTGAATAAATTACTCGATTCGCAATTGTTGTTAAGTGCAAAACATGATCAGAATAAGAAGCCTGTTCATGATGAACATTTATTTATGATAATCCATCAAAGTAAGAGAAGAGGAAAATGATAATCTTCTCAACGATTTCACTTTAGGTTTTGAACTTTGGTTTAAACAAATCATTTGGGAAATTGACTCCTTACGAGATATTTTCGGATGTAAATTCATCGATGAAACACATATGTTCGTATCAATTAATCGTCTTCAACGCTGTGTACATATTTGGCATCTCTTATGTGACCAAATAAGTATATTAGAAACGATGACACCATTGGATTTTATGGAGTTTCGTTCTTACTTATCACCGGCGAGTGGCTTTCAAAGTTTACAATTTCGTTTAATCGAAAATAAATTGGGCTTAACGGATAAGTCGCGCGTTGTGTACAATCAAACATCGTACAAAAACGCTTTTCCAGTTCCTAATGAACAGAAAGAATTGATTAATTCATTGGAAGAACCAACATTGTTTACATTGATCGAAGTAAGCGCTTGACAGGAACCAGAATAAGACTTTCTTGTTCGTTTAGCGATGGCTTGAACGCACACCTGGACTTGACGACCCGGATTTTAGCTTCTACGAAGGATACAAGCAGTCTGTTGCTCAATATATCAAATTTCTTCAAAACAACGCGGAAGTAAATCGATGAAGATACGCTTATTGTTTGTTATGTCATTCTCTAGAGTGAACCGAATCCAACAGCCCGGCAAGCAGCGTTGGAAGACGTGAAGAAAAATGCAGATACATTTCGTTCAATCATTGACGAAAAGTTCCATCAACAATTGGTTGCACGAGGTGAACGACGTATGAGCCATCGGGCGTTCCATGGTGCCTTGATGATAATGCTCTATAGAGAACAACCGCGCTTTCAAGTATGCTTTGTACAACAGTGAGCGATGAGATTTGAGCGTTATTTGTAGGGTCCGTACCAAGTCCTATCATTATTAATGGATGTTGATGCATTGATCACAAAATGGCGATGTAAGGAGACATATTGTGAAAACGATTCTTCATCGTTTTTTCTCGTTTGTAGATAATCATTTGATATTGGTTCAACGGCAAATTGGAAATAAACAGGGAACAGGTGGTTCAGCTGGCTATAGTTACTTACGCTCGACGTGCAGGTTTGAATGATTTCTATTCTCTGAAAAGAAAAACATTGCCTTGAGTCTGTTTCTTCTTTCCAGTGATCGCTACAAAATATTTATTGATCTGTTTAACCTTGCATCTTTCCTTATTCCACGAGAATTCATCCCCAAACTAACGAATGAAATGAAAATGCGTTTGTCCGTTGCAAAGGTGGAAAGGACGGCAAATGAAGATGATGATTTACTTAGCAAGTCCAAAGCAACCGACTCAATACCAGCTGATTTATTTCAGCCAATAAAATCTTAATTAACATTTGAGAAGAACATAAACCTTTCTATTTGTGCTTTACGAGATGCAAGAATTGTCTTAATTTGCTTTGTTTGCTATTTATCAAGCATCTCTAGTTTTTCGTTTGTATTATGTTTAGCTCTTTCTGAATAAAAATATATCCAAAAAGCACCCAAATATTTGCAATACATTATGTTTTATTTTATAGTCTGTGCTGTTTTAGGTAATGGATCTTTTTCATGGCCATGAAATAAATTGTATTCAGAATGATGTAATACTTCGTGTCGTTCTGCAAATAATGTAAGTATGATATATCTCGAAATGGGATCTCCCCTACTGTATATGTGCCCAGAACAATACTTGTGAATGTCTCTTCAATCTGTTTATAAATGACTGTCGTCCCTCGGTATCACGTAAAGTGCTCTATACACGTCGTCTTGGTTCTCAACAGAAATTTATTCGAATATTACCACGAAAAAACGAGTCATATACAAAATAAAGGCGAGATTAAGTTGATGGCGTTGAAGCAATTTGTGGCAATTTCGGTGCTTTCGCTGTATTTGTACTATTTCGAGATTCTGATAATGCTTTGTTCGGTGTCGAACGCGCTGTCTGAGTGACGAAAACATTATTTGCATAATCACGGTCAGAGTTCATCGGATGTTCACCAATGTCCACTTGAGTGCTATAGTAAACAATCAACTATGATCTAATTTGAGATATACATTAATGTGACTTACTTCTGCATTGATAGACTCGGTGGATTTGATTTGCGGGTATTCATTCGTAAGAATAATGTTCGTAAGACTTGTTCTTTTTGTTCCCACGTTAGGTCACCAAAATCCACTTCCGGACTAAGATTTGTCCTGAGAAAACACGGGTAGTGTCAAAAATCAAATCAATATATCGTAGATATTTACCATTTCGTCGCTTCCTCTAGATCATGATATACACTGTTTGTGCTGCAACCTGGGAATGTTTCATTGAACGTTCGAATCTTTGGATAATCTCCATGTCCATGATGAGCGTTCAACATTCGGTTTTGATACGCATTAAATGCATCTTTTTTGTATTGTGTTCGATTAAATTCAATCTGCTTTTTCACGTGTTGTAAAGCATCCAGAAAGAACGTTTCTAACTCAGAACGTTGGTCGATGATGATCTTCGCTAATTTTTTCACTTTGACCATCTCCTTAGTTTTGGTTTCTAAATTTCTTTGCAATTTGACGATTTCATTTCGTGAAGATTCATGGAGAATATGGGACTTTTCAACTATCTGCTCTCGTTCAACACCGAATTCATCGATAAACTGGGTTAAGGCGGTTTCCAACACATGAATCTTTTCTTTTAACTAGGAAAGAAAAGAGAGAAAGGCTCTATTGAACTTGATCAAACGATTTACTTCTTTAATTGTTTGATTTTGCTTTTGAATCTGTTCAACCTTTTCTTGAATTAAGATCTCATTCAATTCTTTATCACCGGTTGCTCGAGAGATCAAACGTGTTAACTGATCTTTTGTCTTTTGTACTTGAATAAATTCTTGTTGATATACTCGAATAGTTTCGATTAATTCTCCGTTTTCTCGATAAACATTGCGGCTGGTTTCAGCTAAACTTCTACAAAACATCAAACCAGTACGCTGAAGGTGAATATCAGTTGCAAAACGCTTACTTCAAAGCTTCGTCGTGTGCTCGTGCAGCGATTTCTTCGATTTTCTCGTTTGATTCTTGTTGAAGTCGTATTCTTTCTTCAAAATATTTCTGTTCTAATCTTTGTAACGCTTCATTATGTTCTCGTTCGTTGATGAATGTGGCATCTTTGATCTGGAATCATCATAACAAGAAAACATTTTAGAGAATAAAGAAAAAGTGAACGAACATCTTCAAGTTCTTTTTGCATTTGTGTTTTTCGTTTGCGAAGATCTTGAACGCTATTCAATTCGTGCCGGGCTGCTTCAAGTTCGCCTTCTTTTCGAGAAATCTTTTCATCTAATTTACGTTTCTGACGTGTGAAATGAGCGACCTGCAAGAAATCAGCTTTGAAACATCATTCTCTATGACAAAGTCACATACTAATTCATCCTTATTCTTTCGATGTTCCATTTTGATAAATTGAACTTCTTGTTGTAAACGATCGATCTGTAATTGATAAAAACGAAGTGAGAATGGTCTTTTGCACAAATGAGTGCTTATTACTTCAGCATCTTTTTCCGCATCTTGCTTCTTCAGATGCGTCACAACTTCAATCGTCTCTTTTTCAGTTTCACGCATATCATCACGTAAGGCTTCATTTTCATACGCTATGTTATTGGCAATATCACTATTAGATAAACAACCGGCGTTAGAACAAATGAACAAATTTACGATATGGCCTACCGATAATGTCTTTTCGATAGTTCGGTGAGATGAAGTTGAGCTTCCCACAGATTGGAATTGTGAATACCATCTTTAATGGCAGCTTCTTCTTTGATAGCTTTCTTACTACAACAAACAAATTGCATAAAGTGTTCATTATTTTGCGAGTATTAAATTACCTTTTCTTTCCTTTTTTGCCTTTGCCTTTGCCTTTTCCTTTACCTTTGCCTTTTTTCGGCATAATTTACTCCAAAGATAGATCGAAAACAAAAAAGTTTAATTTTGAAGAATTCAATTGCCATTTCCACTCGATTTCATTCCTGTCGAACCAGCAACAACCTCTGTTCTGCGGCTTCACTTCCATCTACTCGCAGATGTCAGTCGATGTTGATGGAATCATTATAAAAACAGTAATTACCTCAAACATTTCATTTTACTTTCTCTTTCTCGTCGATAAATTTAAATATTAGTCAAACAAACACAGACAAGTTTAAATCAAACACGAAAAACAAGTCTTTTTTGTTGGGATTATTTTCGAATATATAGTCGTCGAGACAACTTGTCGCGTTTGCATGTTTAACATAATCGGCTTTTACTCCACTTTATTGTTTTACTACAATGGTGACTCAATAGAATAACAACACCAGCCAACGCTTAGTAGTGTGGCAAGCAACAACAACAACAGTAGCAGCAACAGCAGCAACCTGTTTCGTTTCACTCGTTTCTCGCCTTTTCTTCTGGCAGGATAGTCATTCGACAGTCAATTCGCATGGTCGTTTTATTTTTTTTGCCAAGTGTTTGTTTTTTTACGTATGTGTACATCGAATGAAGCCTAAAACATCCAAACGATCCAGTTCCAATAAACAACAGCAAAATAACACCTCCCCGCCAAATCGATCGAGACGTTTGTCCAATTCGTCAACAGGAGTACTCGAGACTCAAGGAAAATCATCAACAAAGACGAGTTCATGTACAGAAAGCAATTGTTTGGACACGAATACATCATTGTGTAAAGCAAGCTTGCTATTAAAAAGTCAAAAAGTGTTCAAACGAGATCTACTACGCTGTAGTGATCAACGACCATCAGTACTCGGTTCGCACATTCTCCAAACCTCACGTATTCGTCATGAATCTCAACAGCCACAACCAACTCTGAATCATGGACAATCGCATCGTCGTCGTTCTTTATCAGCGGATCCGTATCTACGTCATACGACAAGCGAACGAATAGGACCGTGGCCAGATCTACCAGCGGTTCGTACGACTTCGGCAGGAAATGATTCGTCGAATCCAATGAAGGCTTCTCGTAATATAAAAAACCCGCGCGTTTTTTCACCCAAATACTATGCGGCATTGATGGAGAATACCGTTAAATTTAGGTATCATACATCTTCAGAAATGTATATTAACGAGTATCGGAAGCAAAAAGGTTACTTACTTAGTACACGGGCAGATGCGAAAGTGCTTCCACGAGTTTTGCCCATACAGCCCTCTGACGATGATGAACTTTCTGTAACAGACATACTCGTAGATAAAGCTTGCCGTGCCGGTGGTGATGCTCTTGAGAATGATACGACGACAACAACAGAACGAACGATGGCTTCGACGAACGATCAACTGACAGAATCAACGATCGATCTCTCGTCAAGACAGAATGCATTAATAAAATCAACGAATAGTTTCACTGATCATCCAAATATACCACCGTCCATTCCAAGTCTTACAAAAAGTATTAACGAAACACATCATATGAGTAATTTTTCCACAGTTGCTTTTCGTAATGGTCATCTTCGAGCAATTCGTCATCCAAATCAGCATCGACATCATCAGCAGCAAACGATCGTCTTACCGCCGTTGAACCCGTCGTCACTACAATATCTTAACAGTATGAATTCAACTGACAGATACTATTCGAACATCGTGAGGAAGCCATCGGTACAAAACCATCAGAAATTCTTTCTTCTCGAAGGAAGAAGCAAGAAGAGGTATGAACAAATCCTATCCGTATACTAGCAATTCCTCTCAACACGTATATTTTCAGTTATGTAAATAAGAATAGAAATCCACCTCGAATAAATAGCGATAGTGAAGTATGCTAGTGTGAATGACTTACATTTAATTATTAACAAGATTTAACTATTAAAATATATGAGAATTAAAACTTTGACGAGTTTTCTTTCTTCAGATTGCGTCTCGTTCCCAAGATTATTCTGACTTACAAGCAACCGGTGGTCCAGTACTGAGAACAACCCAACGCACGCAAGCTTTAGCTGTCTACCAACTTCCTCGGCAAGCTGCAACCATAGTCACTAGTCAAAACGATCTAAGATAATCTCATGAGTACTGTTTTGAATGAGATCCGAGAAACAAAGAATTTTATTTTTTCATGTGAACGACTTTTATTTTGTGATATGAATGTTGTTACTCAGATGAAGCAAATTGATGAAACAGATTAGAAAAAAATGCGTGTGCGTCTTAATCATTCGATACGTACAATGATGTCGCAAGTTGTCAGTGCCGAATACACTTTTTTTTCGTTCTCCTGTCTTCAGTGTTTTCTATTGGTGGATAATTTTGACGTGAAGACGAAGGAAAAGGGTAAAGAAAGAACAATAACAACAAATAACAAATAACATTTCCTCGTTCCTTCTTGTTCGTCTTGTATATTTCTGTGCATTCAATCATCTGTCATTGTTTGGTATTTTCTATACTTTTTTAGTCGAATTAAACCAACGAAAAATATATATCTCTTGAAACAGACTTTTTTCGTGTCATGGATTTACCATCCATCAATCTAATCACAGCAGCACCACTCAATGATGGTTTGTATCGATTGAAAATCGTTTATTCGCTTATAGTACAATATTTGAATTTAGTGGTACGTGAATTACCTGTATTGTCTTTGGCTAATCCTGGAATGGAACGCATTGTTGATAGTAGCACAGCTGAATACACATCCATGTTACTTAACTGCCGTGATGGTGCATTAGCACAACAACTTGCGCATAAACTTTCAATTGTTGCCAATACGGCTACATCGATGTAAATGAACAAATCCGTAATTGATCGAAAACGAAATCTTTCGTTCGGTTTTTAGTACACTTCGTCAACCGCCAGATCCCGCAGCAACACCTCTGCATGGATTACCTCCACTATTGCAAACCACTGCACAATACAATCCAAATATTTTCAGTGGTACGCTGCACTTTTGATTGATCATCTAAGTTCATTTTTTTCTTTTCATTAGCAGCTTGTCTTCAGCCGCCAGCAGCATTTGCACGTTCTTTTCAGTAAGTAATATTGGATTTAATTTCATTTGTATAGAAAACATTTTGATTTAGATCACCAACAAATTCGTATTCCCACTATCCCAATGCACATTATCCGCCACAAATTAGTCCAAACAATAATAATTACAATCAACCAACGACAGCGTCAGCATCGCGTAAGTGTTTCCTAGAGAGAAAAAAGAGCAATTAAACAGGCATTGGTAATATATAGCTTATTCTTCACGTGGTTTCATGTCAACCACAACATCTATGCCAAATCAATCACCTGATCCTCAATCAATGCTTTATCCTCAGAATCCATCAGTCGCGCCACACCGGCCAACTCGTCCGACTGCTGTAGTACCACCGTTGCCAAAAGATCCTGTTATATCCTCACCCATGGGTTCGATCCCGAGCACGTCAGCTCCAATGACACCATCCCCGTCGTTATTGAACTATCAACAAGTTTCGCCGCAAAAACCACCGAACTATCAAAAACATGTAAGTTTCATTCTCTCGAAGAGATTTAAAATAATTAGACTGTTCAGCGAATAAACCGTTGAATGACATGTCGACATTTGAATCGTTAGAACTTTCATCGACACGTGCTTTCTTCTTCTTGTTTTTAAAACTCTTCTATAGTATACAGACCGTTAGGAAAGGAAAAAATGTTTCTTTTGAATAGTCTGATACATCACAATCACATGAAATCACGCACAAAAGTGTACAACCAGTGACGAATATCAATGACACGATGACTAAGAAATCAAGTATGAAGTCATCTAAACTATGAAAACCGTAAATATTTAATTTGCTTGTTTAAATTTAGCTCCAGTTCTGCAACCAGCTCAACCACAGCAGCAAGTGGAAAAGATACGGATCAATCTTCAAAAATTGCAACCAGATGAACTGGGTAAATACCTTATTTCAATCGAAAGCAGAAGTGTAATCTCAGCGCTTTCATTCTAGCTTCCATTCGAAACTCTTCACCTTCGAAACAACGTTCCATGAAACCAAATATCTCGCAACAGTTAGATCATTTACCATCAGACTTTACTCCCGATCTAATCAAAGAACTACTACAAGATGGTTATTCTCTTGATAGCAATGCAGGCGAACGTTTACTACGCCAACGCCGTGCAGCCATCAGCAATGCAGCGTCTTTGAACAATTCGCCAAAGAAAAAACGGATTCGGAGTTTATCAACTGAAGACAATGAAGACGATAATGATAACAATGACGATGACGACACCAACGATCTCGACAACGATGAAGAACAACAGCCATTGAAAAAGCGTATCCGTCGAGCCAACGATAATCCACTAGCTAATAACTCCACGATCGATGTTATGAGTGCATTGAATAAGAAAACTCGAGATCGTTTAGCACGCAAAGCTTTAGACATCGATGCTGATCCGCAAGAGAATACCTCCTATCAGCGTTTCATTCAATTGTTAGATATATTCAATGATGATTATGATCGTCATCACGAACAATTAGAACAAACGCCTGATGATCACTATCTGGATTTATTATTGTCCGATCATACATTAGATGAAATGGCTATTTTATCGGAAAAATTGAAATTGTCAACGTATATGTCGCGCATTGATCGTATGAAATTAAAGCGTCTGTTGGAAATTTTATCTTTACGAATTAAACAAGGTGTCGAAATGAGTCCGAATCTTAAGCACGATATCAATGATGAACAAACGGACGAAGAAGAAGAACGAATGTGGAGAGATCTAGTATTCGAACGGTTAACCATGTGTGCGAACGCTTGTGAAATTAGTCTAAATATAATGACAACAGATAATATGCCAAAAGAAATTCTCATTGAACATGTCATTGAACATACATCCTTATTTATCAAAGCGCAATTGGCTAAAACAATTTTTCCTGAATATGATCCATTGTATCGTAATGATAATCATTCGAAAGGTATGAAGAAATCATCTGAATGAAGAGAAGAGGAATTATTTGTTCTATTATTGCTTCTAGATCCATCATTGACGAAACAAAAGCGTTCGAAAGTAACCGGGACGAAATGCAAACAAGTGCAAATCCTTTATAATAAGATAGTATCGCTCTTCCAGGGAATTACAGATTTAATGCCACTAGGCAAATATCCAGATACGATTATTCTCGCTGTAAGTTCGTTTCTCTTTCCCTTCAACGCGTGAATTTTTTTCTTTAGATTTCCTCATTTACTGTCAGTTGTATTTATGTTGAAAATATTGTCGATCTTCAAGCACATTCATTACGCATTCTCACTGAATTGTTTTCTCGTTATGAACATCATCGTGATTCTATACTTGAAGATCTTCTACTCTCAGTGGCTCGTTTACCCACAAGTAAAAAGAGTCTTCGTTGTTATCGTTTACCATCCGGCGAATCAATCCAAATGTTCACCGCATTAATCATGCATTTAGTTCATGCACCTGTTACATTAGCATCCACGATGAATGTTAGCATAACAGATTCCACGAATGAAATTCATCTGTTGAACACTTACTCAACCGCACAGAATTTAGCATTTAAATTTTTAACTTTATTTTTCCGTTCATGTGGAACGAAACAAGGCGAAGATGATTACCGAATTGTGTTTGAAAATTTCCTAGCTGATTTACTTGTCACTGCTAATCGACCTGAATGGCCTGCGTCGGAAATTCTTCTAACGTTATTATCTCGAATCTTAATGACGAATTTTTCCAACCATTCGCTGCCAATTAATACACGCTTGCAATCATTAGATTATCTAGGTTCAGTGGCTGCACAATTGCGCAAAGATACAATCGATAACGACGTGTTGAATTCGAAAGAAAACCAAGAAAAACTCGATGCTATTGTTTACAAAACTTTAACAAGCATTGAGCTAGACGAAGATATGGTGGAGGTTTATAAAACGGACCCACTACGTTATCATCGCAGTTTAGTTATTTATCTCAATGAACTGAGTTTAAGCGATCAAACCAGTCAATATGCGAAAATGTTTCATGTTGGCCAATGGTTACGCGATTTGAATCTGACAGTGGAACGATTAACCCAAACATTAACACGACGAATGAAGCCTGGACAAGCTGAGCTGGTCAATGAAGATGATGTCGATGAATCAATGAGCACCAATTCGAAAGCTTCGATTTCAGTCGAAGACGAAATTGATTTGAAAAAGAGCGAGAAAGTGACCATTTTAAAAATGTTAGCATTACCGGAAACAGCTCGAAAGCAACAACGATATTCACTAGACATTGAATACGATGATATTTGTTTACTAATGCGTTATTTAACATCCAATCGACCATTTTTGAAAACCTTCGATGTCTATTTGAAACAATTAGCTGCCATATTTCAATCTGAAGCTGGTACAAACATACGCAGCAAAGCAATGAANGAAAAAAAAGAGCAAGATGACGAAGAAGAAAAACTTTTGTAACGGAGTCGCGTCTAGTACCACTAGTCATGCTTTTCATGTAAAAAATAACAAACCCGATGAGAAAAAAGGAAACAACCGAAGAAGATGAAGATGCTCATGCTCATGCTCATGCAGAAAAAAGTGGCGATAAGATGAGAACAGGAAATGATCATAGGCCTGCTCAGGAGGTCGTTCAAGTGAACCATGTGGAATGAGCACTAACGACACTTCTTTCTTCTTCTTCTTCTTCTTCTTTTTTTCTCCGTTTTTACTTTACTTCAGAAGTTCAAAATTTCTCGGTGCTTCATTCCCGTCGAGTAGCAACGAACGAACGAACGTCAGTTTATTTATTTTAATCATTCAGACCTTCGTTCTATACATGGAAAATGTGGCGTGTTTTTTTGACAAATGAATCGCTCATTCCTTCTTTTTTTTCTTACATCGTTGCTATCGATTATACCTAATGTTTGCTGCAGCACTCGGGTGTCTCTGTTCTCTTTTCTTAGGTGGTGTATGCATTGCGATCATTTTACTTCTTCTCGCAATTCCATGTCTCATAATCTCAAGTCTATGTTGACATTAGGGAAATTACTTGCTTTATAACATATCTTGCGATCCGATCGGTCGTATGTAATACTATGGGCTTGTTTAGTCAAGCGTAATGACTAGTCGTCCTACGCATAAGAAGAAACATATGACTGGGTTATATTTGTTGTCGATAAATCTTGATCGAAAGTCATCATTGTTCTCTCTCCCTTCTTCGTTTTCATTCGACTTTTTCAACCTAACGATAGAACAGCAAAAAATAACTACATTTGCCGATTGCACTACCTTGGTTATAAATGATCAATCAATAAATTTAATATCGAAACTAAAATTTCAAAGAAAAAGAAATCAAATCTTTTGCTCATCTTTGTCGTTCAGATTGGACCAAATTGAAACATCGAAAGTTCATGGGGCAACTAACAGAACAATATATTCGAGTTCGGGCTAAACCATTTATTGTTGAAGTCGATCAAACAACGGACAATACTGAGCCGAAAATGTTTGTCTAAATGAGAGCTCTCTCTTCAATATACTTATTCATATGTATGTTTTAGTGAGACAACTTCAACAATTGAAAAAGGGTGTGTGTGTGTATGTTATATAAGAAATGGCATATAAAATATTCTTTTGTAATATAGTTCGATACCTGAATATAAAATTATACGTGAACCACTCGAAGGTGATCCCGAGTTTTTAATAATGGATATTCAATTACCAAAAGTCGTATGTTTATTTGATGAATAATACGAGTGAACCGATGATTTTCATCGAATTAATCTTTGTTTTAGAAATCTTCGAAAACATTAACATTGGACATTGGTACCGATCGTATCGTGCTATCAACACGTTCGAATATTTATCATCTGGACATATGGTTACCGATTGACGTTGATTCGGATGAATGTGGTGCACAATTTAATAAAGCAACACACGTAAGACAAATCGTTTTCTTATCCACTCTATTGTATCTCTGTTTTCTAGACATTGACAATCACCATGCCAGTGCTACACGATTCAGCATAAAATGTCTTGCTAAACTTACTGTGTGAATAAATAACAAATAAATTGTTTGACTGTTCGATTCAGATGCTTCATACTGAAATTGATCGGAGAGAATCTGTTTAATTAGTCGATATCTATGCGATCGATCAGAATCAGAAATCTAGATGGAATCGGAAGCGTATGCATTCGACTAATCAATGAAATTTATAAAGCGTAAATAACTGATATTCATATGATGCGGAATGATAAACAAATTCAATTAACACCATCGATATTTCCAATGAAGGCCTATTTGTTTGGGATTTCATTGTATTACTAGTAGCCTTCTGGCGACAAGTGTTCGGATAATACTCATACGGAACATAGGTTTGAACTTCTCTGAATAGAGCAAGAATATTTCTGACTAAGTTATACAGAGATTTGTTTAGAAACATTGAGTATACCAGGCGAAATGGGAGAGAATACTTCAGACTAAACAATCAAGCGAGACAGAAAGTGTCCTTCATTTGACCGTTGAATTGTTGATCAATTCGTGTCAGAGCAATCTATGACACAATCAATCACACTATCATATCATGTTCAGATATGGTACGTGTACGTGTGAGAGAATATTCTCTAATTCCACAAACTTCTGATATGATAGGGATATCTGATGCATAAGCTAAACAATATTGCACTAGAAAAACTCGTTCCAATTATGTCCCATCGTATTAGTTCTGCATCTATCTCTATCGAGACTATCTTCCGCACAGTTAACACTTTCCCACTAACGACATCTCTGTTCAATGCCAATGTGTACTCAACTGAGTTTTTCTTTTCATTTGAGGATTGGCTCCTAATCATGAACATGGCTGCAACGCATCAAGGAAAGAAAGAAAAAAGAACAAAATATTCTTATGCCGAAAAATTGCATAGCGCACATACACACACACTTACGCATCTTTCTTCTAATCAAATCAAGAAGCTAAATAACAATAACAACTACACTGTTTTCCCTCATCATTTTTTAGATATGATCTTCATACCTATTGATTATAATCAACATTTTAACTCATCATTATCATCAAGTGAATGCTTATCTGTTTACGAACGAGTACGTGTGATGTTTTGCATTTGTTGTTGCTGGTCTCCCTTGTGAGTATTTGCATAACAAAAGCAGCATCAACTGTACCATCTTCGAACAATGAGAATAACAATAATAACTTAATCCGACGACCTGATGAATGTAAGTTGATTGAGGAAACAATCTGTTCGAATTTCATTCGTTTCAATAGATGTCATGACTTCGGTGCCGATTACTGGATTGAAACGTTCGAATGTTTGTGGAGATGGATATCGCATTGAAGGAGCATTACTTATGTCACATCCATATTCAAAGAGTGCATCCTATTCGCCTTATGAAGATTGCTATATGACATTCAAAGTTGAAATCCTTTGTCCTTGTGGCTCAAGAGAAAATGAATCTTCCATTTTAGGCTCGTCGAGCGAATAGTCAAATTCGTATTCGCATCTTATCACTCGATCTCAATGATATACATGGCGGTGTGAATTGTTTAGACGCACTTCGTTTTTATAAATCTGCACATATCAATCGAGAAGATCGTCTCGTTAGTTGAGATTTGAAAAAATGCATGTCCGTTTCATCTCACTGCTTTTAGCATACTGTTGAATGTGGACAACTAACAGGTGGAGAGAAAATCAACGTGGTGTCCCCAACCGGCATTGTTACGGCACATTTTTCGTATGTGAAGTTTTTCTGAAGTGATTGATGTTCATGTGATTTTTTTTCTATAATTAGAACCGATGGTGGAAATGTTAGCGGTCTTGGTTTTAAAGTTGTCCTCACGGCTTTTCGTTCTGGTAAGGCTTTTATAGATTCAAAAGACAAATTTCGACGTCAGTGTGTCTTCTAGCAAACAAAACAGATCCATGTGATGAATTAAACGATGAATTTCTTTGCAATAATCAAGAATGCATTAGTAATTTACTATTATGTGACGGTAAAGCATTGATTTGATTCATCATAGATTGACTCTCGTTTGCATTCCGTTAGGTGTACCGCATTGCCTCGATGGGTCCGATGAATCGCCCTATCGCCTGTGTTCTTCAAGTAACTATACTAAAATTTACACATTGTGTGTTTTTACAGGTGAAGATTACTTTCAGATACTGCAGAATCTTCGAATAGCGATCCAACTTCCCGTTCAGCCACATCTAAGCGTCCACATTGGCGTGGGATCCTGATAGCCGCTTTTCTACTTATAATCCTAAGTGTATTCATACTTTTCGTGGTTTATTTCCTTTGCAGTCGTTGTGTTCGTTCGCCAGTGCCCTTAATGAAGAGCGAAAGGAAAAATTATGCAACCATACTAAATTCACGTATGTACACATATTTGCATACAACGTCATCATCCTCTTGTTTCTATCTTTTTCAGCTAAAAATGGTCCGAAAACAGCAACAACTACACAAATAGTGGTCGAAAACAATAAACCGACTAGTAAACGTCTCGACGACGATTACAGTTTATTGTAAAGAAAAAATATGTTCCCTACCGTATTATAGTCATATTTATTATTTCTATGTTATTATTACATATCGTCAAACTCGTCAGTTTTCTTTCGTTATATATGTATATGACATTTGTAACAGTGATATTTCATAAAATTTAGTCATAGATGTATACATGTTTAGTCAGTTTGAAATCTATTAATAAAATATGGTCATCAAAAAGAAGAGTCGTATGTCGTTTGTCAACTTGGCAGTCGAATGAGTAAATAAATCTATATATATGAAATGTTCATCCAAATAAGAGAGGAGAAGTTTTATCTTTGCGCTCATGTTCAAAAATCGCAATAAAGATTTGTCAGTTGAGAAAATGAATCGTAGGTAAGAAACAAGAAAAAAAAACTCACCACATGTATCTAGCGTATTTACATAAAGATTTGCTGTTAAACTCGAACACCTGAGCCTGAGCTTACAAATAATGATGGAAATAAGAAAACTCGAAAGAAATATCACACATCACCGGTTATAGGTCAAAAGTAGACAAAGCCAAGAAGAAGAGGCATTACACATAGTTTTCACGACCTGTCGATAATTTATGTTGATTTGAATGTTCGAAATATTTGGTTCTATCGCGTACTGGAAACGAGTGATCTGAAGAAAATGATGTATCAGTAGTGCAATCAAACGAAAAGGATTTCATCGGTTGAGCTGACGGTGTGACACGTCGTTCGATTGATTGATATCGCGAAATACTCGTTGGATTGTGATTGATTATGACTGGTTCAGATACACGTGATTGTCGTTCTTGTTCAGTCATTTTGTATCGCAGAGCGTTTTGTCGATGACATGAACGGCGTCTATCATTCGATAAAATGGATTCATCAATTGGCTTCATTTGAATTGCTTCGCCAAGTGTGAATAGTCGTGAACTGGAATGATGAACGAATGTTCGTCCACCACGATCTGTCCGAGATTTTTGTGCGAGGTTATGAGAGAGATTTAATTGTTCAGCATAGGTATTCATTTGAGATATGAGATGAATCTTGTTCGTTGTTAACGTTAGTGGACTGTTGTATCGTGATCGACTGTCACCTATAATCGGCTGTTGATGATTGAGAATCGGTGGAGATGTTTGATTTAAAGTTATATCCGGCTTCTTCACGACTGGTATCGATGTGAATGATGTCGAACGAGATGTGAGTGACATTGACGAATTTGATAAACGTTGATTCATTATACTTAATGTTTCTGTAGTTAAATCTAGGTCCTGCTGCTCAGGTGTTGATCTGCTAGAAAGAAAAAAAAAAGAAATATGAAACCATGCAATTCAGTCTACGGTTATTAAAAGCGACGAGTTATAGAATTTATTTCGAGCGACCATTCCTTACATACCGATAGTGCACTTAAAATATTTACAGTCTGGAAAATAAAAGTCTAGATAAATCTTTCATTCTGTGTCACGAGATTCTACAAAACATTCTTTGTTGTTGAACATGAATTATTAACTGAATATCTATCGAGAAGAAACGCAGAAGGACTAACCTTGTTGATATATATTCATTTCCGACAGTAGTTTTAGATGTCGTTGTTGTAGCATGTCGGTCATTGATAGTTACTGGTTTGTTACTATTTTGTTCAGTATCATCATCTGTATCGGTATCGGATAAGCGATGAAATTGTTTCAATGACGATGTTCGTTTGACATCTGCTGTGGTTAAGCGTCGAGATTCTTTTGTTAATTGTTTTGGTTGTTGTCGATGTTCAGCACTACCTAAGGAAGAATGACGAGATAACGATTTAGACCGTTTGACTTTGCCGATGGTTATATTATGAATGGTTGTTGCCGACGAACGCATACTTGAATTATTGTCCGAATCATCTGTGGTATTGCTTGTTAGTTTCTCCCTTTCTAAAAATCGCTTCGATGGTTTATAGGTATTCTTCGAGCTACGACGACGCGCAACAGCGAATGTAGTTAAAGTCGAATTCGAATTTGGAATGACGATACTAGTTAAAACAATGCCTCGTCCACAAGCGATAGATGTTGTCCAGTCAGGTGTGGGAATAGGCAATGGAGCTTTAGTACGACGAAAATGTTCACTTATTTCGGAACTATCGTCATTAAACGGTGGATCAGATGCAGCTAAACCAGAATCATGAGAACGACTAACAAGTGGTAGATGTGGAGATGATTCGACTTCATCGAGACTTTCCATTGACGATGCATTTGGATGAGCTAAACATGGGATACACTACTGAAAAAGTCTCATTCGTTTGTCTGTTCTTACTTCGATTTTGAATTTCATGAATAACAATGCGTTTATCTGGAATGCAGGTGAGAATATCTGAACCGAATAATGTTGAACAATTTTGAATTAAAAACTCGACCACAGATGACATAACATCTGCTTCTTGTTTTCCCGATCGAATCGTTGTTGTTTCCGTTTTAAATAAACTATTCGATACGCACAAACCCAAATTAAATGGATTCATACCATTCGTATGAGCATGTTCA